TTTATTGAAATAGTAGACATTGCATATAATTGAATTTTTCCGAATTTTATTAAAATTTTTGAAAATAATATTAAAATTTCAAGAATTTTATAAAAATTTTTTTAAATAATTGAAATTCTATTAAAATAGTAGACATTGCATATAAATTGCATATAATTGAACTTTTACGAATTTTATTAAAATTTTTGAAAATAATTGAAACTTCGAAAGTTTTATTAAAACTTTTCAAAATAATTGATTTTATTGATTTTATTGATTTTATTAATAAAACATTTCAAAATAATTGAAATTCCAAGAATTTTATTAAAAATTTTCAAAATAATTCAATTTTAGAGAAAGATTAATATTATTTATAAAGATAATTGAAATTTTAACCAGAATTTTTTCAATTTTTTCATCATAATTGAATTTTTGCGAAGAATTATATTACTTTTGAAAATAATTGAATTCTTGAGACGAATTTTATTAAAATTTCAATTGAAATAATTGAATTTTTTGTGAAATTTTATTCAAATAGTAGACATTGCATATAATTGAATTTTGACGAATTTTTTTAAAACATTTCAAAATAATTGAAATTCCAAGAATTTTATTAAAAATTTTCAAAATAATTCAATTTTAGAGAAGAATTATATTATTATTTATAAAGTTAATTGAAATTTTGACTAGAATTTTTGTAAATTTTTTAACATAATTGAATTTTTCCGAAGAATTATATTATTTTTGAAAATAATTGAATTATTAAGACGAATTTTATTAAAATTTCTTTTTAAATAATTAAATTCTTTTGTGAAATTTTATTGAAATAGTAGACATTGCATATAATTGAATTTTTCCGAATTTTATTAAAATTTTTGAAAGTAATTGAAATTTCTAGAATGTTATTAAAATTTTTTTAAATTATTGAATTTTAGAGAAGAATTATATTATTTATAAGAATAATTGAAATTTTGACCAGAATTTTTGTAAAATTTTAAACATAATTGAATTTCTCCGAAGAATTATATTATTTTTGAAAATAATTGAGTTTCAGAGACGAATTTTATAAAAAATTTCTTTTTAAATAATTGAATTCTTTTGTGAATATTTATTGAAATTTAGTAGACAGAAGGACAGAAGTGCTTTTACGAAAACGAAAAAAAAGCACGACAAATGGACGAGAAGGAAGGGAAATAAAAAATTTTTAGCTAAAAAAGACAGAAGACAGAAATATAAATAGTTAATTGAATTCTATGCAGAGAAAAAAGGGACAAAATTACTTTCAAAATAAATAAATGTGAAAAAAGATCCTTTAATTACTTTCATTTAGAAAATTAATTAAATGTAATGAAACAAGAAAATTTTTATTTTGAAGATAATTTTCTCACTAGAGAAGCTAATTTAATTTCTAATGAAATAAACTTCTTTGATAAATAATGTTACAAGGTTCACAACGGCATTGCGTAACATAATGTTTAATAGAAACTGAGATTATTTAATTTGCACATAAAAAGTTTCAACCTAGATTTAAGTTAAAAATTCATTGTTATAAATTAGATTTAGGAGTACTTTTGTACGAAAGGGCATGTCCCGTTATGTTTCTTAAATAAATAAATAAATAAATAAATTTTTGACTGTCAGGGACCAACTGAAACAGCAGGCATAACTTTATGTATATGGTTATACTATCCGGTGGCTCGTAAAAGGACGAAAGAGCAGACAAAACATGACAAAAAAAAGAATAAAGAAGACCACGACGACAACAGAAATTACAGTGATGAGAACAAAGACTAAAATACAAAAAAAATTAATAACAATTTCTTTTCTTTAATAAATGCGAGACAGTGAGAATTTAAAAAACACTATCGAAACCCTTCTTCAATTCTGGATCGAGACCTTTCATCACCTCGAATTCGCCAAGATGATAATTTATCCATTACTGCTTCTGGGTAAAAGTTGCAGACTTATTTAATGTTAAAGCAGTGATCAACTTTGATCGGACTGAGCAGAATTCGACAAATCATCATCTTGATGAATGATTTCGATCTAGGATTGAGATTAGGTTTCGTTAAATTAAAATTATTATGCAACAAAAGACGGACTACTTGACAAATTATATCGTGAGTGATGTTAACAAAAGACAGTTTGATTTTTGTGGGTCAACCAAAAATATCAGTGAAAAGCAACGTAAATTTAATAATTTACGTTGATGAACATAAAACAACAAGACTGTGTAGCGTGTATAATGAATCCATGACAATCTCTAAAAATCGTACTATCCGCTGTGCTAATTATAAACTTTCTTGTAACTAAGATGTAAATCCCTTTGGGAATGGTAAAACTAATTTCAAAAGAGCTAAGCAACTTTTAAATTATTTTCTATAATAATTAACTTTAAACAATTTGGATAAATATTATCGTGTATTAATACATTTTTCTACTAATGTACATTTATCGTAATCATTTTATTTTCTTTACAGAACATTTAATACACTGATTTATATCCTTTAATCTGAAAAAAAGTTAAAACGCGATGACTCGTCGCGCTTTATATCTGATTTACATTTTTCGGAGAAGTGTTGATAATAGAACAATTGTTTCTGAATATATGAAATAATCAAGAAATGTTATAAATTTTTATAAAAAGTATATTGAAGAATATAAGTATTAATTCTTGTTCGTATCTTTTAACAAATAATAAATCTATAGGAAAACTGTTACGAATATTGTAGAAATACGGAATTAAATATACGAAATTTTTAATTTATATCTTTTTAACTTTTAAAAATATAGGTTATCTATAATATTGATAATTATTATCTTGATCTATTAAATATATCAAAGTTGAAAATATTTTTATTTGGAAATCAAATAAAATGTAGAGTTAAATATTTGTACTTTGTTTGGTTTTCAAAAAAATCAATAAAACTACATCAAAATGTGATTAAAAAGTACTTATCAATATTAATTTTTGATTAAAAGAACATTATATTTAACTATAATACTTTTAACAAAGCAGAGAAGAATATTAACTGATCAGATATACATTTTTTTTTAAATTTACAGCAGGTTCTATTAAATCTAACGCTTTGTTAAACATTTACGCGGACATTCACTCCTCAAAGCGGGAACCATGACCGATTTATTTGCACGATACTCTCCCCGTTGTGTTTATTAATTCACTCCTGGGAACTTGAAAATAGAATTTAAATTTTTAATTTGAAAACTGGAAACAATTTTTATTTTAAAAATTTATTTAATACTATTTATTACAGTTTGGTAATTAATAATAAAGTTTTTTCTATTAGGTTCATTATTAATCAACTTCTATTGCATTTATAGTATTAGTAAATAATTAATATTTACTATAGTGAATGAAAATTGATGAATATGGTCGCAGTATTATCATATATAGGTGAAAGCAGCAAAGGTCCTGAAAAGAACGACACGTGTAAGAGAAAGCATTTATCTTTATTTTAAAAAAATCACGTTGCTCGAGGCTCTATTCATAATTCTTCATTTTATCTTCATGTAAAATTAACTATATTTTTTTTGCATATTTATCCCATATTCGATTTACTAAAGCTTAAATAGTACGTGAAAATTAATTACACTAATTACACCAGGTTATTCGAATCACTGAAGACAATCTATATGCAGATATACTGATGGCAAATCCTATAAAAAATATAAGTTTTTAAAAACAGTTCCAAAATAACTTCTATATTCATTATGACTTAAAAACTAAATTCTATTTTATTTTTTAGCTTGCCAATTGTGCGGACCTAATGCTTTGAAGTTTATATCCTTTTGTCCTATGATCCTTCACCTGAAGATTTGAACTCTTTCCCTTTTGACCTCAATTTTGAACTTGCAGTTTCAACTCATTATTTAATTAAAAAAAAGGCGAAGACGAATTTTAATTGTTTCTTATATTCTTTTGTAGAGGAAATATAATTTTCTTAAAATGTATTCGCATACTTCATTTTATGAACCCTCTGTATATATTTTACAATATAATAAAAGTGAGGTTTAAATTTTTTCGTCTTGTGACCAAGGACAAAGAAATCATCAACGTGCACCAAGGTCTCAAGTCTGGAACAAACTTCACAGCGGATGTATAGTTATAATCTCTTCCTAGGTTACGTGGGAAAGAAGAAGTCATCTCTATTCTGATCGTGGGTAATTATTTTCTAGCTTATAGCTTACACATACAAAAAATATTAATTTACACATGCATTATTTAGAAACATTGACAATATAAAAATTAAAGTAATTATTCAGTATATGGTTGCACCATGTAACATTGCATAAACATCAAAAAGTATTTTTCCTACTAAGTTACCCAAAATAGCTTGAATTAATTGTGAAATTATTAATTTTACTCTCATTCAGAATTCCACATTTCACGATAATATTCTCGTTCTCGGTAATATAACCAAATTAGAACACTAGATCCCTTTAGCATCTTTTGTGATAAAAGATCTGTAATCTTAATAATAATGTGTCACTAAGTGAGATCTCATTACAAAGAAAGGTGTAAATATTTAGATCCTGTTCGTGAAACATAAGATGCTAAATATATCAGAAAGTACGATCAAGCGGATTACACTCTCACAATGTGATCTAGTTTGACTTCTTTTCCATCTTATTACTTGTTTAAACTAGTATCAAAACTATTACTTTACAAGGAACTATTCTTTCACTGCTGATTATTTCGTTTCATGAAAACTTTCTTCGTCAGCGTAATTATATCATCTGAAGTATCTTCCGGAAACAGTGCTATTATGGAAAGGTTGCTATGTTGCTAAACAAAGTTGTTTTTCCCTTTTAAAAAAAATCTTAAAAAGCGCTCTTTCTACACCTTCTGAACTAGACAAAAGTCCAAACTTAAATTATTTTAAGCTCTCCAATTTCTAGGTTTTAAATTAGTTTCGTCTTTTGCAATACAAAGAAGATGCACCAAAAGTACTTAGACTGTGAAAATGACAGTGATATTAAAAATGTTCTAATATATTATAATCTGATGTAATCTAATTTTTTATTTATAATGTTATGTACAAATAATGGATGTTTTTATTCACATCTGTATTTAATTAAAAATTGTCAATCACAGAATTAGTTCTTTAACAATAATGTTTACAAATTAATTCGATTTAGATGTGCTTAAGACGGAAGCGGTGAATATTTGTTGTAAAATTCGGGGAATATTCTTCAAGTCCATACACACAAATGCCTTTCCAGAAGGCATTTTTGTCATCAATCTAAAAAATGGAAACGAATATAAAACATTAATTCTTATTTTAGATAAGTGATAATAACAAAGATATCTGGATATACCTTTCGGCTTGATTGCCCAGTGAACCTATGAAAATTGCGTAAGCACTGACATTTGAATTTGAAGTTAGAACTTTAACAAATCGTTCGGCTGGAATTCCATAACGTTCTAAATTTGCATCCGAAAGTACAACAACTATTGATTCATCGGAATCTTCCTTCGCCAAACTGGCAATCGCGTGTTGCGTTGCCTCAAGAGTATTGTCTCCAGACATACAAAATTGCGAGTGAGCATGCATTGTCTAAACAAATTTGACAGCCCGTAATTATAAATAATTTATATTTCTCATGTGGACTAACAATTAAGTTATCCAAATTCGCTAGAATATTATCGTCACAAGCTAGACTTGCAATTACAGAAGGAAATATTAATTCGTTTACAAATTAAAGAATTTACTTCCAAGTTCAATTACCCACCTTAATTACTTCTAATGTTCGTTTATTATCTGCAGGAGGTTGTGAATGATCCACGAAAACAATATTATAATCTTCTCCAGAATGGCCAACTATATCGTATTTTAATTTTTCTTCATATCCATTGAAAGCTTCAATTACCATAATACAAGCTTCCATTTCTCGATCTAATCTACCATCGTATCCGTTAAATCTGTACATACTGCCAGACACATCGACAACTAGTTTTAATCGTTTTGGTTTTAATTGAGGAGCTCCAATTTCTGGTTCTTTCTCAGCTCTCCTTCGATAGATATTCTTCTCTCCAGTTAAGCCTTCAATTAACTTTGTATCATCTAGTTCTCCTGATGTTTGATGCCTCCACCATTGGCGCTCATGACTTTTTGCTTGAAGACTTCCTAAATTTTAAAAACAATGAAATGGTTGACTAATATGCAATAAAAAGTGCGAACAAAATATTTATCTATGAGCATTAAAGAAAGTGCGCTAGTAAACAAAATTATAAAAATATCGAATGGAAACTTATACATCAGGAAACTATTTATCTTCTACAATATTATCAATTTTGCTAAAAATCTTAAACCCGAATTTCTTGAGAAAAAATATTCACGATGAGCAAAAAAAATTAAGCAAAATGTTCCTATAACGTATAAAACGCCATCTGAATTTACCGTCAGTTGCAATAAGTACAATTTTGCTATACTAAAAATTCTTCTAATCGGATAATAAATCAAATAGAAACAAATTCTAGGATCGAGACCTTCAATCACCTCGAATTCAACAAGATGATGAATTGTCGATTGTTGCTTCAGGAAATTTTGACCAAATCTGCCAGGCGCAACTAATTTATTTATCGATTTTGACCAACTCTGCCTGGCGCAACTAATTTATTTATCGATTTTGACCAACTCTGCCAGGCGCAAGTAATTTATTTATCGATTTTGACCAACTCTGCCAGGCGCAACTAATTTATTTATCGATTTTGACCAACTCTGCCAGGCGCAACTAATTTATTTATCGATTTTGACCAACTCTGCCAGGCGCAAGTAATAAATTTATCGATTTTAACAAAATCTGCCAGGCGCAACTAATTTATTTATCGATTTTGACCAACTCTGCCAGGCGCAACTAATTTATTTATCAATTTTGACCAACTCTGCCAGGCGCAGGTAATTTATTTATCGATTTTGACCAACTCTGCCAGGCGCAACTAATTTATTTATCGATTTTGACCAACTCTGCCAGGCGCAACTAATTTATTTATCGATTTTGACCAACTCTGCCAGGCGCAACTAATTCATTTATCAATTTTGACCAACTCTGCCAGGCGCAGGTAATTTATTTATCGATTTTGACCAAATCTGCCCGGCGCAAGTAATAAATTTATCGATTTTGACCAAATCTGCCAGGCGCAACTAATTTATTTATCGATTTTGACCAACTCTGCCAGGCGCAACTAATTTATTTTTCAATTTTGACCAACTCTGCCCGGCGCAAGTAATTTATTTATCGATTTTGACCAAATCTGCCCGGCGCAACTAATTTATTTATCGATTTTGACCAACTCTGCCAGGCGCAACTAATTCATTTATCAATTTTGACCAACTCTGCCAGGCGCAGGTAATTTATTTATCGATTTTGACCAAATCTGCCCGGCGCAACTAATTTATTTATCGATTTTGACCAACTCTGCCAGGCGCAACTAATTTATTTATCGATTTTGACCAACTCTGCCAGGCGCAACTAATTTATTTATCAATTTTGACCAACTCTGCCAGGCGCAGGTAATTTATTTATCGATTTTGACCAAATCTGCCCGGCGCAAGTAATAAATTTATCGATTTTGACCAAATCTGCCAGGCGCAACTAATTTATTTATCAATTTTGACCAACTCTGCCTGGCGCAAGTAATTTATTTATCGATTTTGACCAAATCTGCCCGGCGCAACTAATTTATTTATCAATTTTGACCAACTCTGCCAGGCGCAACTAATTTATTTATTGATTTTGACCAACTCTGCCAGGCGCAACTAATTTATTTATCGATTTTGACCAACTCTGCCAGGCGCAAGTAATTTATTTATCGATTTTGACCAAATCTGCCCGGCGCAAGTAATAAATTTATCGATTTTGACAAAATCTGCCAGGCGCAAGTAATTTATTTATCGATTTTGACCAACTCTGCCAGGCGCAACTAATTTATTTATCGATTTTGACCAACTCTGCCAGGCGCAGGTAATTTATTTATCGATTTTGACCAACTCTGCCAGGCGCAACTAATTTATTTATCGATTTTGACCAACTCTGACAGGCGCAACTAATTTATTTATTGATTTTGACCAAATCTGCCCGGCGCAAGTAATAAATTTATCGATTTTGACAAAATCTGCCAGGCGCAAGTAATTTATTTATCGATTTTGACCAACTCTGCCAGGCGCAACTAATTTATTTATCGATTTTGACCAACTCTGCCAGGCGCAACTAATTTATTTATCGATTTTGACCAACTCTGCCAGGCGCAACTAATTTATTTATCGATTTTGACCAACTCTGCCAGGCGCAACTAATTTATTTATCAATTTTGACCAACTCTGCCAGGCGCAAGTAATTTATTTATCGATTTTGACCAAATCTGCCCGGCGCAAGTAATAAATTTATCGATTTTGACAAAATCTGCCAGGCGCAAGTAATTTATTTATCGATTTTGACAAAATCTGCCAGGCGCAAGTAATTTATTTATCGATTTTGACCAACTCTGCCAGGCGCAACTAATTTATTTATCGATTTTGACCAACTCTGCCAGGCGCAGGTAATTTATTTATCGATTTTGACCAACTCTGCCAGGCGCAACTAATTTATTTATCGATTTTGACCAACTCTGCCAGGCGCAGGTAATTTATTTATCGATTTTGACCAACTCTGCCAGGCGCAACTAATTTATTTATCGATTTTGACCAAATCTGCCCGGCGCAAGTAATAAATTTATCGATTTTGACAAAATCTGCCAGGCGCAACTAATTTATTTATTGATTTTGACCAACTCTGCCAGGCGCAACTAATTTATTTATCGATTTTGACCTACTCTGCCAGGCGCAAGTAATTTATTTATCGATTTTGACCAAATCTGCCCGGCGCAAGTAATAAATTTATCGATTTTGACAAAATCTGCCAGGCGCAAGTAGTTTATTTATCGATTTTGACAAAATCTGCCAGGCGCAAGTAATTTATTTATCGATTTTGACCAACTCTGCCAGGCGCAACTAATTTATTTATCGATTTTGACCAACTCTGCCAGGCGCAGGTAATTTATTTATCGATTTTGACCAACTCTGCCAGGCGCAACTAATTTATTTATCGATTTTGACCAACTCTGCCAGGCGCAACTAATTAATTTATCGATTTTGACCAAATCTGCCAGGCGCAAGTAATTTATTTATCGATTTTGACCAACTCTGCCAGGCGCAACTAATTTATTTATCGATTTTGACCAACTCTGCCAGGCGCAAGTAATTTATTTATCGATTTTGACCAAATCTGCCCGGCGCAAGTAATAAATTTATCGATTTTGACAAAATCTGCCAGGCGCAAGTAATTTATTTATCGATTTTGACCAACTCTGCCAGGCGCAACTAATTTATTTATTGATTTTGACCAACTCTGCCAGGCGCAGGTAATTTATTTATCGATTTTGACCAACTCTGCCAGGCGCAACTAATTTATTTATCGATTTTGACCAACTCTGCCAGGCGCAACTAATTTATTTATTGATTTTGACCAAATCTGCCCGGCGCAAGTAATAAATTTATCGATTTTGACAAAATCTGCCAGGCGCAACTAATTTATTTATCGATTTTGACCAACTCTGCCAGGCGCAACTAATTTATTTATCGATTTTGACCAACTCTGCCAGGCGCAGGTAATTTATTTATCGATTTTGACCAACTCTGCCAGGCGCAACTAATTTATTTATCGATTTTGACCAACTCTGCCAGGCGCAACTATTTTATTTATCGATTTTGACCAACTCTGCCCGGCGCAAGTAATAAATTTATCGATTTTGACCAACTCTGCCAGGCGCAACTAATTTATTTATCGATTTTGACCAACTCTGCCAGGCGCAACTAATTTATTTATCGATTTTGACCAACTCTGCCAGGCGCAAGTAATTTATTTATCGATTTTGACCAACTCTGCCAGGCGCAACTAATTTATTTATCGATTTTGACCAAATCTGCCAGGCGCAAGTAATTTATTTATCGATTTTGACCAACTCTGCCAGGCGCAACTAATTTATTTATCGATTTTGACCAACTCTGCCAGGCGCAAGTAATTTATTTATCGATTTTGACCAAATCTGCCCGGCGCAAGTAATAAATTTATCGATTTTGACAAAATCTGCCAGGCGCAAGTAATTTATTTATCGATTTTGACCAACTCTGCCAGGCGCAACTAATTTATTTATCGATTTTGACCAACTCTGCCAGGCGCAGGTAATTTATTTATCGATTTTGACCAACTCTGCCAGGCGCAACTAATTTATTTATCGATTTTGACCAACTCTGCCAGGCGCAACTAATTTATTTATTGATTTTGACCAAATCTGCCCGGCGCAAGTAATAAATTTATCGATTTTGACAAAATCTGCCAGGCGCAAGTAATTTATTTATCGATTTTGACCAACTCTGCCAGGCGCAACTAATTTATTTATCGATTTTGACCAACTCTGCCAGGCGCAACTAATTTATTTATCGATTTTGACCAACTCTGCCAGGCGCAACTAATTTATTTATCGATTTTGACCAACTCTGCCAGGCGCAACTAATTTATTTATCAATTTTGACCAACTCTGCCAGGCGCAAGTAATTTATTTATCGATTTTGACCAAATCTGCCCGGCGCAACTAATTTATTTATCAATTTTGACCAACTCTGCCAGGCGCAAGTAATTTATTTATCGATTTTGACCAAATCTGCCCGGCGCAAGTAATAAATTTATCGATTTTGACAAAATCTGCCAGGCGCAAGTAATTTATTTATCGATTTTGACCAACTCTGCCAGGCGCAACTAATTTATTTATCGATTTTGACCAACTCTGCCAGGCGCAACTAATTTATTTATCGATTTTGACCAACTCTGCCAGGCGCAACTAATTTATTTATCGATTTTGACCAACTCTGCCAGGCGCAACTAATTTATTTATCAATTTTGACCAACTCTGCCAGGCGCAGGTAATTTATTTATCGATTTTGACCAAATATGCCCGTTTTTGCGTTTTCAATTAAACCTGTCATAATTTTTAATTTCCCTATGGTTAAAATTATTTTATTGCTCCATTCATCCTTTACAGTAGGACACTTCTAGATCCCCAATATTAATTTTTGACTGGCTACAAAAACAACTCCAACAGAAGCGCTGGGTTGTATTGCAGCTTTATCTAAAATAGGAATTTTTACCTAAAACAACTCTGAGGGCTTGAACTTCTTTCCGAACTGCATCACTATATTGGCTGTAAAGGTTATGATCATATTCACTCATTCTAATATCTTTTAGACGTTGTTTAAATGCTTTTAATCCCATTTCTCTAGCAGCTTTCTTAATATGTTCCGGTACAGTATTTTTCTCTTCATCGCTCAACTGATGAACCGTGTGGCCAGCATCTAAACGATAGGGTCCTCCTTTTCCTCCAAGACCAGCTGTGTCCCTTCCTAATCGAAATTATAATTAGGTAAGAAGTTCTTACCGAATAAACAAAAAAATATTAGTATAATTATTAATTACCTCCAGTACCACCAGCCCAAGTATTCCCACCAACGTGAGGTTCATCATTGTGATCAATTTTACCATGTTTAGGACCACTGATATCTAATCCTGAATATCTTTCCTTAGTTAATTGCAAACGTTGTCCATCACCGCCTACCATTTTACGCCACTCTCCCAAAGATTTTTCAATGTTGATTAAGGAAGTTTCCCACAAGCGGACGCAACCGCCGGCATCGACAGTCACAACACCTTCATTAGAAGTTAGTGCAGAGTAAAGTGGAAGTTCTTGTGTATAGAGCCATTGTGTTACTGGTGACACATTTACTGGTCTATGTAATTAAAAAGGATTCTAAAGTTTCACAAGAAAGAGTTCAATAATATTTTTATGATTAACTGTATAACTTACTGAGGTATTGGAAGATATCTAACTTTATGATTAGAAGTGTCCACAATTTCGAAGTAAGCAGAGACTTCTAATGGTTTCTTTTCATCAGGAAAAATTCCCTTTGGTACAAGATTCGGAGAAACTGTACGTACAATTTGTCCGTTATCAGTGATAATTGGTTGACCAGGAATTTTCCTCTTCTCCTTTCGAGGCCAAAAAAATACATCATTCGCGCTATCTAATTCCGGAAATCCAACAATAATTGTCGCAAAATTTTTATCATCAGCTAAAAGTCTATTTGGTGAATTAATATTCCTCTTTAAAGCATTACTGAGAATGTCTTCACGAAGATTATCTTTACCACAAGATACAAAGACTCCTATTTTTTCATCATTTGTTCCAGCTACTTCAATACTTTTTAGAACATTAGGACATGGATTAGCTGATGATGATTTAACAAGTGTATACATTTTGTTAGAATTACTTTGAATTAGCCATCTATCTTTCAATGCGGGTAAAATTGATTCTATTGGAAATGGAAGATTCATTGAATAAGCTGCCATTTTATTCAAATTAACAATTTCTATATTATTATCATAGGGTGTAAATAAAATCAACAAATCATCAGAAATTAGAAAATCGGTTTTCAACTTCCAAATAACATCCTTGTTTCTAAACGTCTGGGAAAATTTATCACTTGCCATATCCATGAACGAGGATAATTGTAAATTATTCACAATTCCTTGCTCTAAATTCACTGACAAAATTGTATTCGACTGTAAATTAAATAATAGAATTAAATAATGTTAATAAATAAATTTAATTTTCATTAACATTTACCGTTGCTTCGTGAATAATTAGATTTCCACTTTTATCTGGCGCAATTGTATAAAGGGGTTTATTTCCTATAGTTGGAGTTATCAATCCTTGAAGAGGTATTTCCTGAATATATTCCGATTCTCTAGTCATTGTGAAAACTGACAGTGGATTTGTAGTTAGCACATGAAATTTATCATCTACTCCACTTTTATTAAAACCTTTCGTAACAGCCAATGCAGAAACAACTCCCGTATTATTAATTGGAATTGTCCAGTAACTTAACATTTCAGTAAACCAAGCCGATCGGGCTTCTACTTTATCTAAAATGTGCAATCGTTTCTTTTGATTTGCGATTGTTTTCAATTTAACAAATCTCTCATGAACAGTTATTGTTCTCTCTTTATTTGATATATTCCAAGTGCCGTGGAATTTTAATTTTGGCAAAGGAATTCTGAAAGAACGACAAAAGGATCAGTGTTTGTTTTAAATTCTGTTTATTAAAAATATCATACAATGTACAAAAAGTAATTAAGTAGCAGTAATCAATTGATTTTGTATTCTATAAAGGGATCTTACTCTTTAGCTAATTCCACATTTTTAGAACTCGTTCCGATTGGAATTCCATGTTTGTGAAGAACAGATATTAGTGTATCGAACACTTCAGGTGAATATCGATCAAAATCGAATACATTCTGTACAACACTGTTTAAGGATTCTTTCGGGAATTTCTGAAAGTGTTATAGGTTATTAGATTTACTTTGTAGGAAACAAATAAAAGTGTTAATCAACAAAAGTATGATTAGTGTTTTTAGTTAGAAAATAAGTTTTCACCAACCTGTAAATGTTTCACAATGTTTACGACTTCTCTGGTGGAGTAAGGATAAGAAACAAGTCCTTGATCAGCCATACTTCTTAATTCACCAAAAGCTTTTACAAGTTTGTAAATTATTTTATCATCGACATCTGGACCATATTGTTTCAACAATTGAATTTCATTTTCAACTGTAGGATTATCAACGGAATGAGTACTGAATAAATCACCCAAAGAACCAAAGAAATCATTTCCTAAAAATGGAAAACCAGGTCTGTTGGCAAGTACAATCATTCTAAAGTCTGGATGCATTGCTATTAAATCAGAAGCTTCTTCAATCCGATCGGAAGGAACTATTCTTCGTCCATCTGACAATATCATTTCGCCAGATTCAACTAATGTCTGAAAGAATAATTTACTAAACATGATATTTATTCAAAATTTAGTATTTAGTAAAAATATGAACCTTTAAAATACAAGTGACATGCGTTGGTGCCTTATCAGCCTCATCGATGACCAAAACATGTCCAAATTTAACAGCCTGAACTAATGGTGAATCTTCATAAACAACCACACCATCTTTAACCATTGGCTGTATGGTCAAAGTTTGTACAGTAGTATCTCTATGCAACTGAATGTATTCTCTGGGTCTATTCATCAATTGTAGTAAACGATCTGCTATCTTATTTTTACCAACTCCCTGATTACCCACAAGTAATAAATTCTGTCCCAAGCTAAAATCTTGCAGTAAATTCTCAAGGAGAGTCAAATGCTGAGGAACGTTGTAAAAGAGAATATCAGGAATTTTAGTAAGTGCATTCGTCTTATATCGTTTCATTGTTGTTTCACCAATTGTCACATTTTCTTCATCAACTTTGCAAACTATTTTCGTATCAAAATCTTTCCCCTTGGGGATGATTTCTAATTTTTTTAAACAATTCTCCAAAGTCTGTTTTGTTAATATTGGTAGAAATCTTGCTAAACAGGCACGTTGCACTATATCATAAACATCACTGTTTGGAAATTTATTCATTTTTGCTGCAATTCTAAAAAGTTGTCTTGTACTCAAGGAACTTGATATAGATTGTAGTGTTGGATCAGTTGATGAACGTAATACATGAGCTAATTCTATAATTTTTAAAAGATCCTTGCTTGGTTCTCCATACTGCAATCGTATTCAAAAAATAATAAAAACAAAACACTAAATTACAATTTGCTGTGGAATAAATCATTTCTTGAATAAATTACCTTTGATCGAATAACATGGATTTCTTCAGTATCATCTAGAGGTCTCATTTCGTGAAATAGGAAAAGACTTAGTAATTCCGAATTCAACCATTGTCCAACTGAACTATTCAACATTGGCGGTTCCGCCAGACTAATAATCCTGAATGCTGGATGAATTTTCAAAATTCCGGAATTATTCATTTCGTCATCAGTTTTTTGAAATTTTTCTTTAATCGCATCATAATGTTCAGCCGCCATTAGACGTTTTCCATCGTGCATTTGTAATTCCCGATTTTGTACTAATCTGTTAATTAAAATTTAGTATTAGGATTTGAAATTCCAGTGAATGTAGGTGACATGTAACTCTGGCAATACAGATTATGGGAAAATTTTAGCAAAAGGAATTTGCCTGCGAATATCATTTTATCTGGGGCCAAGAATTTATTGACCCTGAGTAGAATAGGACTCGAAATAATTTGAATTTAAACGAATGAACTGGAAATGGGTACAATGGATATCAAACCCAAGTGCCTACTGTTTGTGTAGGAACTGAGGTTCGACTTCGGTTAATTAAATTTGATTCTAAAAACTTTATTATTAACCTGTAAATAACAGCCAGAGTGCTAGGATGAAGTCTATGGATTCCATCTAATACTGCTAATTTCCCTTCCAGGGCGGCTGTAATTAAAGCAGAATTTTTCCAAACAGTATCTCCATTAATCAAAGTTGTTCTTTGCTGAATAAGATCCCTAGAAGTCATATCCTAAAAATCGATACTTATTTAAAAGTTTAGAAATAATTAAGATGAATATAAAAATTCCACAATAAATAAAATACTTAAGACTTGAAAATTTTGTTCTATAAAATTATTTTGTAAAGTAATATTAAGTTTGTAAAACGAAAACTTTAGTTAAGTTAGTGTTACATCTTACCTGATAAAGCACTATGGGCTCAATTTGATAACCTAGCAAATTCGCTAATTTTGTGACTGTTGCAGATTTTCCACAACCTTTCGGACCAACAAGACACCAATCCAATGTCAAGTGAGTCTTCATCATATTAGCAATTAATGCATTTTGATAATAAGTATCTACAAACCACTCCAGTGAATTTTTACAATGTCCAGAACCTGCTGGAACCTGATATTCAAAATTTATAGAAAAAATATTTTTGAATAAAATAATTAAGATACAAAATTTATTGACTTCTTACATTAACAATTGTTTCATCTCCATTTGAATTAATAATTACTTCTGCTTTACTATCTAATAGTTTGATATCTTTTACACTACTATTTTCTTCCTTTATTGATTTTTTATCTAAAACGCCAAATGTTTCTAGAATATCTTCGACTGCTGTTTTACCTTCTTTGGTTAAAAATAATTTATAAGGATAATATCTATAAAATACATTATAAACACTCGTGTTTGGAAAATTTTCCTATAAAGAAAATTATGGATGTTAAAAAATATATTTGAAAAGCTTAAAAATAGCTGGTGGTAATTAGAATAATTCAGTTACCAAAATAAATGCAGCGGACGTCACATTGTCTAGGGGAAAATCAGGAAGTCCCAAATTTAGAGCTTCTTCGGTTGCAAGAGCATGACAGCAGGAGAGAAATTGAGATAATTTGCCAGGATCAACGTTAGGAGTTAATTTTTTCATTTCCTCAAGTTGCTCCTGAAAAAATTTATTTTTATTACGAAATAAATTTTTTGTCTTTCCTAATTTGGATTTTATTTAAACGTTTCGCCGTGTGTCGCAGAAAGGGGTTAAAGGGGAAATGGAAGTTGAAGTGGCTGCGTCGTGATGTACTGGTAAGGCCAAATAATTACACCCGCAGCCATGCGTGCCGTGGAAGTCGTTGCAGTAATGTCATTAATTGTGTTTGAACGGTCCGCAAATAATTACTCAAAACCCTTCGCATGTCACAGAAGCGGACTAAAGAGAGAACTGAAAATTTGTTCTGGCAACTCCAAACGAAGGGTTTGTGATCTGATACAATTTTAAATCTTCATCCAAAAAGATGATGTCCAAAATATTTAACTGATACTATTGCTAATAATTCCTTTTCAGTAGTCGTGTAATTTATTTCAGCTTTATTTAGCCAAACGAAGGGTTCGTGATCTGTTACAATTTTAAATCTTCGTCCAAAATTAATTGGTCATACTATTGCTAATAATTCTTTTTCAGTAGTCGTGTAATTTATTTCAGCTTTATTTAAAGTTTTTGAAGCAAATGCTCATATTGAAACAGTTCTAAGCATAATATCCATCTTAATAATCTTGTACTAGGATTTATTTCGTTATGTAACTAAACTAATGTTTTATGATCTGCCTGAATAGTGAATGTCCGTCCTAATAAATATTATCTTAATCTTTTTGCACCCCACACTATTGTCAATAATTCTTTTTCTGCTGTATTATAATTTTGTTCTGCTTTATTTAATACTCTTGAAATTTAACAGTATGTACGTCCCTCTTGAGAAGGTATGCTTAGAATACCCAAGGAGCCTGTTCTCCTTTTCATGATTACAAATATTTTCCGATGAAAAAGTGCTTCCTAAATATGCAAATAATAGTGTTAATGACAATTTACCATCTAAAAGTAATAATACACTTGAAAGGAGGAATTTAGGCTAATAAGTCTTAATCCTCAAATGAGTAATAATTATGTATAATAACTTTTGCTGTAAATTTAAAGTAAAAAAATTTTTAATTCGCGATAGGTGGATGCCTCTTCAATTTGTGCTAAATAGTTTCCCAACATGATTAACAACAAGAACCATTCTTCACACCAGTGAGCTTCAATGAATTACTACCTCTCAACACGAAACCGCCTTACAATTGCTACATTTCCATCAAAAGTTTTCAATTTAAATTACCCTTATCTCCAATAGATAATCATTATAATAGCACTCGAATTCCTAGAAATCTTTAGATTTTCAAGCTATTTTGCAATTTCTCTATTCTCGTGCAAAAAAAAAAAAAAGTTAAATTAGTTTCTAAAATTAAATGCACTTTGAAGCACAATTATTTTTAATCCACATTTTGTATTCCGTTAAGAGACCACTAGACTCAGATATTTGAAAATTCGTGCATAGTTTCCATTTTTTTAAAACTGCGATTTCAAATAGAATATTTCTTGATTATTTATACCAAAACCCCGTTCCAATTTTAATTGTTACTAATTAAAATTAAATCGGGAAACACTATAGCAGGGATGCCACGAAAATTTAATTTTGTTTTTCCCTGACTTTTCCCTGATTTCCAGACAAAATTTTGACCCTGAAGAATATACCGATTCACTCCAAAAATTATTAGATACTCAAAGAAATGTTCTATATTACATTTATATTTACGAATTTTTTTAAATGTAAAATTATTCGACAACATCAATAACTTCTTTTTTAAATAAATACATTCATTTTTAAATAAATCATTATTATTTTTCTATAGGAATTAAGGATTTTAAATTAAAACCTTCTGAAATTAAACACTTATAAAAAATTATTATAAAACATAAAGAAATCGATCACTCCGAGTCTTCGACTCGGAGCAATCGATTTCTTCACGTTTTATAATAAATTTAAAATGATAAAGTGTGATAAAATCATTATTTTATATTATAAGAATATTGCAACTTCTATAAATTTAAATTTTCAAAGATTTTAATCTTTGAACCCTTTTTAAAATTCACTTATTTATAAAAATTCACGCTATGATGCTTTTAATATTCAATTATAATTTTAAATTTTAAGTGAAATTCATTTTTAAACAATTTTTATTAGAAAATTTTTCGAGAATTCAATTATTTAAATACAAAGATAAATAATGTATTAAATAATTAAATATTTCTTAAAATTGAATTTTTTAAAAGAAATTTATAAAAAAAAATTTTTAAATAATTGAATTCTTTCGGCGAATTTTAAAAAAATTATAAAGAATAAATGCAATTTTCTATCAGTTTATGTAAAATTGTATAAAAATTAATTGAAACTCTGCTATAAATATTGTTATTTATAAAAATAATTTAATTCTTGCAATGAATTTTATTAAAAAATTTTTAAAAAATTAAATTCCCGTGAAGAATTTTATTTGTGAAAATAATTGAATTCCGGAGAAAAATATTATTATATTTATGATATTAATTAATTTCTTGTGAAAAAAATAATTGTGAAAAAATAATTAAATTCCATCGAGAAATTTCATTAAAAAATTGAAAATAATTGAAATCTGACGAAGAATTTTATTAATTTTCTTTTTTTAAATAATTGAATTCTTGTGAAAAGTTTTATTTTTGAAAAAAATTGAATTCTTGGGAAGAATTTTATTATTTATGAAAATATTTGATTTCTTACGAAGAATTTTATTCAAATTTTTTTCAAATAATTGAATTCCCATTAAAAAAAATGTATTATTTGTGAAAATAATTGAATTCTCAAGAAGAATTGTATTGAAAATAATTTAATTGAATAGGAAAATTTTATTAAAATTGTGCAATATTATTAACTAAAATCTTGTAAAGAATTTTGGCAAAATTTTTTTAAATAATAGAATTTTTAAAAGAATTTTATTTAAATTTTGCGAAATAATTGAATTTCTCAGAATTATTTTTTTCTATTTTCCTTTGAATATATTTGAATTCTTTCGATAAACTTCATTATTAAAAATTAAAAATAATTGAATTGGTGCGAAGAAATTTATAAAAAAAAATTGAAAAGTAATTGAATTTCTGTGAAATTTTTATTGAAATTTCGTTTAAATAATTGAATTCTTTTGGAAAATTGTATTAAAATAGTAGAGATAGGTATTAAAAATAAATAATTATTATATTAAATAAATAATATTAATATAAAATTGAAATAATATAAAATATTAAATAAATAATATTATAGATATTAAAAATAATTGAAATGAGGAAATTTTTTGAAAATAATTGAATTTCTGTAATCAGTTGTTCTTAAAATTTCTATTTAAATTCATTAAAAATTGAATATTTTTAAAATTTCATATGCAGATTTTAAACGCAATAACTCTTTTAAAAATTTGAAATCTAATTAATTTTGAAATTTTTTTTTTTTTTTTTTTTTTTATTCGTTAAATATTTCTTAAAAAATAATGTTATGATAGTTCTTGAAGAATTCAGTTATTTAAAAAGAAATTATTGTCAGAAACAGAAAAAATTGAAAGCTTTGTATTAAAATTCTTGTCAATTTCATAGTTTATGAGGCAAACAAAAAAGACACAAAAATTCAGAATTTTCTTATAAATTCTAAGACTTAAATTTTTTCCAGTACTTTTAATAAAAATCCTTGCCTTTTTCCTGATTTCCCTGACCAATTCTCATTTCCCTGACTTCTCTGACTTGTGGAACGAAAAAAAAATTTCCAATTTTAACAAAAACCCATAATAAGGAATACTTTTTGTAATTAGTAAGTTATTAGAAATAGCAGTGTAAGTTTTAAAATTTTAAACCTATTTCTTGCACGACATAATATAAGAAGCTTAAGAGACGTAACAAACTTTTTACAAATTTTTTTTTTTAAAAAAAGAGTTCCCTTATGATCTTATAACAAAAATATATATGTCGACTCATTAGTTGTCGCTGACACGCGATTTTTGTGGAAAGTAATTTTCTGAGTCTACCGCATATGCCAAAAAACACCTTACGTACAACTTATTTACTCAAAAATGACAAATACGGTGTCTTATTTTTATAAACTCTATTCCACCACTATATTTCCATTTTTTTTTTTTTTTTTTTTTTAAATTAAACATTTGCGACAAAAAACTTTAATATTAAATATTTTCCTCACTTTTATTGAAAAGACAACGAAAAAGGTTTATCAAATTAAAAAACTGGAGATAATTCGAATAAATCAACTTTTAGCTTAAAAATTCAAATATCGGCAAGGAACCCGGAAATATTTGATAATCATATATAAACTAGACGTGACAGTAAAATTAGAGTATAATTTTATATGACAAAAACTTTTTCTAATCGCATGATTTGTACGCGTGAAATATCACGACATCTCTTACTGGCACGAAAGAATTTTTTTTTTTTTTTTTTTTTTTTTTTTTTTTTTTATAACAAAAACTAAAACAAAATAAATTACATATCAATGTAAAGTTGATTTAACAAGAAGCTTTCCAGAGTACACCATTTGCTTAAAAAAAAAGTGTTACAAAAATGAAAAAATAAATAACTAGTATTCGAATTACCTTGCAAATATGTTCATCATCAGTTTCTTCAGCAGAAATTCCAAATACTTCAATAAGCTGAGATTTTGACAATTTCACTTCAATTTGAAATAGTAATTTTCTTTTCCTCAATTAGGGGTAATTATGTGTGTAATTAAATGAATAAAGTAGGGAGAAAGTATGAAGAAAGGATGGAAAAAGAATGAAGAAAGTATGGACTGTCTTAAAAATTTTGATTTCTATATTTACGTAGGGAGGAGAAAAGGAAAAGTTTTAATCACATATTAAAGATTCTTGGGATGAATATTTTTCTACTTTGAAAGATGGTAGGAAGATGTGTAACTGAACTTTACCCGGAGGGCACCAAATAATTTTCCTCTCTACATTTCTATTTGTCTCAATTTCCCCCGATGGTATCACTTCCTTGTGGAAATTATCATCTACAGAATCAATTGAATCCTGACTCGGCTGTTTTATTCCAAAATGTTTTTTCTTCATCTTCCTTAATTTCTCGTCCTCCTCTTTTGCCTCCTCCAATTTATAACTTTGAATTGGTATTGAAATCAAATTATCACGACGTCTGTAATTTCTCCTACGATTAAAATCCATCTCCAAATTATCATCACTCGATTCCTCTTTATCGTCATTTTGAACTTTTCTTGAGATATCCAACCATTGAAGGACCTTTTCCGATAGGGGATTCAAATGATTGTGATCCTCCTCAGCTATCAAGGAATTAAAAGCAATTTTTGATTTAATGTCTTTGTCAAAAATTGTGTCAATTGTTTTTCTTACTGATGAATTTATTTCTGATTGAAAAATATCTTCGTAGGAGAAATTAGTGATGTTTTTTGATAAACTGGAAATATTGTTGAGGGGAGATTTTTTTGAACATGGTGCCGATTGAGTTCGTATTAAATTTTCTTTGGGGATTTTTTCCGATTTCTCCACAACGACTCTTAATTTCAAGAAGCAATTATCAAGTGCTTCGGAATTTGAATTGTACGGCTCGTATTTAACGGGATAAATTTTTTCCTTCGTGACTAAAGTTTGCTGTCGCCTACGTGATTTAATATTCAAGAAAGGATCATCGTGAGAAAGAATAGCGTGTCGAATTCCATCCACCCACACTGTCCTCACAGTGATTGGTCTTTCTGATGAGGACCAAATTGGTGGCATTGTATAATTCACGAAATTTTCTTTTAAAATCTTTTATCTTTTAAGAAATGCTTGATGAAAAATATACTTTCAATTACACATTCAACAGTTGTTCTTCCAAAGTTCTTTCCAATCATTTTTTTCCTAATTCAAAGAAATAATTTTTTAACATGAAATTTATGTATCGTGACATAAATTAACAACATTAGAGAATTATTTAATTTTTAAAATTAAAAGAAGAAAAATTTTTAAATAAAAAACCATTGAATAACAAAAACGAAATTCTTTTCAAAATTAGAATTGAAAACTGAGATATTTTTCAATGATAAAGGAGGAGAAAAATGAAACGTATCGACTGCGACCAGGAAGACGGGAATGGTGACTGCCATTTGAAGCACGCGATCTAAACTGTCTCTGTGACCATCGCGCAGCTACAAAATCTCGGAGGGGATGTGAAATTTTTATGTCTTGAAAAATCTAACACCGAACACCCTATAAATCCATCTTTAAATTAAATTCTTAATAAGGAAAAACTTTTATTAACTATTTGCACGAATGTCCTCAAAAATCGTTTAATTTTAAAGTAACTACCTATCTGCAATCTAATTTTGCCCGCAGGAATTTCGGAACTGTCACGAATATAATTTATTTTAACTATACCACTTTCTTTTAACAGAAATGCTGCATTAAAGTTATAATGGAATTTATCTTTATTATTATATTTCCCGAATGATAAAAATGTAATTTTATTTTTGAAGGAGAAATATTAAATCTGATCCTAAGAGTATAAATTTAATGGGTTAGTTGTAACATTAAAAATATTATCATGGATAGCTAGCTAATAGAGAAAACGAAAGAATAATAATCAATAACTTTAAAAAATTGTAATAACAAATAATGTTTAACAACAAATTGTAATTTTCAAATAAGAAATAAATAGTTTAACAAATTATAAACATGTCAACAATAACAGGTGAATTGTAAAATAGAACAGAATCTCTAAATCTAATGAATTCAGAAAGATTACTCAAACAGGTGGTAAGAGAACAATGATTTTAAAAAAAAATTCATTCATCATTATTGTTTTTCCAATTTTTCATAGAATTTAATTTGAAACCTTTACAAAATTCAATTATTTCTAAAGATTGCAATTATTAGTAACTTCTCAAAAATTTAATTATTATCTAAAACTTTAAATGAAATTAATTTTTAAATCAATTTTATTATAAAATATAAATGTAAATTATTATAAAATATAAATGTAAATTATTATAAAATATAAATATAAATTATTATAAAATATAAATATTTTTTCGGAGTAATCACTTTCTTCATGTTTTACAATAATTAAAGGTGATTGAGTGATAAAATCATTATTTTGTAGTAAAATATAAGAATATTGTTTAACTTCTTCAAAATTATTTACATCATTTTAATTCAATTATTGTTTTCTAGAATTTTTAAAAATAAAATTCTTCTTTAAATCAATTATTTTTAATAATTTTCGATAAAGTTCTTTTCAGAATTTTTAAATTCATTTGTATTCAATTTTACCAAATTTCAATTATTCGGAAATTCTTCAATTTAAATATACATTAGAAAATAAAAATGTGAAATAATTTTAAAAAATTTCGATTAAACTTTTTGAAAAAAATTATTTTCATAGAATTTTTTAATTAAAAGTATGAAAAATTTAGATTGTCAAAGGGTTTTAATGTGAAACCTTTACAAAATTCAATTATTTCTCAAAAATTGCAATTATTAGTAGCTTCTGCAAAATTCAATTATTATCTAAATTAATTGAAATTAATAATTAATAATTAATTGAAATTAATTTTTAAATCAATTTTTATTAGAAAATTCTACGAGAATTGCAATCATTTTTATTATTTATGAAAATAATTTAATTATTGCGAAGAATTTTATAAAAAAATTTCAAACGATTGATTTTTTTTTGGAAAAAATTTATGCAAATTCTGTGTTAAATAATTGAATTCCTGTGAAATTTTTATTTTTTTGGAAAATAATTGAATGTTTGTGTAGAACTTTGTCAAAATTGTTTTTAAATAATTGAATTTTATTGATAAATTTTATTAAAATGATAGATATACACAAATCCTTGAATGAAAAATAATTTTCATATAATTGAAATTTTGCCATGAATTTTATTAAAATTTTTGAAAATAACTGAATTTTACATTAAATATTACAAAGTTTCAAACAATTGATTTTTTTCGAAAAAATTTATGGAAATTCTATTTTTAATAATTAAATTAGTGGGACAATTTCATTATTTTAGAAAATAATTGGATATTCAAGTAAAAATTTGTCAAAATTGTTTTTAAATAATTAAATTTTGTTGAGAAATTTTATTAAAATAATAAATATATACAAATTATTGAATGAATAATAATTTTTGGAAATAAATGAAATTTTTCAATGAATTTTATTAAAATTTTTGACAATAATTGAATTTTACATTAAATATTATAAAGTTTCAAACAATTGATTTTTTCGAAAAAATTTATGCAAATTCTATATTAAATAATTGAATTCGTATGAAATTTTTATTCTTTTTTTGGGAAAATAATTGAATGTTCGTGTAGAATATTATCAAAATTTTTGTTTAATAATTGAATTCTTTTGGGAAATTTTATTAAAATAGTAGAATATTGAAAATCATTGAATTAAAAAAATTTTTTTGAAAATAATTGGAATTCTGCCATGAATTTTATTAAAATTTTTAATTTTATTCATTTTGAAAATAATTGAATTTTACATTTAACATTATAAAGTTTCAAACAATTGATTTTCTTTTCAAAAAAATTTATGCAAATTTTATTTTTAATAATGGAATTCCTGGAAAATTTTCATTATTTTAGAAAATAATTGAATATTCGTGTAGAACTTTGTCAAAATTATTTTTAAATAATTGAATTTTGTTGAGAAATTTTATTAAAATAATAGATATATATATATATATATACAAATTATTGAATGAAGAATAATTTTTGAAAATAATTGAAATTTTGCAATGAATTTTATGAAAGTTTTTAAAAATAATTGAATTTTATTACTTTTCAAAATAATTGAATTCAAAAAGTAATTTAAAATTTATGAAAATAATTTGACTACTCCGAAAAATTTAATGCTAAATTTTAACATATTTGATTTTTTCGAAAAAATTCTATACAAATTCTATTTTAAATAATTGAATTCCTGTGAAATTTTTTTTTGAAAAATAATTGAATATTATCAAAATTTTTGTTTAATAATTGAATTCTTTTGGGAAATTTTATTAAAATAGTAGAATATTGCAAAATCATTGAATTAAGAACATTTTTTTGAAAAAATTGGAATTTTGCCATGAATTTTATTAAAATTTTTGAAAATTGAATTTTATTACTTTTGAAAATAATTGTATTCTTGTGATGAATATTATTATTTATGAAAATCATTGAATTATATTATTATTATAATATTAATTATATTATTTATAAAATTAATTATATTAATATTACAGGTATTAATTATATTTAATATTTATTAAGATAGTTGAATTCTTTCAAAGAATTTTTAAAAAAGAAATTTTTAAAATTGAAACTAATATCAACAGAATTGAAATTAAAATTTTTCAAAAATAAAATACTTCATTAAATGGTATAGTTGATTTTTTCTTCCGTTGTTGAATTTTGTTGATATTCTTTTTGATCGATTAAAAAGAATATCAACAAACGTCATTAAATGATTTATTTATAAAAATTACCTCAAAACTTGGTGATGAAATATGTCTTGCTTGAAATCTTGATCTAAGCGGTGGATCTAAAGGATGTCCAGAATATCGTGGCGCAGGAAGTCCTAAGGCAATTACTCGAAAATCCTCACTAACTCGAACTAATCGCCAAAAATCCAATTCCTTTTGAGAATGTTCCTATAAATAAAAGTAAAATTAAAAACTGTCTACACTGAAAATTAAAAAAATAAAATACAAATGAAATGAGGAATTAAATTACTTATCAAAATACCTTTAATAATTTATCATAACGAGAAGCAGGTATCAGAAATCTTCCATCCTCAAGATGCATTTCTCTATTTTCCAAAAGATTATTCAATATTGGCAGGACATTTCTTTCTGCCTTTTCAATACCTTCGAGAATTAAAATTCTACCATTTATTGCAGCTCTCACTGCACTTTGATCATGATAATTTGCCGTTCCATTTTCAATTTCTTTTCTTTGTTTAAGATCAGCTTCGGTTGTATCGCGTGATAAGGCAATAAATTCGACTTCTCTCTCTATTAATTCTAAATAAGCTAAAGCGAGATTCCTTCTTCTTTGTCCTGGCGCTCCCATTAGAAACATATCTTGTCCTAAAATATCTTTCTGCAGCATCCATCTTAAATGTCTTAAAATTTCCTGGCTCGGTTCCTTTACTTGAAAATAATAATCATCGTAAATTCCAATAATGTTAAAATTTACATTAAACATTTTCTCTATGAATTCATTTCGATTTTCTTAAAATATTTTGTATATACATATTTTACATTTACTCACAATAACTTCTTGGCACGTACTCTGGATTTTTCGCTGGTTTTACAACTTTGACGACATCTTTCAAAGTAACTAATGTTTGATCTGTAAAATTTTTAAATATTTAAATAAATATTTGTCTACTTTTAATTGTATTGATTATTTTTTTAGTTTTTTACCTGTTGACATAAAACGGAGCAAGCAGCTGAGGTTAGGTTTCAATCCAGATTGTTTTATTTTGTAACAACAACTAACATTTGTTGATTGTCGTAAAACAGAAGAAGCAAATAATAACATTTTAATTTTTTTATCGTAAAAGTAAATACATATTTACAAAAATTTCCAATGTTTACACAACAAAACTAAAACACGTGTTTTTGATTATTGACAACGTATAACTTCTTTTTGAAATATTTCTTCAATTTTAAAAAAAGATTTTCAATCTAGAAATAATTTTCACATTTTTTTTTCTATTGTATCAATTTTCATCACTTGAGACAAAGTTCCTTTGACAATGCAATAGAAATTTGGACTTTGTGTTCTGTAAATCGTAATAAGTGAGCCATTTGATAGTTGAATTACATCATAAGTGCGCGATCATGGCCAACTAATTTTATCGTCTGCTACTTTCTAACTTTGAAACCAGTTTGAAACTTTTAAATCTACATCAGGATTGCCACAAAAATTTAATTTTGTTTTTCCCTGACTTTTCCTAATTTCCAGACAAAATTTTCACTTTTTCTCCTGACCCTGAAGAATATTCTGATTTACTCCAAAAATTATTAAATACTCAAAAAATGTTCTATTACATTTATTTACATATTTCTTTAATTTTAAAATTATTCGAAAACATCAAGAAATACTTTTTTAAATAAATATTTAATCATTATTAATTATCCGTAGAATAAAAAATAATAAATAAAACTTTTCAAACAAAATTTAATTATTTACAAAAATCCTAATAAAATCCTTCGCAAGAGTTCAATTATTTTTACAAGTAGTAAAATTTCTCAAAAGAATTCAATTATTTTAAAAAAATATTGTAAAATTCGATGCAAGAATTCAATTATTTTCATAAACTAATAAATGGATTATTCGGAAATTAATTTTTAAAGCAATTTTTATTAGAAAATTCTACGAAAATTCAATTATTAAAATTGAAAAATAAATTATTTATTGAATAATTTAATGTTTGCTAAAATATTGAATTTTCATAAAGAATTTTATGAATAAATTTTTAAATAATTGAATTCTTTTGACGAATTTTAATAAAATGTTTAAGAATAATTACATTTTTCGAGGAAATCGATTAAAATTGTATCAAAAATAATTAAAATCCTGCGACGAGTTGTATTATTTATGCGAAAATAATTAAATTCCTGAGAACAATTTTATTATTTATAAAAATAATTGAATCATTGCGAAAAAATTTATAAAAAAAATTGATGTATAATTGAAATCCTGGTAAATTTTTATTATTTATGAAAATAATTAAAAATGTTTTAGTGATAAAATCATTATTTTATGTCATAGGAATATTGTAACTATAAATTCAAATTTTCCAAGATTTCAATTTGAAACCCTTTACAAAATTCAATTATAATTTTAAATTTTAAGTAAAATTCATTTTTTAATCAATTTTTATTAGAAAATTTTTCGAGAATTCAATTATTTAAATACAAAGATAAATAATTTATTAAATAATTAAATATGTATTTCTTAAAATTGAATTTTTATGAAGAATTTTATCAAAATCTTTAAAAATAATTAAATTCTTTTGGAGAATTGAAAGAAAGATTTTAAGAATAAATCCAATTTTCTATCATTTTATTTAAAATTGTATAAAAAATAATTGAAATTCTACGACAAATTTTTTTATATTTATGAAAATAATTGAATTCTTGCAACGAATTTTATTAAACATTTTTTTTAAAGAATTGAATTCCTGTAAAGAAATTTTATTTGTGAAAATATTTGAATTCCGGAGAAAAATATTATTATTTATTAAAATAATTAATTTCTTGTGAAGAATTTTATTCAAATTTTTTTAAAATAATTGAATTTCTCAGAATTTTTATAAACTTTTTGAAAATGTAATTTAAATCCATCGAGAAATTTCATTAAAAAATTGAAAATAATTGAAATCTGACGAAGAATTTTATTAAATTTTTTTTTTAATAATTGAATTCCTTTGAAGAATTTTATTGAAAAGAATATTGAATTCTTCGGAAGAATTTTATTAAAATTTCTTAAATAATTGAATTGCTTCGAAGAATTTTATTTCTTACAAAAATAATTTAATTGATTCAAAGATTTTTCTAAACATTTTTGTCAATAATTGTATTCCTAGAAAGAATGTTATATTTTACGAAAATAATTGTATTCTATGATCAATTTATTTATTATAATACTTCAAATTTAGAAAGCATTTTATCAAAATTTTTTAATATAATTGAATTCTCGAGAATTTTATTAAAATACTAAATTGGCGTATTTTTTGATATTTTTATATTAATGATTTTTATATTATTATTTTATATATTATAATTTTTATATTAATGAACCATAGGATTTAAAGAAAACAACTTTTCCCAAAATTTAATTTAATAATTTATTCTTTATTCATTGGCAAATAAATAACATTTTAAGAAAAAATATTAAATTACTTAAAATTTTCATTCACTCTATCATGCTGATGAGATTTAATTCAAACATATAAATATGTAATTATGCAAAATTTAACAATATTTAACCAAGTATCACATTTAGAAAAGAATATAATAATAATCAAAAATTTGAAACATTCATTTTTGATTCTTCTTATTTTGTAAGTATGAAATATAATTAAAGAATCACTCTAAAGTTGTAAAAAATAAAAGTAAGTATATTCATCTAAAAGTAAAGTACGTATCACTCTAAAGTTGTGCAGTTTTTTTAAATTTAAATTCACGCGTTAAAAACATTCTCTCAATAATATTAGAATCGCAATAACGTGGAACAACGATAATAAAATCAGTACTTTTTTCTATTCAAGTATTTTGAAAATTTTCTTTTTACATATATCAAAATTTCTTACAACTTGTATTGATGGATGCAAATTAAAAATTACGCTGAAATAAAAGACAATTAGTAATATAATATGAATAAAATATTAATTTTTTTTTTATAAGGGAAAATTTATTATTTTACTCACTTCTTCATATTCGTCGAATCTTCTCGCATTGACTGGATAATAATCAACAATAAGTGGTCGTGGTCTTTGTCCAATGCCCGATGGTTGTTGAAGACCATGCGCCTGCTCTTGATTCGTTAGAACGGAAACAATTGTTTTAATAACTTGCTCATCTTGTTGTGAAAGTGTTTTATTTGGAAATTTCATTCGTCGCAAAAAGAGAGCATTCCACTTTTGTCTTAAATGCAAAATCAATTGCGCTGACTCAAGATCCAATTTAAAAACGACCCAGTCGTCTAATTTCAAAATTGTCGTTCCCTCTTGTCCTTCCTCTACTTCTGAATCCGATTCACTCTCTGGCAATGCTGGAAAAGGATTTAGTTTTAGAATGATAAAATCATTATTTTAAATAAATTTTACAATAATATTGTTACTCTAACATTTTCAAAATTATTTTCATCATTTCAATTCAATTATTATTTTATTATTTATGAAAATAATTGAATTATTTAAAAGAAAATTTATTTAAAAAATTTGCAAATAATTGAATTCCTGGGAAATTTTTTATTATTTTATGAAAAGAATTAAATGTTTGCGTTGAATTTTAATAAATTTTTTTTTAAATCACTGAATTTTAGCGAAGAATTTTGCTGGTTTATAAAGATAATTGAAATCATGACGAGTATTTGTTTTTAATTTTTGAAAATAATTGAATTTCTGAAATAATGTTATTGCTCTTGAAAATAATTTTATTCTCATCATTTATATTGTTATTTATGAAAGTGATTGAATTTTACAAAGAATTTAATTAAAATTCCTGAAAAAATAATTAAATTTTGTCGAAGAATTGAAAGATGATTGAAATGTGGACAATTTTTTTAAACATTTTTGAAAATAATTGAATTTTGCAAAGAATTTCATTAAAATTCTTGAAAACAATTGAATTTTGGGGAAGAATTTTGATATTATTTATCAAGATAATTGATTTCTTTCTAAGAATTGCGTTTAAATCTTAGAAATAATATTAAATACATATTAAAAAATTCAACTAATTTCAACAGAATTGAAATTAAAATTGTATTAAAAACAATTGAAATTCTGCGATGAGATTTATTATTTCTGAAAATAATTGAATCCCTAAGAAGAAGTTTATATAATATTATTTATTTTATTTTTATTTAATACTCTTATTTAATTTTTTTAAAAGTGTTTTTAACTAAATTTCTTCTATAAATCCATTATTTTTAATAATTTTTGAAAAAGTTCTTTAAGAATTTTCAAATTCATTTGTTTACAATTCAATTTTATCTGAAATTTCGATTATTTGAAAAATTCTTCAATATATTAGAAAATAAAAAATTCCGCATTGAGTTTTATTATTTACAAAAATAAAAAAAGAATTTTATTTTCAAAAATAATTAAATCCCAGTAATTATTTTATTATTTATGAAAATAATTGAATTATTTAGAAGAAAATGTATAAAAAAAAAATTTGTAAATAATTGAATTCCTGTGAAATTTTTATTATTTTATGGAAAAAATTAAATGTTTGCGTAGAATTTTATTAAATTTTTTTTTAAGTAATTGTATTCTTTTGGAAAATTTTATGAAAATAGTAAATATTAAAAATCATTGAATTGGGGAAAATTTATGAAAATAACATTTAAAATTTCCCCAAGAATTTTATTAAAATTTTTGAAAATGATTGAATTTTGGAGAAGAATTTTATTATTTCTAAAAATAATTGAAATTTTGATGAGAATTTAAAAAAAAATTTTGAACTTAATTGAATTTATGCAAAAGAATTTTATTTTTACGAAAATAATTGAATTTCGGAGAAGAATTTTATTATTTCTAAAAATAATTTGAATTTTGACAAGAATTTTTAAAAATTTTCTGAACTTAATTGAATTTCTGCAAAAGAATTTTATTTACTTTTGAAAATAATTGAATTTCTGCAAAAGAATTTTATTACTTTTGAAAATAATTGAATTTCTGCAATTTCTCTAAAAATTTTCCAAATTATATCGTACAATTTACAAACTTTTCGTCTATTTTCTATCAAATTACTGAACTTTAAGGATTTTTTTTAAAAAAAACTGACTTTTACGGACACTTAACCTGAATGAGGAATTTAATTAAATTTAATGGTAAATGATGAAATTAAGATAATTTTTGGAATTTACTTTCAGCTTCGTTGATAACATCCATTGGTAATCTTGCAGGACCGCTGAATAGAACGATACTTATTGGATTCACTAGAGTAACAGTTCTCACGTGACAAAAACGACCGGAGCGACTCATCTCTTCATAAATCATCCAATCGCACGGCAGTGATTCGACAACGGCAGAACGTGCTTGCGCTGATGTTGTTCTTGGCGATCGGGGAAAATCTCCAACAGTTGACGAAGGATGCAAATAAACTTTAACCTCTTTTCTAAAATTGAAAATTTCAGTAATTAAGTAAATAAGATTTATTATAATAACCGATAAATTTTAAATACATACTGGGTTCGCAATTGAAAATGTTCTCTATCAACTCGAATGATATTTGGATAGAGACCAGCGGTTAGAGCCGCTTTGATGACTGCCCAATTCTCCGAATTAGTGTTTAAATCACGAATATCACCAGGACCCCTGGCTCTTACGAATCCAGACGCTCTGAGCTGTCCAAGAAGTTGTGTTCGCATACCAACCACCATTTCCATCACAGCCGAGGAGATAAAATGCTTCTCGCAGAATATCCGTTCCCATCCATTTGCTCTAGCGTTTTGCCAATTTTGAAAGGCTCTTAACACTGCCATGTGATCTGAATATGTACCAGCGGCAAATTTTTTACGAGCTAACAATGCCGCTCGTTTTTGCGAAGGTTGATTAGGCAGAAGAAACGGATCCCTTCGAGGAAAAAAAAATTATTTACAAATAATATACCTATTTTGCGATCTCAAATTTACATCATGTCTAATAATATTCGAATAAATAAAATACAAGGCAAAGATATTTTTTTTTTTTGAACATATTTCCATTTCCCATTTCACAAGATTTAAATCTAATGGAGCTAAAGGACTAAATGGATATAAGACAGAAAGAAGAATTACGATAATTTTTAACCAATGCTTTAAAATCAATTAGCGGATTTTTTTGGGGTCACAATTCTTAGATAAGATTTTAAAAAATTCAAATTGGCAAATACTATTTGCGAATTTCATTCCCAATTCCGGAATTCTTGTTCAGGGTTGCCACAAATGATTAATTTTGTTTTTCCCTGATTTCCAGACAAAATTTTAACTTTTTCCCTGACCCTGAAGAATATTCTGATCCACTCTAAAAATTATTTAATTTAAATTACCATAAAATGTTTCAAAAAAAAAATTTAACAATTTACAAAAATCCTAATAAAATCCTTCGCAAGATTATTCAATTATTTTTACAAGTAGTAAAATTTCTCAAAATAATTAAATTATTTAAAAAACATGTAATAAAATTCGATGCAAGAATTCAAATATTTTAAAAAATATATTAAATCGATTATTCGAAAATTCTTTTCAATCAATTTTTATTACAAAATTCTACGAGAATTCAATTATTTAAATTCAAAAATAAACAATTTAAATAATTAAATGTTTGTTAAAATTGAATTCTCATAATGTATTTTATCAATAAATTTTTAAATAATTGAATTCTTTTGACGAATTTTAATAAAATGTTTAAAAATAATCACATTTTTCGAGGAATTTGATTAAAATTGTGCGACGAGTTGTATTATTTATGTAAACAATTAAACTCCTGAGAACAGTTTTATTAGTAATAAAAATAATTTAATTATAGTAAAAAAATTTATAAAAAATTTATGTATAATTGAAATCCTGGTTAATTTTGATTATTCATTTATTTATGAAAGTAACTGAATTTTTTAAAGAATTTTATTAAAATTCTTGAAAACAATTGAATTTCTGTGAAGCATTTTGATATTTATCAAGATAATTTATTTATTTCTATAAGAATTGCGTTTAAATTTTGGAAATATTAAATTAAAATTGAATTAAAAATAATTGAAATTCTATGCGACGAGTTTCATTATCAATGAAAATAATTGAATCCATGTAAAAAAATTTTATTTATGAAAATAATTGAATTATTGAGAAAAAAATTATAAAAAATTTGTAAATATAATTGAATTACTGTGAAATTTTAATTATTTGTGAAAATAATTAAATTGTTGCGTAGAATTTTATTAAGATTTTTTTTAACTAATTGAATTTCTGTGAATAATTTTATTAAAATATTTTAAAGCAGTTAAATTCCAGTGAAGAATTTTACTAAAAAAATTTTTGAAAATAAGTGATAATAATAGTAGATTAATTGAAAATAATTGAATTAAAAAAATTTTTTTTTGAAAATATGTAATTGAAATTTTGCCAGGAATTTTAGTAAAATTTTTGAAAATAATTGAATTTCGTAAAAGAATTTTATTATTTCCAAAAAAATAATTGTAATTTTGACGAGAATTTTTATAAATTTTTGAACTTAATTAAATTTCTGCGAAGAATTTTATTATACTTTTAAAAATAATTGAATTTTCGCAATAATTTATTGTAACTTCTCCAAAATTTTAATTTTTTTTAGTATTTTTAACTAGAATTCTTCTGTAAATCCATTATTTTTAATAATTAATTAAATATATATTAAAAAATTTAACTAATTGCAGAAGAATTTGAATTATTGAAATTTTTCATAAATATAAGTTCTTTTCTATTTAAATTCATTCAAAACTTTAAATTTTATAAAATTTTAAAGGAAAACCTTTTTGAAGTTCATTTATGAAAATTGTAAACGCAACTCTTTTAAAATTCAATTAATTTTTAATCGTTCAAGTAAAATTATTCATTAAATAATTTCTAAGTAATAATAATTTTATGATAATTTTATTTTATTCTTGAAGAATAAAGTTATTTAAAAAGAAATTAATGGCAGAAATACAAAAAATTGAAGGCTTTGTATTTGAATTCGTAGTTATTTTCATATTTTATGAGGCAAACAAAAAAAATCACCAAAATTCAGAGTTTTCTTATAAATTTTAAAAATTCAATTTTTTCCCGTACTTTTACTAAACTTTGATTTTTTCCTGATTTCCCTGACCAATTCTACTTTCCTTGTCTTTTCCCTGAATTGCAATGTCAATGATTATAAACCTTATGTCGTATTTTAAAAATCCAAATTGTCAGATGTTTTTTGTAAATAGAATGGTTTAAAAATGCATCTTGATAATTTTGTAACATATTTTCCTAAAAGAGAATTGACGATGAAGCAAGAGGTTTGATTTTAGAGGACCTTGAGGAAAAGAAAAAAATCAAATTAAATGTATAAAAATAGAAAAATGTCATACTTATAAGCCAGACTGCAAACAATTGTTAGAATCGGATCCAAACATTTGAGAACAACAGCATAGAGTAGCATTTTTCCAAGACGTGGCTCAACTGGTAAATCAAGCAAATGATTACCAAGTTCCGTTAAATCCTCCCACGGATCTAAAGCATCAATTGTTTTCAATAATTGTACAGCATTTCTTGTCACAACATTTGACGGTGGATCAATAGCCCTCTCGAGAAATTCAGCAATCGGCGTATTCGGTGGTGCCAAATGCTTCGTAAATAAACACAATTCCTGAAGTGGCAATCTTAAAATCTCCGGCGTCTGATGGGGTAGCATATTATTATAACGAGTCGATGAGAAGAGTCTAAAACAAATACCCTTTTGACATCTTCCAGCTCGTCCCTTGCGTTGCTTAGCGCAAGCTTGTGAAATCCAATTGGACCTCAACATACAAACACCGGATATTGCGTCAAACGATTTTTCTTTCACCTTCCCAGAATCAATCACATAAACAATATCATCAATTGTTATACTCGTTTCCGCAATATTCGTCGATAGGACAATTTTCCTACAACCTTGAATTGATGGTTTGAATACTTTCTTCTGATCATTCGTCTGCATGTTCGAATGAAGAATAAATAAATTAATACGAAGACCTTGATTCAATTTTGCTTCGCTGTTAATTTTATCCCTCATTGTTACAATGTCATCGTAACCCGGCAAGAATATGAGTATCGAACCAGGTGGCATTTTTAGATGAATATGCGAAACGAGGGCAAGTATAACATTGTAATCAACATTTTCGTCGTTGAACGAATGATGATAGATGTCGAGCAGCATTTTATCCTCCATTGAAAGTGAAACGTCTTTTTGTAAAGTTTCACTATCATGCTGATAGCAATCAAATGTCTTCATGTAAGCCTCAATTAATTCAGCGCATTCCGTTTGTTTCATCATTTTCGCCCAATCGAGAGCCGTCCATTCGTTACTGGCACGTATTTTCAAATTTGCCCCAAGCATCAATAGTTGTTCGGTTGTATTCAAACAACCACGACCAGCAGCAACCATTAATGGAGTAACGGACGTCATTGTATGCTGATAATCAACCGAAACATTCTCCGAGAGAATGAGATGCAAAAGTTGTGTAAATTGATCGTCACCACCTTGTAACCATGCTTCGGATATTGCCTTATCCATCTCCTCCTTCAGCCATGGTTCAAGTTCAATTTTCTCCTGTATCAGCTCACCCTGTTTACCCGCAATTGGCAATGGTAAAACAGCTCTTGCATTCGATGCCCCAGCTTCAAAATTCTGTGGCATCTTTTGTGTCCATAAATCCAATACTTTTTGCTGATCCTTCTTTGTCATTAACTCCTTTTTTTTTATTAACATTTCCTTTGACATATACCCGGTTTTATTTAAAACATCCTCGAGAAAATATTGATCAACATCAAACATTCGTCCCGGAACATTAATTACCGAACAATTATTAAAATATTTTGTAAATATATTCGTATCAATTGTCGCACTCATTAGAATTAATTTCAATGAACGATATTTTGCCAATGCATCTTTCAACGTAATTAGAAGAAAATCACAAAATCTATCGCGTTCGTGAATTTCATCAACGATAATGTGTGTGATTACTGTTAATGCTGAATCACCGCCCATTAATGTTCTTAGAAGAACACCATTTGTACAATAAGTGAGCAATGTTTTTGGCGCTACACGACTTTCTAAACGTATTTGATAGCCAATTGTTTGGCCAATTTTCTCATCTCTCTCAAATGCAACACGTTCGGCAACCGATACGGCGGATAATCTTCTTGGTTGAGTGCAAATTATTCGACAACTTTGATTTCTTTGTTGACAATTCTCCAAAATGTATTGCGGTATTTGCGTTGTTTTACCACAACCAGTTTCACCTGATATTATAACAACTTGATTTGTACTAATTGCACGGAGAATTTCATTTTTTTTCGTATTCACCGTTAATGAATTGCGAAAATTCACAATTTCCATGTTTGTTCGTAAATGGGGAACTTGTGGAATACTATTATTTAGGCGGCTCAACATTTTTGTTGTTAAATCTTTACCTGAAATGAAAAAAAAGAAATAGGTATTAAAAATTACAGGCATCACAGTACCTTTTTTCCTCAAAAAAAAAAATGAAAAGGAGAATTTTTTTTTCTTTAAAAAGGGGACAAAAATTTATTTGTTTATATACAACTTGCATATTATAATTCAAATTTTTTATCATATATAGCTTTTATAAAATTTTTTAAAAAATAATTCGATTTTAATCAGAGTTGCCACAAAAATTTAATTTTCTTTTTCCCTGATTTCCAGACAAAATTCTAACTTTTTCCCTGACCGTAAAGAATATTCTGATTCACTCTAAAAATTATTAGATACTCAAAAAAAATGTTTCTTTGGAGGAATTTTATTAAAATTTGTTTAAAAAAGAATTGAATTACTGCAAAGGATTTTACTATTTATAAAAATAATTGAATTATTGCGAAGAATTTTACTATTTATGAAAATAATTGAAATGTTTCGAAGAATTCATTAAAATTTTAAAAAATAATTAAATGTTTGAAATATTTGAAAATAATTAAATTTTTTCGAGAAATTCAGTTAAAGTTGTTTCGAAACCAATTGATTTTCTTTAAAGAATTTTATTAATAAAATTAAGTATATTCAAAATAATTGAAATTCATCACAATAATTTTAATAATTTTTGAAAATAATTTAATTCTTTCAAATTTTTTTGAAGAATATATTTAAAAATTGCATTGAAAGTAATTTAATTTTTATATAGTTTTTTAAAAATATTTTAAGAATAATTGAATTATTTTTAGAGAATTTTAAATTTTTGTTGAAATTTAATTTTATGGAAATTTTTCAAAATAATTAAATTCTCTCGTGTAATTTTATTTAAATTAGATTAAAAATAATTTAATTCCTAAAAAGAATTTTAGTATTTATAAAAATAGTTGATTTGTTTCGAAAAATTTATTAAAATTTTAGGAAATAGTTGAAATTTATGGAAATATTTATATAAAATGAATTGAATTCTTGCGAAGAATTTTACTATTCATAAAAATAATTGAATTTTTTCGAAGGATTTATTAAAATTTTAGAAAAAAAATTAAATATCTTCGAAATGTGTTAAAAAATTTTTAAAAAATTAAATTCTTCCGAGGAATTCAATGAGTTTTACAGGTTTACAGGTTGCGTGGCAACCCTGATATATTTAAAATTAAACTTTTGATAAATTAATAAAACTCACTTTCTGAGTCTACGGTTCGCTCTCTTTCGGTTGGTGGCAATAAATCTCGACGTTCTTTGTTGTCTAACGGAAATTTATCAATTAGACTGTAAATTCCTTGTTTCGAAGCTTTTTGTAATTTTATTACAGCATCAGCTTGCACTATTGATGAACCTTCTCGTTTATAAACTGTTAAAAATCGATTGGCCCCTTTTCTGAAAATAATTAATTCTTTTAATTAATCAATTTTAATATTAGAGAAAGAAAACAATTTTTCTCCTTTTTTTAAAACTTACCCACGACTTTTTGACTTTAAGCCAAGATCTTTGGCGAGTTCATGAATATACGCTCTTTCCTCGGCTGTATATGACGAGGGAAATTCCAATTCCTTTTGATCAGCATTATTCAGAAGTTTCTTGATTGTCAAATTCACAGCTATTCTTGTGTCTTCGCCGATATTACGGCGTCTCTGATTTTTTCGCCGTGACATGATGAAACTCTTCAAGAATTAATAATATTTAAATGATAAAATTAAATCAAAAAACACGAATTTAGCTAAATTAACTAATTAATAAATTTAAATTTTTATCTTTTTAAGGGATTATTTTTTCAATAATTAATTTTAAAAAAGTAGCTTAAAGACAGAAAAAAAGTAGTAAAAAAGCATCTATCGAAAAATTAAACTTAACAACCAAATTTTTTTATAATTTCTTAATTACATTCAAAAGTAGAATAAATTTTTTAAATAAATTTTTAAATACCTATTTATTTTGTCTACAGGAATTAAAATATTTCAAATAATTTCAATGTTAACGCAATTTTTGAAATTTAACTATTTTAAAAAATTACAAAAGGAATTCTTTCAAAATTCAATCATTTTTTTCTTCGAAATTTATAAATAAAATTATTCAAAACTTTAATCATTTTATTTAATTTAATTCTAAATCAATTCTTATTAGAAAGTTCTATACGAGAATGCAATTATTTAAATATAAAAATAAATAATTTAATGAATAATTTAATATTTCTGAAATTTGAATTCTTATGAAGAACTTTATCAAAATTTTTAAAAATAATTAATGTTTTACTAATTTTATTAAAATTTCTTTTTAAATAATTAATAATAATTTTTGAAAATAATTGAAATTTCAAGAGTTTTATTAAAACTTTTTAAAATAATTGAAATTCTGATAAGAATTTTATTAAAATTTTTCAAAATAAAATTGAATTTTAAAGAAGAATTTTATTATTTATAAAGAGAATTGAAATTTTGACGAGAATTTCTTTAAAATTTTTGTAATATAATTGTATTTCTGCGAAGAATTTTATTACTTTTGAAAATAATTGATTTTTAAAATCATTTCAAAACTTCTCCAAAATTCAAATTTTTTTAGTTTTAAAAAAATTCCTCGACAAATTAATCTGAATTTTATGATTAACACTTTGAAAAAAATTTCATAAAAAGAAAAACTTGTTTATCTTTGATTAAAAAAAAAAGGTGAAAAAGGGGACAAATCAGCATAAAATGGGAAAAAGGTGACAAATCGGCAAAAAAGGTAAAAAAGGTGATAAAATTGTAATAAGGGAAGAAAAGGGGAGAAGGGAACCAACTGTAATGCCTTGCAATGGTCAAAATTTAATTCATTAAAGAAAAATAACTGATTTACATAACCAAGAAATTGAAAATTTATTTCGTCTAATTTTTGCATTGCAATTCAGTTGCAATATTATGAATCGATTTTAAATATTCAAAAATGCTAAATTATTATATTTTGGTTAAAATTTAGCATTGTTGCTTGACAAGTAACAATGCTGTTGTTAAAAAGCTTGTCATTTGTTACTCAAACAATAATGAAAATATTTACACTTATAATTAGAAAAACTTGAACTTACCACTTATTAAACATTAGTTACTTTCAGAGAAATATTAAACTATGTTATTTTCTTGTTTAAAATGTTCTAATTTGTTTTTCTTATTCCTTTAAAGATTATAAACATTTTTCTTTTTATAATAAACACTAAACAATTCTGTTCCGTGTCAATAGTGTCAATAATTACCGATAGAGTAATCATAAATAAAAGCAGAGTGGGGATTGGGGAATTTACAATTAAGGTGCAAATCACAATAAAAAAATAGCAAAAGCAACCTAAAGCTCGATTCATTTGTCTCATTTTGTTCATTTGTCCAAAGTGGCGTTGTTGACTTTTTTTTGGAAAGTTATCACATACCTAACATGATCTAACAACTAAAAGGTCTAGCCGATCTCGGTCCTACTTTTGCGGGAACTGCGACACGGCCAGTTGCTCATTGGTTGCTTGTGATGTGGGCGTGGTATTAGCGTATTGCCGGCAACTTTTGAAATTTTAAACTAATATATTTATAGGGAAAAAATCAAATTGATCATTTTTTGCCTTTTTGGTGTATATTTTTTTGTTATAAATAAATAAATAAATAATGTATAATATAGAAATATGTAATATAAATATAATTTATGAATAATAATGTTTGAAATACATTTAATGTAATATTTAATTCATGAAATTACTAATAATTATGAATGCGTAGTAAATTACAATTATTCAAATTTTTATGAACTATTTATACTTTATTTTAAATAAAAATTATTAAATGATATCTATATATAAGTATGATACATTGTAATATAAAAAATAAGTGTATATAATAAAGTAATGTACATAATGAAAATATATATTCTATATAACAGTATTGCTCAACACAACAATGTTAATGAATTAATAATTTTTTACAAAAGATTAATTAAAGGGTTTTTTAAATAAATTCTTGAAGAAAATAATTCTGACAACTAAAATTTTAATAATAATAATTATTTTTTTTATTATTATTAGTAATAATAATAATAATAATAAAAATAATAATAATATTATTATAATAATATAATATAATAATTAATATTAAATTATTATTTTTATTAAATTTCATTTATAATTTTAAATTTCAAAAATTTATAATAAAAAAATTAACTCAAAAATATTAAATAATGAAAAATAAAATTATATAACATTATAAATAATATTCTTATAATAAATATAATAAAATATAATACATTTTCTCTAAACTTAATAAATAAATTATATTACAACATAATTTAATAATATAAGTTTTCAATCTTGTACTTCTGTGCATTAGTTTCATTTAAAAGTGCGCGGGTAAAGCAAGCAACTGGCCGTCATGGTCTGATTGGTCGAGTTTTTTTTAGGTGCGTGTGGCGGGACCTTGTATAGTTAGATCATGATACCTAACCCTGCAACAACTATAATATAAATCATTTGTCCTCTGATCGTCGTGTCGTTTTGCCGCTTTGTTTATTAAGAGAAAAAAAAATCTTAATGTCATAATACTTGAAATAAAAATAATTTCTTTTTCGGTACTTAAAAAAAAAATTTTTTTTTTCCAATAACAAATGAAAAAATGATTGTTTGGGAAAGATTTCGTAATCATTGTGCATGGAATGGTGGTGCTAAACAAATTTCCATCGATGCCGTGATACCGATTTTTATGATACCAATATTAACAATAATTGCTGCACAATCATTATTATGTACCGTTGCAATATTTTTAATAACACCACCGCTTATTTATTATTTACATCATAATTTCCTTCGATTTATATTGAGAACAAAATTTTTTTTTATCTGGACAGTGACGAGTGTGCTTATGATGATGCTTGTCTTTGAATTGAGTGTTGTGCCATTGCTTGAAATTTTACCGGAGGAAAATTTTATATTTATGATTTGTGTTGTCAGTGGTTTAGCGTTTGGCTATAAAACACGTTTATTGGCCGATCAATTTATTCAAGATGGAAATTATGTTCAGGGTTTAGAACTCGGTGAAGGAAGTGGTGAATTATGTCCTAGTTGTAGACGACGCACACCACCAAAAGGATTTCATTGTCGTCTTTGTCAAACGTGCATTCTTGGACGTGAATATCATTGCAAATGGTGAATTATTCATTTTTTTAAAACTATTTTCTCATTTGCAAATCTTAATGTAAAATGATTGAAATTTCTTTATAATTATTGATGTTTAGGTTTTAAAGAAAGAAAAAAATGTTTCATTTCAGGTTGGATTGCTGTATAGGTGCCAGTAATTTACGATGGTATCTGGCATGCCTATTTTTTTCAGCGATTGCTTTTATATATGGTTCAAATTTAACAATGACCTCCGTATGTCATCCGTTTATTTTAATTGGAACTGTTTTACTGCCAGATGATTGCAGTGATGTCTATCAAGAAATAGAGTACGTATTTTTAATTCATTTTCTGTTATTTCGATAATAATTATTATCAGAGTTGCCATAGGTCAGGGAAGTCAGGGAAAAGTCAGAAATTTTTATTAAAAGTAACTGGAAAAAATTAAGTTATACAGTTCATAAGAAAATTCTGAATTTTTGTGTCTTTTCTGTTTGCCTAGTTTGCCTCATAAACTACGAAATTACCACAAATTCTAATACAAAACATTCAATTTTTTCTATTTCTGAAAATAAGTTCTTTTCAAATAACTTAATTCTTGAAGACCTATCATAAAATAATGACTTATAAATTATTTAAATGAATAATTTTACTTAAATATTTCAAAATTAATGCAATTTTAAAAGAGTTGCGTTTACAATTTTCATAAGTAGATTTTTTTAGTTAAAAAAACACTAAAACAAATTGAATTTTCAAGCAATTACAAATTCTTGCAGAAATTCAATTATTTTCAAAATTAGTAAAATTCTTCTCAGAAATTCAATTATTTTCAAAAGTAGTAAAACTCTTCTCAAAAATTCAATTATTTTCAAAAATTTTAATAAAATTCTTGATAAAATTTTAATTATTTTCAAAAACTTTCCTCCATTAAATAATTTTCAATATTTATTATTTTAATAAAATTTTTCAAAAGAATTCCATTATTTAAAAAAAAAATTTGATAAAATTCTACGCAAAAAACATTTCATTATTTTCATAAATAATAACATTTCATAAAGGGATTCAATTATTTTCATAAAAAAAAGAAACTCATCGAAGAATTTCAATTATTTTTAATACAATTTTCATTAAATTTCACGAAAAATAAAATTATTCTTAAAAATTTTATTCAAATTTATCAAGAGAATTCAATTATTTTAAAAACCTTTGCCTATATTTGCAATACATTTTTAAATAAATTTTTGCAAAGAATTAAATTATTTTCAAAAATTTTAATGAAATTCTTTGTTACAATTCAATTTCTTTGAAAATAATTTTAATAAATTTTGTCAAAATTCAATTATTTTCAATGTCTACTATTTCAATAAAATTTCACAAAAGAATTCAATTATTTAAAAAGAAATTTTAATAAAATTCGTCTCAAGAATTCAATTATTAATTGATTTAAAAATGAATTTCATTTAAAATTTCAGATTATAATTGGAATAATTGAATTTTCAAAAGGTTTTAAATTAAAATCTTTAAAAATTCACTGATTGAATTCACTTATTTTCAAAAAATTTAAGTAAAATTCTTGTCAAGAATTTTTATAAAATTCTTTATGAGAATTAAATTATGTTTAATACAATGTTGCTTAAATTCTTGAAAGAATTCAATGGTTTGCAAGAATGTTAAAATAATTCATCTCAGAAATTAAAGTAATTTCAAAAATTTTAATAAAATTCTTCCCAGACATTCAATTATTTACAAAAACTTTAATAAAATTGTAGACAAGAATTCAATTATCGTCATAAATAATAAAATTCTTCCCAGAAATTCAAACATTTTTAAAAAGTAAAAAAATTCATGGCAAGAATAAATTATTTTCATATAAATAATAAAATTATTAGAAGGAATTAAATTATTTTCCAAAATTTTAATAAAATTCTTCGCAGAAATTCAATTATTTACAAATAAATAAAATTCTAGACAATAATTAAAATATCGTCATAAATAATAGAGTTATTCGCAGAAATTTAAACATTTTCAAAAACTAATAAAATTCTTTTTAGAAATTCAATTATTTTCATAAATAATAAAACTCGTCGCAGAATTTCAATTATTTTCATAAATAATAAAACTCATCTCAGACTTTCAATTATTTTTAACACAAATTTAATCGAATTTCTCAAAAAATTTAATTCTTCTTAAAAATTTTATTAAAATTCGTCAAAAGAATTCAATAAAATATTTATTTTTGTATTTAAATAATTGAATTCTCGTAGGTAGAATTTTCTAATAGAAATTGATTTCAAAATGAATTTCACTTAAAATTTTAGATTATAATTAAATATTAAGAGAATTAGAGCTTGAATTTTTTAAAGGTTTCAAATTAAAATCTTTGAAAATCTGAATTTTTCATACTTTTGACTAACAATTCTGTAAAATTAATTTTTTGAAAAAGTTTAATTGAATTTCTTTGAAAATTATTTTAAGTTTTTATTTTCTAATATACCTATATTTAATAAATTGAAGAATTTCCAAATAATCGAAATTTCGTAAAATAGAATACAAATGAATTTAAAAATTCTCAAAAGAATTTTATCAAAAATTATTAAATATAATTGATTTAAAGAAGAATTTTAGTTAAAAATTCGTAATAAATGTAATAGAATTTTTTTTTTTTGAGTATATAATCATTTTTAGAATGAATCAAAATATTCTTCAAGATCAGGAAAAAAGTCTAAATTTTGTCTGGAAATCAGGGAGAAACAAAATTCAATTTTTGTGGCAACCCTGTAATTTTTTGAAAAAAAAATATAACTTAATTAGTTTTACAGTTACAATTATTATTACAACAAAAAATTGAATTTTTGTATTTAAATAATTGTATTCTTGAAGAACTTTCGGAAAATTATTGAAAATATGTAATTGATTTATAGATGAAATTTATTTAAAAATTATAGAAAATAATGGAATTTTTTTGGTGTTGTAAATTTTTAGAAATTATATTAAATAAGTATCAGAAGGTTTTCAATTTTGAATTTTTTAAATTTTATTCCCCGTGGAAAATATTTATTTAACAAAATTGGGCCTGAATCATTTATTTTTAATTCATAGCCAATGACTTTATAATGATAAAAGTTCCTTTAATTACTAGTTTACGCTTTTATCTTCTGATAGAAATAAAAGTAAAATTTAAAAAATTATCTTATTTTATAATTAACAATTCGAGTAAATAGGTAATTTATCAATTTATTCTAATTATTTTGATAAAAGAATAAAGATAAAATTTCCATTGTTTTTAATTACAGTATTGCTGTGTGCTTTATTTCGTCAATCTACAGTTTAATTGTTGGTCTAGTCATAACATGTTATCTATTTTATCACCTTTGGTTGATATATCTTGGGACAACGTCCAACGAACGTCGTAACCTGGGAATGGAGAGCCGTTGTGACGATGGAATGCTAAAGAGTGTCTCTCGACTCTTTTGCTGTAAAATATGAAGAAAAAAAGAATTGTTTACTTTTTTTCCATCAAATAGTTAATATTACAACGTATTAAAATTCTCTTTGTTTATTTTTTTTATTATCAATTCGAAGCTGTGCAGAAGTAAAATTAGATTTCGTCCATTTTTTAGATGAAATCTAATTTGATTAATAGGCCAAAAAGAAAAATAATTTAGAAAAGAAAGAGAGAGAGAGAGAGAGAGAGAGAGAGAGAGAGTCATTTTTTTTACTGTTAAAAAAAAAGACGACGAAACGAGAAAATTTGTTTTTAACTTATTTTTTAGTAATTGTATAAAAATATATTTTTAATTCACTAATAGAGACTGTAAATTGAAAGTTCTTAAGGATCTGTTATTGTCTTTTTTTTCGTTTTATAAGCTGAAAGCTAATTTGCCAAAATGGTGTTAAAAAAATTCACTTTTTGAATTTTTTTCCCACTGCTCAGCAAGAATGAAAAATATTTGTACAGATTTTATTTTAATTTATAATTAGTAAATTAAATTAGAAATATTTATAATTTTACACACGGAAGAAAAAAAGAAAGAAAGAAAGAGACGTGTCACATATTTTAAACAGTATTTTATGAATATGAGTAAAAAAAATGTGATTGTAAAATGGGATTATGAAAGTGAAATAGAAAACTGTAAGGAATTTCATCGTAATATTTGTAATATATATCGTCCTCATTATGAGATCAATAAAATTCATCCATTAAACTCTCATTAAAACTCTCATTAAAGCTTAATAGAAATATCTTTCAAAATTTTTGAAAAACTTAACTAGAAACGCACATTAATTAATTTTAATAATATTGTACGAATTTAAAAATTTTATTTATTTCTTTTTTCAAATAATATTTTTTAAATATTATTTTATAAATATTTATAAATAAATGTAACCTTCTTTGCGTGGTATTTAATTCTTATTTAAAAGCACAAATAAAGTTTAAATATATTTTTTTTTATTTTAAAAATCATTTCATCACATATCATTGAAAGAAACTATTTATATAGATTATAAGTAAATTTAGGAAATTGTCAATATATGATTAAAGAAAAACAGTCTTAAATAGTTTGACCTGTAAAAAAAATATGATAATAATCTTCGATGCTCATATAATTAAAAATTGCAGGCAAATTATGTATTTTTTAGTGATCTCATTTTTCTTCGATTCCTTGATGTGTACTTTTAATATATATGTATACAATATTATATATATGTTACCGGTAAAACCCGAAGTCCAGGCATTTTGCGAAATGCCTAGGCAAATCGGGAAATACCTAAAAGTGGCCAGGAAATTCGAGTTTTACCTAGAAATTTTAGGCATTTCTCAAATTGCCTAGGTATTTCGCGAAATACCTAGTCATTTCGCGAAATGCCCAAGTCGATTTAGGCAAAATGAAAAGTTGATCATTTGTAAGCTGCGCATACTAATGTAAACAGATTGTTTACAAAATTATTAGTCTATTACACTGTTCGACAAAATATTGCTACAAGAATACGTCTCAATTTTGAGAAAAACGGGGTCAAAGTATCAAAATATGCCATTTTTAGCACTTTTTGAAGCACTATAAAAAAGAACGCGATGTGATAGAAAGCTCAAATATGTCTTAAATAAGAGCTCGAACCCTCAACTTTAACATCCAAAAGCAAAAAGCCAAGTAGAAATAACTTAAAATTGTGGGGAACAACTTTTTATTAATTTACCCTATATGATCGCTAACTAAAATAATAGCTGATGGGCGCGCACGCGGTAAAAAGTTGTTCACCACAATTTTGAGTTATTTCTACATAGTTTTTTGTTTTTAGATTTTAAAGTTGAGGGTTCGAGCTCTCATTTAAGACATATTTGAGCTTTCTATCACGTCGCGTTCTTTTTTTTATAGTGCTTCAAAAAGTGCTAAAAATGGGATATTTTGACACTTGGACCCCGTTTTTCTCAAAATTGAGACGTGATGGGACAATTTAACTTACAGATTCGTAATCTACGGCGAAAATCCCGTAAGTTTGACATGCTGCAACAAATAACCAGCAAAAAATATATGTTCACAATTAAGGTTTCAATAAATTTTTCAATTTGCCTAAATCGACTTCGGCATTTCGCGAAATGCCTAGGAAATTTACGAAAATGCCTAGGCAATTCGGAAAATACCTAAAAATGTCTAGGAAATTTGAGTAATACCTAAGATTTTAGGTATTTCCCGATTTGTCTAGGCATTTCGCAAAATGCCTGGACTTCGGGTTTTACCGGTAACATATATATATATATTATAGAAACAATGTGAACATTTTTCATCGTAATAACTGTGATAAAGCGATAAAGTGGCCATTGTGTATAATTATTGCAATAAATACTAATCGATTGCTAAATTTTCATTTATACTTAAAAAAAACGTTCCTTATATTCGACGATTGCAAAAATATGTTTTGTAATTTTGTTATTTAATATTATTATTAGACATAATTATTATTATTATTATTTTCAAATTAATGTCATAAAAATCATTGAATTCTTGATAAAAATTTTACAATTTACAAAAATAATTGAATTATTTTGAAGAATTTGATCATAATTTTCGAAAATAATCGAATGTTTTGAAAGAATTTTATTCTTTATTCTTTATAAAAATGAATTTTATCACAATTTTTGAAAATAATTGAATTCAATTAATATTTTAAAAAATAATTTTATTCTTTCCAGAAATATTACTAACATTGAATTAAAAATAATTTAATTCCTCCAAAGAATTTTATTATTTATGAAAATAATTGAAATTCTTGCGAAGAATTTTATTAAAATTTTTCAAAATTCTAATTAAATTATTTTGAAGAATTTCTTTGAATTTTTTTTTGAAAATAATGGATTTCTAAAATAATTTAATTCATTCAACAAATTTTATTAAAAAAGTAATGAAAATAATAAATATTTCATTATTGAAGTTAATTAAAATTGTATTGAAAGTAATTGAATTTCTGTGAATAATTTTATTATTTATAGAAATAATTTAATTCTTGCGAAAAATTTTACAATTTTTTCAAAAATAATTGAATTATTTTGAAGAATTAATTCATAATTTTTGAAAATTATTTAATGTTTTAAAAGAATTTTATTTAAAATTTTGAAAATAATTGGATTCAAACGAAAACTTTTATTAAATAATTTAAATTAATTTAATTTAAATTTAAAATAATTAATTTTTCTTAACAATTTTATCAAAACTGTAGTTGAAAATAATTTAATTTTATTTAATATTTTTAAAAATAATTGTATTCTTTCGAGAAATTTTATTAAAATTGTATTAAAAACTTTATTGAATTCCTTTGAAAAATTTTATTATTCATAAAAATAATTGAATTATTTCGAAGAATTTTATCAGAATTTTTGAAAATAATTGAATTTAATTAATATTTTAAAAAATAATTGAATTCTTTCGAGAAATATTATACTAAAATTGAATTAAAAATAATTTAATTGCTCCGAAGAATTTTATTATTAATGAAAATAATTAAATTCCTTTGAAGAATTTTATTATTTATGAAAATAATTGAATTCCTTCAAAGAATTTTATTATTTATGAAAATAATTGAAATTCTTGCGAAGAATTTGATTAAAATTTTTCAAAAATCCTAATTAAATTATTTTGAAGAATAATTTTATTATTTATAGAAATAATTTAATTCTTGCGAAAAATTTTACTATTTTTAAAAATAATTGAATATTATTTCCAAGCATATACTAGGAGTTAAGAAAATAATTGGATTCTTTCGAAAAATTTTACTAAAGAGTTGTAAAAAATTTAATTAAATCCTTTTTGTAAAATTTTATTAAAATTGTATTGCATTTAATTGTATTTAATAAAAAATTTTGAAATATAGTTTTGAATTATTTAAAGAAATTGTATTTAAATTTCTGAAAAATTACTTTTTAAATTCTATAGAAAGAAATTTTATATATTTCAACAAATTTTATTAAAAAATTGACATAATTAAATTTTTATAAACAAATTTGATCGTTTTCTAATTTTTATAGAATATAATTTAATATTTATTTTTACAAGGAATTTCTTAAAAATTTTGAAAATAAATTTTACAATAATTTTAGAAATAATTGAATTTCTGAGATTAATTCAATTTTACAATTTACTTTAATTATTTTTTTAAATAATTGAATTTTGGAATTATAATTGAAATTTCAAGTTTTAAAGAAAATATTTGAATATTTTTCAAGAAATTTATTAAACGTTTTGAAAATTAAGGAATTTTGCAGAAAAAACAAAAAGATTTTAAATAACGAGAAGGAAGAAATTATAAAATAATTGAAAATAATTGAATGTTTGCAAAGACTTTACTATTTAAAAAAATAATTGAATTTTTCTCATAAATTATTACAATTTTAGAAAATAATTGAATTCTTTCCTGAAATTTTATTAATATTGTATTGAAAATAATTCAATTTCTGGGAAGATTAATAATTCGAAATGATGAATTATATTTTTCAAGAAATTAAAATTAATTTTCTGTTAATTATTTTAGATGATTTTTTCTTCAGTCTTCGTTTCCATTGCTGTGTTGATGTTTAGGCTGAAAGTCAGGAATTACTTTTTGAATGATTTCACGCCATTCTTGCTTTTGCTTATCACTTTCTTTAATGTCGTCGGAAATTTGAAGAAATTTCATCCAAAGGTAAAAATATTTTTCTTTTACTTTCAAATTTAAGTAATTATCAGCAATCTGTTCATTTTTCTTTTTTATTACAGATGATTCAATGGTGAATTTGTGGAATAATTTGAAACATTTGGATTGGATTTTCAAATCGTAAAAATCACTGGCTACGTGATATTTTTGTCTCTCAATTTTAGTGAATTTTCGCCACATATCAAATGACGAGAGTAATAAATTTCTTTCGTATATGGAAATTGCTAATTCCTCCTTAATTGCATATTGTTGTTGAATATTTAATTTCCACGAGGAGAAATAATTTTTCATAAGTTTTTTGTTATAATGATTCACAGCTTTTTTGTGAAAATTATATTTCTCTTGAAGAAGTTTGTGAAGTGGTTGAAAAATATAACGATTCAGAAGAAAATTTCTATAGAAATTGTCCGCTTTTTCGTTGTTTAATTTTATTAATTCAATGTCGCGTATTCGTTTTTCTTCTCGTTCTTCACGGAGTCTTTTTGCCTCTTTCTGTGCCTGGAACAATTTTTTTTTGAACTTATTCTTTTTTCTTTACTTTTTTTTTTTTTTTTTAATTGAATTTGAAAGAAATTCTCAAACTTACTTCGTTTTGTAATCGTTTTCTTTCGATTTCATCTTTTTTTCGTGCCTCGTCTTCTTTTTTTCGCTCCTCTTCGATTCGTTTCACTCGAGCCTCTTCGGATCTTCGGTTACGTTCTCTTCGCGCATTGGCTCTTGCTTCCATTCTGAGCAAAAAATCAGGCGTTTCTGGTACTCGCAAAGTATCCACGGAATCATTTCTTGAAAAAGAAAATCGAGTCGTAAAATAAAAATTAATTTTGAAAATTTTTTTTTAGAAAAATTACCTGTAAACTTGTTCCTTAATGAGGGAAATTAATGATCTTCTCGTGCCCCTTTCGCAGAGATTTAAAGTACCTCGTGTTGCATCAATTGTTTCGCGATGAGCTTTTCTTGTTTCACGATCAATTTCTTTTAATTTCATTTCTTCGATAATTTTATTTTGTTGCATTAATTTTATTCTTTGCTCTTCAATTATTTTCCGTTGTATTTGCAATCTAGATTGGGAATTTTTTTTTTCAACTCCATTTTGTATTATTTTGGGATAATTATTTTTTGTCGCAACAAAATTGTCGATTAATTCCTCGGGAGCACTATTGCAACGTTGATTTTGTTGTTCGGCTTTTATTAAAGGTGATGATGTGGATGATTTACGAATTTTCTTCAATTGCTTTTGTTTCTCGACAATTGCATTAATGAAGAGTTCAATTTTTCTCTCGTTCGATAATTCACGTGTTTCCTTTTTCTTCTTTTCTAGGACCTTCAAATTTTTTACTCTATTTCGCCAGGCGTTGAAAAATCTTTAAAAAGAGAAAGTAAACATTTTTTTCTTTGTTTAGAAAATATTTGTTAATTTTTTTAATATTTTAATAATTTACCTTCGCAATCGTTTCGTGGCAATTTTTTCTTGAATTTTTGTCTTTAACTCTTGAAGTCGTCGACCTTCATGAGCATTAATTTTGAGAGCTTCAAATGATTTTCTCAAAATTTCTAAAATTTCTTCTTTAGATTCAATAACTGGTTTGTCCTTAATTGTCACAGTTATGTTACCAGAAAAAATATCCTCCTCGCTCATTTCTTCTGAATCGAAATCATCCTCAAAATTTTTCACCTCATCACTTTTGATTTCTTCGATTTTTCTGTAATATTAATATAATTACCAAAATAATTGTGAAGAATTTTGTATGTGGAAATTTTATTATTTATAAAAATAATTGAATTTCGGATGAATTTTATCAATTTTTTTTAATTAATAAAATTAATTAAATAGAAATTATTTACCTGCTTGGTGACCATTTTTTTCGATTTTCAACAGAATCAAAATTAATCATTGCTGCTCGCCAAAAATTATCATCATCTGAATGAGAGATTTTATTTTTTTGACAAACATAAGATTTACGATATTGTTTTTTATTTTTCTTTATTTTCTCATCAAAAAAATTTTCCAATTTCATTAATTCTTTATTTTCCGGAATGGATAAATTTAAATTGAAAATTGCATTTTTTTCGATAAATTCGTCATCGATAGAAGATGAAATTTGGGTTTTTGGAATTTGAAAAATAGGCACTGTCATTATTCTACTCATTATAAATAATTAGAATTGATTAATAACAAAGTTAAATTTAATTTAATTAGAAATTAAATAAAATAATTTAATTATTTGAATTCTTTGAAATTACTGAATTATTTAAATTAATTTAATTTAAAAATCATTTAATCAAAATATTCTTTTAGTAGAATTTTTTCTAAAGAAATTTTTTTAATTCATTCTTTTAATTAAAAAATAATATTTTAATTTTCTATTTTCCAATAATTTAATTAATTTGATAATTATTATATTATCATATATAATTTATATTTTCCTTATAACTTTATTTAATTTTTAAAAATTTTTAATAATTTTTTTTTAAATAATTTTATTTTTAATGAAAAAAACTTCTTTTTTTTATGGAATTAAAATTTTTTTCCAGTAAAATAAATTGACACTTAGAATTGAGAAGAAAAAACTTTTGTTGATACGAGAAACATTCGGTCGTTAAGGACATTTGAACCCTAAGTAATAATATTATTGAGTACACACTTCCCTAGCGAAAGGGTTTTACTTCACAGCTACTTTCCGATTAATAAAAAATGTCTGCCCTTTAAAATAATTTTAAAAATAATTATTTTATTTGATAAAAAAATTTTAAAGAGAATTTGATACATTTTAAAAATTATTTTATTATTTTATTAAATTTATTAAATTAATTCTTAATTAAAAATTGTATTAATTATATTTTTAAATGGAAAATTTTAATTTTACTCAATAAACTGTTAATTAGATTTTAATTACTTAATTAATTAATTAATTGATATTACTTTATCAATTTCCAAAATGGGATTTATAAATTAATTTTTTTAATTAATTATTTTATGGCTAATTATTTTTTAATTGAGTATTAATAATAAATCGAATAATAATAGAAAAAATAATTATTTAATTTATATTAGGAAATATGTAATTTATTTAAAAACAATTACAATTAGAATCTGAATAATTTATTTCCAGCCCCTGTGGAATGATGATTTTCTATGTTTTGTTAACGACAAGTTGCTAGGAAACAGGGGCTTTTGGTTATTTTATTTAAATTAAATTATTAAACGGAAAAAAATGTCTTTTGCATATTTAAAAACCAGTTTTTGTCAAAATAGACCAACTTCTTTGGAATTATAACAAGAAAATTGATTTATTATAATTAATTTCCAAGAATTTTGCAGTATTTTCAAGTTTGAATTTTGAAATTCCCGGGAATAAGTTTGCCCCACTCCACCAATCTCATTGGTCGAGCCTTGTCCCCTTTAATTTGGGTTTTAATTTTATAAAGTTAATTAACTCTTACTTCGCCTGATACTCATTTAATTTTTTATTTCACGTTAAATTTAATATTATCTCGTTATCGTAAACTGTACATAACAATAGAATTTGTATTAAAAAATGAAATCAAATAAACGTAAATCTAACCTCAAAAATGATGGCTCGTGATTGGTCGAAATTCAAAATTCGACAGAAGACGCGGTTTGTGTGCATATGAAAAAAGACAGTTGAATCACAGACGTGCAAAGATGAAGTTCGTTGTACATCAAAGTTTGGATTAAATATCTCAAGTTTTATGAAAAATACTACTTATTTTTGACGTTTGGTTTGTATAGATTTTTATAGTTATAGAAGGAAAAATGTCGGATAATATTAAAGTAGCAATTAAGGTGAGACCTTTGGTCGAACGTGAAGTAGACGAATATCAAACATTACAATGGAACGTGTGTGGAAACACAATAACGCCAATAGACGACTCAAAACGAAGAGGCGAAGGAGGTTTTCAATTTGGTACGTACAATAAATTTCTTGTATCACAATTTACCATCCATAAATTTACAAAACACGATAATTTGCAATTAATCTTTCGAAATTATTTTTTCTGAAAAAAATCCCCCTTTTCTTTTGTTTACTCTCTTTTTATTTCTATTCTTTTTATTTTATTCCCTATTGTCTTTGAAATCATTCTTTTTTCGTTCTTCTTTCATTCTTCTTTCAAAATATATTTTTTAAAATAAATATTAAATATATATAAAAAGTTGCATAAGTTTTTTAGGTTAGAATTTCTATAATTACGTTCTTGTTCTTTCTTCCTCTTTTATTTTTTAATTTCAATTTCGTTTATAGGTGAACATTGAATAAATTTTGTTAAATATTAATAATTAATGTAGCGTTTGTTCATTTTGACAGATCATATATTTGATATGGAAGCAAAGAATGAGGTGATATTTAATACTGTCGTAAAGCCGATAATAAATTCGGCTGTCGATGGTTTTAATGGTACAGTTTTTGCCTATGGACAAACAGGTTCGGGAAAAACTCACACAATGATGGGCTCGATAAATGAACCCGGAATAATTCCACTTGCTATCCAACACATGTTCGATACAATTGAAAAAACAATGAACCGGGAATTTTTAATAAGGTTTGTATATATTTTCAGTGTTGACACAGGTCTGGGAAATCAGGGAAAAATTAGGGATTTTTTATTAAAAGTACAGGAAATAATTAAATGTTTAGAATTTATAAGAAAATTCGGAATTTTTGTATCTTTTTTTCTGCCTCATAAACTATTAAATTTTCACGAATTCTAAAAGAAAATCTTCAATTTTTTCTATTTTTGAAAATAATTTATTTTAAATATAACTTAATTTAATTGAAGAACTGCCATAAAGTTATTACTTATAATTCATTTAAGAAAGTATTATTTTGAAAATTTTTAATTTCAATTCTGTTGAAATACTTTCAATTTTAAAAATTTTAACGCAATTTTTTGAAAGAATTCAACTATCTTAATAAATATTAAAATTCTTTCAAGAAATTCAATTATTTTCAAAAATTAAAAAAAGAATTTTCACCAGCATTTCAATTAGCAAAATTCTTCGCCGAAATTAAATTATATTCAGGAATTTTTATAAAATTCATTGTAAAATTCAATAATTTTCATAAATAATAATATTCATTACAAGAATTCAATTATTTTCAAAATTAATAAAATTCTTCGGAGAAATTCAATTATTTTAAAAAAATCTAAAAAATATTGTCAACATTTAAATTATCCTTATAATTGAATAGCAAAATTTTTCGACAAAATTTAATTATTTTTTCAGGAATTTTAATAAAATTCAATGCAAAATTCAATTATTTTCATAAATAATAGTATTCATCACAAGAATTTAATTATTTTCAAAAATTTTAATCAAATTCATGACAAAATTTTGATTTATTTTCAAGAATTTTTCTTAATTCAATGATTTTTAATATTCTACTATTTTAATAAAATTTCACAAAAGAATTCAATTATTAAACAAAAATTTTGATAATATTCTAAACGAACATTCAATTATATTCAAAAAATTAAAAAAATTTTTTCAGGGATTTAATTATTTTTATAAGTAATAAAAACATTCGGAGGAAGTTAATTATTTTCATAAATAATAATTTTTATCACAAGAATTTAATTATTTTCAAAAAATTTAATAAAACTTATATGCAAAGTTAAATTATTTTTAAAAATTTTTCTTAATTCTATAATTTGTATATCTATTATTTTAATAAAATTTCCCAAATTAATTCAGTTATTGAAAATAGAATTTGCATACATTTTTCGAAAAAAATCAATTGCTTGAAACTTTTTTTTATAAAATTCTTCGCAATAATTCAATTATTTTCGTAAATAATAAATCTCATTGCAAAATTTCAATTATTTTCAATACAATTTTAATCAAATTCCTCGAAAAATGTTATTATTTTTCAAAATTTAAGTAAAATTCGTCAAAAGAATTCAATTATTTAAAAACTTGTTGATAAAATTATGTATAAGATTTCAATTTTAAGAAACATTCAATTACATATTCAAAATAAATTATCTATGTTTGTATTTAAAATTTTAAATAATTGAATTCTCGTAGAATTTTCTAATAAAAATTTATTTTATAATTGAATTCACTTATTTCCAAAAAATGTTAATTCTTGGCAAGAATTCAATTATTTTCAAGAATTTTTATAAAATTCTTTATGAGAATTAAATTATTTTTAATACAATTTTACTTAAATTCTTGAAAGAATTCAATGATTTGCAAGAATTTTAAAAGAATTCTTTGCGGTAATTAAATAAATTTCAAAAATTTTAATAAAATTCTTCCCAGACATTTAATTATTTACAAAAACTTTAATAAAATTCTAGGCAAGAATTCAATTATCGTCATAAATAATAAAATCCTTTGTAGAAATTCAAAAATTTTTAAAAAGTAATTAAATTCGTGGCAAGAATCAATTATTCTTTTCATAAATAATAAAATTATTGGAAGGAATTAAATTATTTTCCAAAATTTTAATAAAATTCTTCTTAATTTAATTTCTTTTTCCCTTAAATTCAATTATTTACAAATACTTTAATAACATTCTAAAAAAGAATTCAATTATCTTCATAAATAATAAAGTTAGTCGCAAAAGTTCAATTATTTTACAAAATTTTAATAAAATTCTTCCCAAGAATTCAATTATTTACAAAAATAATAAAATTCTTTTTAAGAATTCAATTATTTTCATAAATAATAAAACTCATTGCAGAATTTTAATTATTTTTAATACAAATTTTTGGTGGCAACTCCAATTTTCTTTCTACTAAACATTTCATTTCAATTTACTGAAGAGAGATGAAAATAACAATTTTTTGCATTTTTCTTTCAGATTTTCTTATTTTGAAATATACAATGAAAAAATAAATGATCTTTTGAACATTGAAAATACGGATTTAAAAATAAAAGATGAGAATGGTCGAATTTTCGTTCACAATTGCTCGGAGAGAGTGACAAATGGAACGAAAAAAATGTTAGATGGAATGAAATGGGGTGAAAAAAATCGAAGTATCGGAGTTACGAATATGAACGATCGGAGTAGTAGGAGTCATACGATTTTTAAAATTGTGAGTTTTTAAACAAATACCTACTAATAATATAGTCTGATTTTAATAATTTTTTTTTTTCTTGAGGAATTTAAAATTTATTTTAACATTTTTTTTTCTCTTAGACAATTGAGAGTCGGGAAACGACAAGCGATTCAGATGGTGCAATTCAAATTTCCCAATTGAATTTGGTTGATTTGGCGGGTTCTGAACGAGCCTCACAGACAGGTTCAACTGGCGAACGTTTTAAAGAAGGAACGCACATTAATACATCACTTTTGTGTCTTGGCAATGTAATAAAACAATTGAGTGAATGCCAAGACAAGCCGACTTTTATAAATTTTCGCGATAGTAAATTAACGCGAATTTTACAAGCATCGTTGGGTGGAAATTCACTGACAGCAATTATTTGTACAGTTACGCCAGCAAGTTTTGGCGAAACCTATTGCACACTCTCGTATGTATTCAATATTTTAAATATATTTCATTAATAAAAAAATTAAATTAAATCTCAAACGTTACGTTAGTTGAAAAAATTATAAAAAATATTTCTATTTATCTAGGTTCGCATCAAGAGCAAAGAGCGTTAAGAACAAACCGAAACTCAATGAAGATCTCAGTGATGAAGCACTCTTGAAACGATATCGAAAGCAAATTATGGAACTTTCAAAAGAATTGAAGGTAATTTTTTTTAGAATTTATTTACAGAGTTTCCAAAGAGCAGAGATTATTAAAAATAATGGATTAACAGAAGAATTTTAGTTTAAAAACACTTAAAGAAACTGAATTTTAAAGCAATTTCAAATGATTGCAGAAATTCAATTATTTTCAAATGTAGTAAAATTTTTCTCAAAAATTTTTTCCATTATCTTAACTATCGAAAATCAAATGAATTTTTATTTCCTACTTTACAGAAAGCGAATCAGACAATTGAAAATACTAAAAATAATACTGGACTGGCTGACAGAATGGAATTATTGAAAGAATATATTGTCAGTGGTAATAAAAAAACATGCGTGAGAAGACGTTCATGTCCGGTGAAATTTGGTTTTGAAAATGCATTTCCTTCTCTTCAGCCGATAATTGAAGATCCTTGTCATGAAACGCCGAAGCAGGATAAAATTAAAAAATTCAAACGAAGACAAAGTATCATGCAGAGTGCAAATTCTGTGAAAGAAAGTAAGATTATAAAAAAAATTTAAGAAAAATCTCAGAGTATTGAATAGATTCTAAGGGTGAAAATTCTTTTTTCTATTTTGTAAATCTATAATTCTATTTTATTTTACAGCAAAAGCTGCGCTCGCTGACTTTGAAATTAATCTCCTTAAATCCGATTTTGAACCCGAAGAAGAATTGACAATGGAAATTGAACCTCAAGATTTTGTTATTCCACGAAGACAAACTAGACCCCGAGTTCAATTTAATGATGTTGATGATGTTCTAATAATTGACACGAATTTCATTTCGCCCGATAAATCTACAGAGAAAAGGTAAATTATTTTTTCAAATTTTCAATAAAATTCGTCTCAAGAATTCAATTATTCTCAAAAATAATATAATTCTTCGCAGAAATGCAATTAAGTTCAAAAAATTTACAAAAATTCTCATCAGAATTTCAATTATCTTTATAAATAATAAAATTCTTCTCCAAAATTCAATTATTTTCAAAAAATTTTAATAAAATTCTTGATAAAATTTCAAATATTTTCAAAAACTTTTCTTAATTCAATAATTTTTAATATCTACTACTTCAATAAAATTTCCCAAAAAAATTCAATTATTAAAAAAAAATTTTAATAAAATTCTACGTAATCATTTAATTATTTTTATAAATAATACAACTCGTCGCAGGCTTTTAATTATTTTTTATACAAGTGTTAATCAAATTTCTCGAAAAAATTAAATTATTTAAAAAAATTTTATTAAAACTTGTCAAGATAATTCAATTATTTAAAAATTTGTTGATAAAATTCTTTATAATAATTCAGTTTTAAGAAACATTTAATTATTTAATAAAATATTTGTTTTTGTATTTAAATAATTGAATTCTAGGAGAATTTTTTAATAAAAATTGATTAAAAAATGAATTTCAGTTAAAATTTTAGATAATAATTAAATTTGAAAATTCTCAAAGAACTTTTTTTTAAAAATTATTAAAAATAATGGATTTATAGAAGAATTTTAGATAAAAACACTAAAAACAAAATTAAAATTTGGAGAAATTCAAATATTTTCAAGAGTAATAAAATTCTTCACATAAATTTAATTATTTTCTAATAAAATTCTTTTTAAAAATTCAATTATTTTTTACCGTTTGTTTCTAAGATTAGATATTAATTTATTGTTAAATATGTCAGTTACCATATTTTTGTCCCAAGAAAGCAAAAATAAAATTAGTAAAATGTCAGGGAAAAGTCAGAGAATTTTTTTCTCAATCCTTGTTAGACACCCTGTTCAAATTCGTCGAAAGAATTCAGTTATGTATTTAAAAATTTGTTGATAAAATTCTTTATGAGAATTAAATTTTAAGAAACATTCAATTATTTAATAAAATGTTTATTTTTGTATTTAAATTTTTAACAAACAATTTTAAAAAGCATTAAAAAATTCTCAAATAACTTTTTCAAAAATTATTTTTAAAAAATTGATTTAAAGATGAATTGTAGTTAAAAATTCTCGAAATTGAATAACTGAATCGAAATGATGATTAATTTTCGAAGAAGTTACAGTAGCAATATTTTTATAATATAAAATAGTGATTCTGTCAAGTTTTAATTATTATAAAACATGAAGATAGCGATCACTCCGACTCGAAGACTCAGAGTGATCGATATCTTCATGTTTTATAATATTATTCTTATACGTTAATGAATTTGAATGTTTTGAAAAATTTTAATTCCTACGGAAAAGTAATATTGATTAAATATTTATTTAAAAATGAAGTTTTTCAAGTTTTCGAATCATTTAACAATGAAATAAATTCGTCAAAGTTTTGTCTGTAAAATCAGAGAGTTATTTTATTTGGAAAAATGTAAATGTAGTTTTAAACACTTGGAAAAATTTCGTTTTTTAACTTGGAAAACCTAGAAAAGTCAGGAAATTTGAAATGAGCAAAATCTTGGCAATTCTGTTAAATAATCTTCCTTTTTCCTGATAAAACTTGGATTAATTTTGATTGTCATCTTTTCTTTTTTTATCAGATGCAATTGTTCAATGTCAGCGTCGCCTGGTACGCCAAAAAGTGTTTTGCGTGAAAGATATAAGGCTCTAGCTGTAGAGCACAAAGAACTCGCGGAGAATACAACTTTGGAGAGACAATTGGACGTGAGTTTTAAAATTATTATAGATACTTTTCTAATGAAATTAGATTAAAATTAAATTAAAAAAATTTAATTAAACATTTTCTGTACAAAGTATTAAGGAGAAGAATCTTTTTTTGTTATTAGAAAGAAAATTATGAAACGTTACGAAATCTTAAAAAATCATTGGACGACACAAATATCTTATATTCGGATGTAAATAAAAAATACTCCGATCTACAGGTAACAATTTATTTTTTATAATTAAATAAATGTTTTCAATTGTCACGGCTAATTTTTTTTTTAATATTCAAGACGGAACATTCACTTCTCTTGGAGGAATCTTCCATATTAAGGAAGCAAGTCGAGTCCCTTTCTCCACTTCAGGAACGACTTGGAAAAATAGAAATCGAAAGTAAAGAACTGCATAATAAACTGGTGAGAAATTTTAAATTTACTAATTTCTATTTATCGATTTTATTTCGATAACTTTTCCAAATAACAAAATTCGTTAAATTTGCATTACAGAATGTAGCGTTGAAAGCACAAAAATTCGCTGAGGATGAAAATGTATCCATCGCTTATCAACTCGATTCAATGTCAGCTAAATTCAAGAAACGAGAAAAAGAACTCGAATTATCGTTACAGGTGAGAGAAATTGTTTTTTTTCTAATTTATTTATTATAATTTGCCAGTAAATGATAAAAAAAAATTATTTACTTTTTCAGAACGCGTGGAAATCAACTGACAAGACTGAAATGGAAAAAACGACAACGGAAATTCTTCGACTGGAAAATTTGGTTAAAACGCTCAACGAAGAAATTGAACAGTTAAAAATACAAAAGCCACGAATCAACGAATCCGATCCAATAATTATTGAAATGAACAATCTAAAGGAAAAACTCGAGGAAACAAATCGTCTACTTAAGGAATCTGATTTCGAAAAAACATCACTCATTGAACGTTTAGATTGTCTATCGCAAAAAATACAAATGAAAACAAAAATCGACGAATACGAGAATTTATTGCAAAATTTGGAGGAGGATAAAATTCATACTCTCAATCGTTTTGAGGAATTAGCCAAAGAACTCGAGCAACATGAATCTGGTCTTGAAATGACAACATTACAAAAAGCTGTTAATAATTTGAGTTCACATCTCACGGAATATGAGCGTGAAAATGTTCACGTACGAAGGAAATTTTCCATTTTTCTCGCATACATTGAATTTGTTTGTCAAGAAGCCTGCGACAATAAATTTCCCAACGATGAACTTGTCGATATTTCAACGAATTTCGAAAATTGGCGAAAAAGTATTTCCTACGATGATAAGGAGAAAAGTGATATTATTTTTGAATTAAAGCAATTCCGTGAAAGTCTTATTAGACGATCAAAGAGCTCGGAATTTTGTGAGAAGGAAACAATTATGAAAATTGATAAAGAAACATCAATCGACGAGGAAATTGTGCAAAATGAAAAGAAAATAATTTCCGAATTAAATGAAAAATTCAACGAAGAGAAAGTAAAGTTAAACAATGAACTCGTGGAACTAAAGGAAAAATTATTAAAAAGTGACGAGAAATTAAATGAATATGATAATCTTCTTTTAAAATTAAAAGACAATGAAACAAAAATTGACAAACTCGAAGATGAAAATTCAAAAATGGTGTCAAATAGCAAGGAAAATTCCTGTGTTTATGAAAAGGAAATTTCGGAACTTAAAGAAAAAATTCTCGAACTTGATAGTGAAAAATCGGTCTTGAATAGAAATTTGTCGGAAGCTTTGGAAAAATTGACCGGAAATTCGGAAATTGTGTCGAATTTACAAGAAAATGTCGAGATTTATGAAAAAGAAGTTTCGGTACTTAAAGAAAAAATTCTCGAAATTGAAAGTGAAAAATCGACGTTGAATAGTAATTTATCTGAAGCTTTGGAGAAATTAACCGTAAATTCAAAAATTGTGTCCAACTTCGAGGAAAATGTTGATGTTCATAAAAAGGAGATTTCGGAACTAAAGGAAAAAATTCTCGAACTTGAAAGTCAAAAATCGAGTGTAAATACAAATTTGTCGGAAGTTATGGGAAAATTGACGACTTATGAAGAAACATCAAACAAAATGGAAAACGAACGAGAATCAAAATTAAAGGAGATTGAAATGGAAAATTCTCAACTTAAGTCTCAAATTTCTGAAGTGGAAAAGAAAATCACGGATTTAAAAACAAAAATCGATGAAAGTGAGCGGGAGAAAGGAGAAAAAGACCAAGAAATAAGAGAAAAAGATCTGGCATTAAAAGAAAAGGAACGGGAATTAAAAGAAAAGGAACAAGAATTTCAAGAAAAAGAACAAGAGTTAATAGAAAAAGACGTGAATTTAAAAGAAAAACAACAACTAATCGACGAAACTGAAGAAAAATTACAAATACTCATGGAAAAGTCGAAAGAACTCGAACATTTGAATTCGGAACTAAAATCAAAACTCTCCGAGGCAACAGAAGCAATAAAAAATTACATAGAAACAATTGAATCATTAAAAGTGCAAACAACATCAGATAAAAATTCTCTCGATTCAAAAATCAAAGAGCTCGAGGAGAATAATAACGAATTGAAAATTCATTTAGAATCCAACAATCTCGAAATAAAAACCCTCGAATTTAAAATCAAAGAACTCGATGAAGAAAATACGGAACTGAAAATTCAATTAGAATCAAATAATCCAATAGAAACAAGTTTCTGCGCAATTGATACACGTCTCGAGGAAAAAGATGCCGAAATCTCACAATTAACTCTACGCATCAAAGAACTTGGCGACGAGAATTTCGAATTAAAATCACGAATAGAAGATGTTGAGGAAAAATTGAAATCTTATCAAAATTCTCTAAGTTCCCTAAACATTGATAACGAGCGTCTAACGACAGAATTAAAAGAAAAAGAAATGGATCTCTCACATTTGAAGATACGTTACAAGGAATTGGAGAATATGAACAATAGTTTTGCAAAATCAAATCAACAATCAATGAACAATACAAACGATGAAACATACAACGAAGCTGGTGAGGAATTTGTCAGAAATTATTTAGCCGCCAGTGATGTAATTCAAAAGGGTCTCGAGAATTTTGAAAAGAAAACTCTAGTATTTCCCGATGAGCAAAAAACATTTATCGAAGGCCTCGAGAAAAGTCATTTAACACGAAGTATTTTACATGCATCCAATAAAATGTCAACACCAACGAAAATGGAATTATCAATTAATTGTGAAACACCAAAAAGTATCGGAAAATCCTACAATGAGAATAACGATTCCACCAGTATTTTTAACAATGACAGTTATTTCAATAAAATGGAAATTGACGAAACAATTGACGACTGTCAGGAAATTGCCCAACAACCAATTAATGAAACACAAGATTTCACCGCTCCTTCAATGATGATAAACATTTTAAAATCAAACGATCTACCAACACTCAAGAGACGTGTCAAGGATCTAGAATCTCAAAATGAGAATTTAAATTCCCTCTATAATGATTTAATGAAACAAATAACGGAAAATAATGGCGAGGAATTGACACAAAAAATTGACGATTTCAAGAATGTGAAAATTTCTCTTGAAATTGAAAATTCAAGACTAAGGGACGAGGTTCAAGGGAAAATTCAAGAGGCCGAGGAAATTAAGAGCGGAATTCAAGGATTGAAAATGGATATTGAACAACTTCAGCAAACAATTTATTTACTGAACACGGAGAATGTGGAACTCGTTGGAAAATTAAATGCCGAGAAAGTGAAAAATCAAGAGATTGAATACGAGAGAATGGAAAATTTAAAAACCGAGAATAAAGAATTAATTGGTAAGGTGAAAGAATTAGAGGAGATAAAGGATTGTATTGAATACGATCATGAATGTATTTTTAAGGAGAAAAATAAACTTCTTCAAGAGCAGAATGATTCGTTACAAAATGAAATTACTGATTTATCGGACGATCTCATGAAGCATATCGACGACTGTGAGACAATTAAAAATCAACTCGATGATGCTTTGAAAAAATTGGAGTTCCACGAAAAAACTACTGATACGACTGAAAATATTAAAAAGAAACATCTGCAAGACGAACTTATTGAAGAAGTAACTTCCAACATATCGTTAATTTGCGATCAACTCGACAAGAGTATTGAAAATCAAAAAACTCGTCTCAATAATTCGTGGAAAATGGAACTAAACGAAAAAATCAAACAACAAGAGGAGGAGATTCAACATCTAACAATAATGAACGAAAAATTGAGTGAATTAAAATTAACCGCTTGTACACAATGCTCACATCTTAAGGAATTAAACGAAAATAAAAGAGCCCTGAAACTTGAGGTGAAATGTCTAAATAATAAACTCGAAGAATTGCAAACACGTTTTCAGGAGAAATGCATTAGTGTCGAGGCATTGAGAATTAAGGCAAATGAAGAATTAAATGTGAGTTTTAATCTAAATGAAAGTGTAACTGAAATAATGAGTGTCACACTAATGGAGGAGAATATTCGTCATCTCAGCAATGAAAAAGAGGAACTCAAAGAGGAATACGAGAAATTAACAGTTCTCTATCAGGACAAATGTTCCGATTTGGAAACACTTCAGGAGCAAAAGATTAACACAATTTCACCATCAACGAGTCCCGGTGGAAAGCGAGAGAGACTCAAAAAAGTCGAATCGTCGATAAAAGCATTTGGCGATGATCTCGAGGAGCATAGAAAAAAACTCGCCAATGTTAATTCTGAATTGGAAAAATATCGAGAACTCGAGGAGAAATTAAAAACTACCCAAGAAATTTTAATCGAAACTCAAGAAAATTTGCGAATTAGTCAAGAAGCACTGAAAGAAAATTCATCCACAGCCGAGGAGAAGATAAAACTTCTTGAAAAGGAAATTTCCCTTCTATACAAAAACATCGAGGAGCATAAAGAAACGGAAATAATGCTCCAAACTGAGAAATTGAATTTAGAAGTTAATCTGCAAATTTCCCAAAGTGAAGCAGAGAAAAAATTACAGACACTAGAGAATATTCTCGAGGAAAGAAATTCAAACCTCCGGGAATATGAAGAAATGAACAAAACCCTAGAATCAAGAATCAAGGAAACAGAACATAAAATTGAGGACAATGAGAAGAAAATTCGAGAATTGGTTTCAAATCTCGAAAATATGAAAGAAGAAAAACTCAATAGGGAAAAGAATGAAAGCAGAGAAACGGAAATCAATGAATTGTACGAGGCGAAAAAATTAATCATCAAAGAGACAATGTCCATGACGGCGAAAATTGAGGTCTCATCAAAAACGGCAAGTGAATTATTCGAAAACTTTTTGAATACAATTCTCTCCAAGGAGCACGAAGTGATACAAGCAATAAAGGAGAATTTCGAGCAAGAAAAACGTAAACTAATTGACGAGAAACAACAGAGTGACGACAAGGAAAAACGCGTCAGCACTTGGGCAAAATCCCTTGAGAACGACATCGAAAGACTACAAACCGATTTCACTGAGATTGAAACAAAAAATCATCAATTACAAAAACAACTCGAAATCATCGAACAGGAGAATCAAACTCTTCGTGAAAAATTCCAAGTACTTCAAAACGATTACAATCAATTACAAAACGATTACGACACGAAATTTGATGTCAGTTTACGAGAAAGTGAAAATATTGATGAAAAAATTCAAAGTGAGGTAAAAATCCACGAAATAGAATTTAAAAATCGCCTGAAGCAACAAAAGGAGGATTATAATAAAAAATTGGAAGAATTAACTCTGTGTATAAAAAATCTCGAAACCGTAAATATCGATCTTAGTGGTAATGTCGAAGGCCTGGAGGCAAATGAAAAACAGCTGAAAAATATTGTCGAGATGAAAACAAAAGATCTTGGGAAACAGAATCAATTGGTAAAGGAATTACATTCCGAGGTGGAGAAAATAACAATCGTCAATAATCTCCAACTTGGTGAAATTAACGAGAAAAATGAACGAATCGAACAAATAACGCTTCTACTCAAGGAAAAATGTGACACTCTCTCCGAATATAAAACAAAGCTCGAGAATCTAATGCCCGAGTACAATCATCTAAAGACCCAAATTGAAGAACGACGGGAAATAGTACAGAAATTTAGGGAAGAAAACGAAAATCTAAAACTACAACACATGGAAGAATTGAACAATCTACGTGATCAAGTTCAAGAGAACGAAATCAAAAATCTCAGTTTTGTGAAACAATTCGAGGAGCTGAATAAAAGAAATTCGGAGACTTATCAAGAACTCGAGGGAATGAGACAAAAGCACCAGGAAATGGAAATCTCCTACGATAAATTAATGCGAAAAGTACGTAATTCAACGAATAAACATCGTGCCGAGCAGGAAATTCAAGATATTATGGATAAGAATCGTACACTTGAGAAAAATCTCGAGGGTGCATCGAATCGAATCAAAGAACTTATGGACGCAAAAGCAAAGGCAATGAAAGACCTCCTCGATCTAAAGAATCTTAACGAAATAATAAAAACCGAAAACGAGGAATTAAAAACCCTCCATACACGCAATAATTCCCTCTTTGAATTACGTGGTAAATATGAAGAACTCCTACAGGAGAAGAATACAATAAAACTTGAACTTGAAGAAAAAAAATTAATTCTCATCCAACTTGAGAAGAACAACCAGGAAATTTCTCAAGAACTCACAAAATTACGTTCAACAAATGAAGAATTGGACAAAGAGGCCGATGAATTAGCGAAGAAAATTGAGGAGAATGAAAGTGAGATTGGAAAATTAGAGGATGAAAATTTCTATCTACAGGAGAGGACAAAACATGAGATTGATGAATTAAAGGCAAAATTGAAACAACAATTACAAACAAATACTGATTTACGTGCTGATATTGAATTGAAACGTACGACAATTATCACCGCACAAAATGATAATGACGAATTAAAATGTAAAATTAATGAATTAGAGAATAGAATTGAAGCAATGAGTACGGCAAGTTCAAGAAGTACGAGTCCAATGCTTGATTTTGATAAGAGACGAAAAAGAAGGAGTGATTTATTCAATAAGAATCGTCATCTAGATGAATTTAGTAGTGATTCTGGTGTTTCGTCAAATTGTCAATGTTCGGATTTAAGAAAAAGTCTTTCTGAATTGGGTCGTGAGATTGCAATGAAAAATGCGGTTATCGATACACTCAATATACAAATTCGAAGTGAAATTTTCCCCTATGAGAAGAAATGCCAGGATTTACAGGAGGAAATGGCCCTATTGAGGAATAAGGTAATTTTCAATTTGTTTTAATATCAAGTTTTTTTTTTTAAGGGAAAAATTAAATATTTTATTTATCTTCGAACGAATTCAACTATTTTCACAAATTCTAATAACAATTTTTTTTTGTTTGAAGAATTCAAGTATTTTTATAAATTGTAAAACAATTCTTTGCAGGAATTAAATTATTTTCAACAATTTTAATAAAATTCTTCCCAAGAATTCAATTATTTTCATAAATTCTAATAACGTTTTTTTTTTTGGAAGAATTCAATTATTTTCATAAATTCTAATAACAATTTTTTGGAAGAATTCAATTATTTTCATAAATAAAACAATTCTTTGCAGGAATTCAATTATGAATTTCAGTTAAAATTTTAGATAATAATTGAATATTAAAAGCAATATAGCGTAAATTTTGAGAAATAATTGAATTTTGAAAAGATTTCATATTTTAAAATTTTTGAAAATTTGAATTTTTTAACTAACAATTCTGTAGAAAAATTAATTTTTTTAAAAAAGTTTATTTCAATTTTACTTGAAATTATTTTTTTCAAGTTTTTATTTTCTAATATGTATTCAATTGAAAAATTTCCGAATAATTGAAATTTTATAAAATTGAATTGTAAACAAATGAATTTAAAAATTCTCAAAGAACTTTTTTTAAAAATTATTAAAAATAATGGATTTATATAAGAATTTTAGATACAAACACGGAAAAAAATTTAATTTTGTAAAAGTTACAAATTATTGTAAAAATTCAATTATTTTCAAAAATATAATCTTATTAAATTAAATCGAAATAAAATTTAAATTTTATAATTAAAATTTTCAGTGTCGTAAATTACAAGAGGAGGTCTATAGTCTTAGGAAGAAAATTATGGACATGAGTTCGAAAGAATGCGAAGTTTGCAATAAATGGCGTCAAAACCAAAGACATCAAGAGGTGCAGTGTGTAATTGAAGAGAAAATATATCTCAGTGGACGAAGCAGTGGAATTGTTGAAGTATGTTTTCATTTCTCTTTCTTTTTAAAAAAAAGTATCTTTAACACTGAAAAGAAGTAACCAGCGGAAAATTTATTTTAACAAATTATTTCCCTTTTTTTCAGGACTATCAACGACAAGAGAAACTCGAGAGAGATAATAAATTATTGGAGCAAAAAATAAAGAAAATCGAGAACGAAAAGGATTTAATGAAAAAATTATGCCGCAGTCGTAATGCTAAAATAAAAGAACTCGAATTACAAATAGAAAATCCACAAAAAATTACGTAAAATTCGCCGAAATGTAAATACATTTTTGTATTCATCAATGTTTTTTTGTAATGAATTATTTTTTAAAGTTAGTAATGCATTTAAGAAAAAACTTTTTTTTTTATTAACAAACTATGTACATATTTTCTTAGTTTTCTTTAGGTGCATTTTCTTCTTCAATGTTCAGTTGTGTGCAAGTTTAATTTACATTTTCATTATTTATTAAATATAAAATATTAAAAATGTTGACAAAAAAAAAACGTCTTTTGTATTGTATATTTTGTAATATTGTAATTTTGAAGAAAAAAACATTTAATAAGAATGTAATCGTAAAACGATATTTTGTAATTTAAAATAAGAAAAAAGGACTATTTTCTACAATAAAAATATTTTCATAATTTTTCATCAAAATTAGATTTCTTCTTTAAAACCTAGCATCTTTTACTTTGTCAATCAAAATTTCGACTTTTAGTAATTTACAAAAACTTTAAAAAGTTTCAATTTCAATGTAGTAAAAAATAATTTATTTGGTTTTGACTTTTTTCGATTTATACCTTGGCGTGAATGTTTGTGATTTTCTTTTCTTTGAATTTCCATCGAAGAGATCTGAAAAATTCGTTGTATAAATAGAAAGAGAAAAAATTAAATGGATTAAAATTGGTTTTAATAGAATAAGGAGTTTGCTTTCAAACCTTTGTCGGGTTCCTCGCCAACTTCGTCTCGATAATATTGTGCATCGTCGTCCTCTTCATTTTTATGTAATTCGACAGATTCCTTGGCAATTTTCTTTATTATAATATCTCTCTCGCTTTGCTTCTTTTTCATTCCTTTCAATGATTTTTCCTTTGCTTCTTCTTTCTTTGATTCCTTTCGTTTTACATTCTCCTCTTGTGTCTTCTTTCGATTTAACTTCAAATTCTTTTTCTTCTCTCGCTTCTTTGCGATCAATAATTTTTCCTCCTCTGATTTAACGATTAAATCGTGATACAGAACTTCACCCTCCAAGAGTCCATTTTCTACTTTTACTAACTAAAATGAAAGAAATTAAAAACAAAATGACTTGTAGTGATCAATTTTTTCATGTTTCATATAATAATAATTAAATTTCCATATAATTTTTCAACAAAAAAAAGTTTAAATATTTCCAAAAATGTTAATAATCTCCTTCAAAAGAATTTAATTATTTTTACAAGTAATAAAATTTTTCACATGAATTTAATTGTTCAAAATAAAATGTAATTAAATTCGTTGCAAGAATTCAATTATTTTCATAAATAATAAAATTTTTCATAGGATTTCAATTATGTATTTTTAATACAATTTTAGATGAATTCTTCGAGAAATGTAATTATTTTCAAAAATTTTTTTGCAAGAATTCTATTAAAATTTCACAAATAATGAAATTCTTCGCTGAAATTCAAATATTTTCAAAATCTACTACTTTAATAAAATTTCTCAAAAGAATTTAATAATTTAAAAAAAAGTAATAAAACTCGTTGCAAAAATTCAATTATTTTCATAAACAACAAAATTCTTTACAGGATTTCAATTATTTAAAAAAATGTAATAAAAATTCGATGTAAGAATTCAATTATTCTACTAAATAATAAAATTCTTCACATGATTTTAATTATTTTTAATACAATTTCAAAGTAAATTCTTCGAAAGAATTCAATTATCAATTATCAATTATTTTTAATAACTTTTGATAAAGTTCTTTGAGAATTTTCAAATTCATTTGTTAATAATTTAATTTCACAAAATTTCGATTATTCGGAAATTCTTCAATTAATTATATATTAGAAAATAAAAACTTGAAATAATTTTGAAAAATTTCGATTAAATGCTTTTTGGAAAAAATTAGTTCCATACAATTTTTAATTAAAAGTATAGAAAATTAAAAGAAAATTAAAATTTTCAAAGATTTTATTTTGAAATCTTTACAAAATTCCAGTTAATTTCTAAAAATTGCAATTATTAGTAACTTCTTTAAAATTATTATCTAAAACTTTAACTGAAATTAATTTTTAAATCAATTTTTATTAGAAAATTCTACGAGAATTCAATTATTTAAATACAAACATAGATAATTTATTGAGTAATTAAATGTTTCTTGAAATTGAATTCTTATAATTTTATAAACAAATTTTTAAATAATTGAATTCTTTCGACGAATTTTAATCAAATTCTTAAAAATAATAATATTTTTCGAGGAATTCGATTAAAATTGTATTAAAAATAATTAAATTATTGCGAAGAATTTTATAAAAAAGTTTCAAACAATTGATTTTTTCGAAAAATTTATATAAATTCTATTTTTAATAATTGAATTCTTGTAAAATTTACATTTATTTCAGAAAATAATTTAATATTCGTGTAGAATTTTGTTAAAATTGTTTTTAAATAATTGAATTCTTTTGGGGAATTTTATTAAAATAATAGATATTCAAATTATTGAATTAAGAAAAATTTTTGAAAATAATATTTATTTTTTTCTGGAAAATAATTGAATTCTTTCAAAGGAGTTTATTAAAATTTTTTGAAGATAATTTAACTTTTCAGCAACAAAATTTTATTAAATTTTTTGAATATAATTGAATTTTGTCGAAGAATTTTGCTACTCAATTATAAAGAGAATTTAAATGTTGACAATATTTTTTAGATTTTTTAAAAATAATTGAAATGTTGATGAGAATTTTTTTTTTTTAATTTTTGAAAATAATTGAATTTCTGGAAAGAATTTTAATATTTATGAAAATAGTTAAATTCTTTCAAAGAATTGGGTTAAAATTTTTAAAATTGAAACTAATTTCCAACAGAATTGAAATTAAAATGTAGAGAAAATAATATTTAATTTTGCACACCTGCAATGTGAGTCGTGGACCAAGTTCAAAAAGTCGAATAGCACTCTTTCCACTTTCGTGATTTCCACGGGATGTCAATTTTTGTGGTAATGTCACGTGTGATGCTGGATCATCTTCAGCCTCACTTTCCGAAAGCGCTGCCTTTGTTATAAATTCCGAAAAATCCTCGCATTTCGCGAGATTCGGTATTTTTGCTTGCATTAATTTTTTCACATTTCTTGAGAGGCCAACTGGCGCAATTTTTATCGCATAATGACGAAAATCAATCATATTCGTTGTTGAATTGTAATTTAAACAAACACAACGACGAATTGTACTTAAATTTACCTGTAAATTTAAATAAATTTCATAAATTTAATGACAATGTAATTTTGTTAATAAAAATGAATATAAAAAATAAATTCTCTTTTTTAAAATGTAGCTTAAAAAAATAGTTACGGTTGTTAAATTAATGGTGGGAAACATATTTTGAAACATTGACGCCATTAATTTCATGTGCATTCCCTCGCCACTGAAATTATTCAAAACAATGAGAGGAGAAGTTTTAAATGCTTCCTCGAACACTAATTGCTTTTTCGTCATTGACACTACGTCTCGAGAAAGTGAGAAATTATGCAATTTGAACATTAATGTTGGACCTCTTGGAACACTGCGAAAAAATTGTACATTAATACAAAAATAAAAATTGCATAGAATTATTTTATTAAAAATTTGTTTAAATAATTGAATTCTTTTGTGAAATTTTTTGAAAATAATTGAAATTTTATTAAAATTTTTGAAAATAATTGAACTTTTGAGAAAAATTTTACTACTTTCGAAAATAATTAAATTTCTGCAATCATTTGTAAATGCTTTAAAATTCCAGGTTGCGTGACAACCTTATGGTAAAAATAAACTAGTACTTAATAAAATAATATTGTTTAATAATATATAATTAATAAAATTTTAAAAAAACGAAATTTTTAATATATAATTTAAGAAATGAATATTAATTTACCGGCATAATTTGAAGTACATTCCATTTTCTGTTCTCGTGAAAATTGCCATGTGCGAAACGTGAAGAACACCGGCGACTGATACAAAATCTTTGATAGTATTTCGTTTACGTTCTTTTAAATCACTAGCTGTAAATGGCTCCATAACGCGTCGAAAATCACGAGTTAATTCAACAATATGTTCACCAGGTAAACCACGATGAATGACAAATGAATGAGGAGCGCGAACGAGTTCCTCTTTTTCCTGCACGTCCAATTGTTTATTACGCCTAACACAACGTCCCTAAATAAACATAAAAAAAACTTACAATTGTTCCCTTTTTTTTAAATAAATAAAAATATCCCAAACATGTAACAAACAAAAAATTTATACCTTATTCTTACGACCCATTGTTTTTTATTATAAAAAACTATTTATTTTTTATTTTGCTCTGAATATTTTGTTTACCAAATTCTTTTTCTGGTAATATTTAAATATGTATTTATTTCAAATTTCCTTGTTTTTATTAATCTTCGTAAATTTTTTTTTATTTATTTTATTGTAAAATTATCAATTCTCCTTCAGTAAAATGACTAAAATTGTCAAGTTCTTTTAGGTTATGTCAACTTCAAAATCCCACGTGCAATACTCAGAGTTGGGTAGTTTTACGAATTAGAATCTCTTAAAGGTGTTTTCATCACTGACAATGTTGCCTTGGGCAGCATTTTCATGAAAATCGTAAAATTTTTTCCTATAATCACCCAACCCTGTATTGTTTACATAACCTCAAAAATCGAAAGATCTGTCAAAAATATACTTGAAATTGAAATGTCAAAAAGCATGCGTATAAAAAAAAACGTCACAGATAATTAATGTTTATTAATGTCATAAACATTTAATACAAAATTCTTGTTGAATATATATGTACGTGTTAGTGTTTTGTGTCAGTGTTTTCTGTATATAAGTCTCGAGGTCAAAAAGTTTGTTTTTAAAACGTAAAAAATATATGATGAAAAGTTTTCTCCAAATAACGTTTGCAATAATATTGAGAAAATAAAATTGTAGACAGAAAAAAAAGAATATGGTATTCATGGATATTTTTCGGAGTTTCTTTGGTTTGAAAAAACACGACGATCAAAATTTCAGGTAAGAAAAACAATATTGGTCTATATTGTTAATTTGATGGATTTTACTATTAAAAATTAAGTTTCTAAAAAATTTTTGCCTATGATTTATATTAAAAATAGCTCTTTTTATTTATTTGGAACAATTAGATTGAGGTAAATATGTAATTTTTTAGGTTAAATACAATTGAGAATAATTCATTGAATATATATGTAAATTTTTCGAATGATGCAATATTGTTTCTTTTTTAATTTTAGACCCGAAGATCCGAATGAAAATAAATTCCGAAAACCAATTTGGATTAATAATGATGATGATGATGACGATGAGTACAGTAGTGATTTCAAGTATATATAATATAAACAAAAATTTTCTAAAACAATTCCTTTTGTTTTTTTTTCTTTAAATCTGACATAATTTTGCTCCTTTTATGAAAAATTAAAAAATCAATGATTCTATTTTACTATTTTTTAATTGAATTTTGAGAAGAATTCAACTATTTATGAAAATAATTTAATTCTTGCAAAGAATTTTATTTTTCTCTTTTTTAAAAATTTGAATTCTTGTGAAAAATTTTATTTATGAAAATAATTGAATTTCTGAAAAGAATTCAATTCTTTTTAAACAATTGATTTTTGCGAAAAAAATTTTTTAATTTTTTTGAAATAATTGAATTTCTTAGAAGAATTCAATAATTTATAAAAATAATTGAATTTCTGAGAAGAATTCAATTATTTATAAAAATAATTGAATTCTAGCGAGGAAATTTATTTAATTCTTTTTAAATAATTTAATTCTCGTGAAAAATTTTGTTATTTATGAAAAAAAATTTAATTTTTGCAAAGAATTGAATTGGATCTTTTTTTTAATAATTGACTTCTCTTAAAACATTTTATTATTTAGGAAAATAATTGAATAATTGTGAAGAATTAAAGAAAGAATTAAAGAATTTATCAATTTTCTAAAATATAATTAAATTTCCGTCAAGAATTCAATTATTTATGAAAATAATTAAATTCTAGCGAAGAAATTTATTTAATTCTTTTTAAATAATTGAATTCTCATGAAAAATTTTATTATTTATGAAAATAATTGAATTTTTCAGAAGAATTTTATTATTAATGAAAATAATTGAATTTTTGAGGAAAGTTTTATTATTTATGAAAATAATTGAATTTCTGAGAAGAATTTTATTATTTATGAAAATAATTGAATTCTTCCGAAGAATTTTATTTAATTTATGAAAATAATTTAATTCTTGCAAAGAATTTTATTTAATTCTTGTTAAATAATCATATTCTCGTGAAAAATGTTATTGCTTGTGAAAATAATTGAATTCTTGCTGTAGAATTTTATAAAAAGTTTTTAAATTAATTTTTTTCGAAAATTTATATGAAATATTTTAAATAATTTAATTTCTGTGAAAATAAATAAAAAAAATATATAATTTTTTAATTTTCCAGTAGTCATCAGAATGGAGGAAATGTTCATGTCGAAATATTTGGCGATCCATTTGATATAAGTCAATTTGAATCTCAAATAAATAATATAATGAAAAGTTTCTTTGGTGGATTTTCAGGACAGAGGGGAGGATTTTTTGATCAATTCAACGGTGAATAGAATTTATTTCCTTTTTTTCAATAATTTTTTTTTCCCTAAAAAATAGAAATTTTTCTAAAATACATTTAATTTCCATTTTTTTTTCTGATTAAAGATGATTCAACTACAATTTTCGCCTTACCCGAACCGCCAGGACACTCACAACGATCGGGCAACAATTTACGAGATCAAATTTTACAACGTGAATTCGATTCAATTGATAATTCTCAAAATCAAATAAAAGCAGATCAGGATTTGGATGGAAAGTAAGGGGCAAAAAAAGAAATTTTGTTATTGAAATGAAATTATTAAAGAGAAATAAGAAATAATACATATTTATTTACAGAATTAATAAAGAATCTCTTGTTAAATTTTGGCAAGATCCATCTAGTCGACAAATTGAATCAATAATTCAGCCGGAAAGGAAATCATGCACTGGATTTTTTTCTGGATCATTGTCATCAACTCGAATAATAACAAGAGGCGACGGTACTGTTGAGAAACATCAAACATTTAAAGATAATGAAGGCAATGAAAAAACTGTCGTTCGTCGACAAATTGGCGATAAAGTTCACGAACTTATTAAAAATCGTGATAAATCTGGAATTGAAACAACAACCGAGAATTTTATCAATATGAACGAAAGTAAGAAATATTGAGATAACAAATTTTTCCTTAATTTTTCCATTAGCCAGGCAATTTTTTTTTATTCGTTAAAATTTTTTGATACTTTTTTAAAATTAATTATTGAGTGTGAAGCCTGCATTACTTAAATGATTTATATTTTTCATATTTTTCATATTTTATTCATAAAATAGTCATTACTAAAAAGTGAAAATCTTATCTTTTTCAGACGAAATAAAAACATTTAATGATAATTGGAAATCGGACAATGATCAAAATTCACAAACTGACTTTGGTCCGAGAAATTTATTCCCCTGGCATCAATTTTTTGGCCCCGGTGCAAAATTGTAGATAAAAAAAAAGTAAGTTTTTTTTAAGATTTAAAAAATCGTTTTCTATCAAAGATTTAACAAATAAAAAATTTTTTAACCATTATCTTTACATTGAAAAATTATATATATCAAATTTTATTTTTTAAAAAAAAGTAGAAAAAGAGTTTTAATAATAGCAAAAAAAAAATAAAAATTTATTACAAACTTTTAAATAAATCTTTTTCATTAAATAAAAAAAATTTGTGAAAAGTGAAAATGTTTTTTTTTAATTAAACAGTACAATAATAAATATTTTCCCAAAGTAAATTAAATCTTTAAATAAATTTGAAAATACATAGAAAATTTTGTTCTTTGAAAAATTTAAATAAAAAAATAAAAATTGTACTTAAATTAATTGCAATTGTATAAAATTAAGAGATAAAATGAAAAGACTAGGGTAATTTAACGGTAAATTGTTTATTTACTGCTTTGTATATATAGTCTGTACATATTACATATATACAATCTAATAAAACATTATTGTACGGGCAATCAAAATGTTTGCTCTCGCCTTTTTTTTTTAGAGAAAGAACCATTTTTATTTATTCCTGAGCGATTACGACGCTGCGCGACTTACCACGAACAAAATTAATAATAATTATGTATTTATTATTTTATAAGGTGCTGCTGTCGTAAAATTTTATTTCTCTTCCAAGTGTTTTTTTTTCACCAACAAATTAAAAAAAAAACAAACAAACAAATATACATTTTTTTCCCCCGAAACAAAATAATAGTTTCAGTGCAATTTTCTTTTAGTTTCTCATTAAAACTATAATTGTATATATATGATATTTAAATTATAAATTATACGTGCAAGCTCACTGAAAAAGAATTACAATACTGATATTAATTTATATTGAATTTCACTTTATTTTCTCGATTTTATTTTCTTTTTCTTAAGATTTAATTTTCCACTTTTGTTTTTTGAAAAAATTCAATAAAACTAAATATAATTTTTTATTATTGAGAAAAATATTTAGAAATAAAATTCTTTAACAATAGAATCGAGAATTTAAAATTTAATTCTTGTTCCTGCAACTGAAATTAAATTGTGCTCATAGAATAAAATTGAATTAGAAATTTATAAAAAATAAAATATGAATAAATTTGATTCGACATAAAAAATACATATCGCGCATTTTCAAGGTGTCTACTATTTTCGTTCAACAAAATTCCCGGATTTTTTTCTCATCTAAATTTATTTGATTTCGAACATAAAAAAATCTACAAATGGCTTTCAAAATTTTTATGAATAATTAAATTCTTTTGACGAGTTTAAATTTTTTGAAAATAATGTTTTTTTTTAAATATTAATCAAAAATTTGGAAAACAATTGAATTAAACAAAGAATTTTTTCTCTTCTTTAAAATAATCTTGTCTGTTTATAATTATAATTAAAAATTTGATTAATTCAATTTTATTAAAATGTATTTTCCCGATTAGTAGACACCCTGATTTTTAATCTAGAAAACATAATAATAGCTTTTAAAAAAACAAGTTATATTTTATAAGACTTAAAAGGGAAAATTTAAAAAAAAAGATTTTCAATTTCATAAAATTGTAGGAGCAATGTGTATAATAAATGTATATCGGTGCACAAGTTTCATATCTATATCTATAATACAAGTTATTTACAAACAAAGATGTATATATAAGAATGGGAAACAATACATTTCTTTTAATTTGTTTACAATATATATTTATAAAAAATATGTTTAAAAAATTTTTCCGAATTATGGAGAGAAATGTTCAAAATTTAATTTTCTCTAAAGAAAATTTTTCATTTAAAAAATTTTTTTTTTTTTAAATTGCAATTGATAAAAATTCGAAGAAGACAAATTTACTATTTATTTACTTAGAACAGTAAAACATATAAGAAAGGGAAAATTAATTAAAATTTTATAAAAATTCGTACATAAAATCGTTTCATTCAAATAAATAACTTTTCATAATTAAATAAATAATTTTCTAAAAATTTTGAACATTTTTCTCAATATTTCGAAAAAAAATTTTCATTTCGTCGTAATGAAATTAAAATTAAAATCCAAAGAAGACATTCTAATGTAATATTTCTCTCTCGCTCTCTCTCTCTTTCAATTCCCAATTATAATGAAATTTTTTAATAAAAGCAAATTGGCAAGAATTTTCAAATTAATTTCACAAAAATATCGAAATAAAATTAATGAAACAATTTCCGATAAAATCTAAATAATTCGATTTTTATTTTATAAATTATTTTCTTATTATTTTTTTTGTACAATTTATTAGTGCTGTACAAGATGGAAATCAGTGATTTATGAGAAATTTTCATATACGATAAATTATCAGGAAAAAAAAACAATTTCAATTTTAAGATTCTTCGGAAAAAAATTTTATTAATTATGAATCTTTGAGAAAGCAAATTTCAAGGAAAGAAATTTTAGGAATTTAAGAGAAAAAAGAGTATTAAAAAAATAGATTTTGAAGAATCTTAAAATTTGTTTTTTTAAAATAAAAAAAAGAGAAAATTTTCCCTTTTTTCCTCTACGAATTCTGTTCCAGACAGTATACACAATATTTATTGTCCCTGTGATAAATAAAATTTTAATTACGTACTTTTTATTATATACAATTACTTATTGGGAAGAAAAACATTTTCTCATTCCAGGGACTTTTTTTTTTATCGTCAAAGAATATAAGTGAAATGTTTGAATAGCTAAAAATTCGTATGTCCTGCAATTTCAATTAAATTGAAATTTTTATTTTTCTAACACACGCTAAAAATAAAGAAGAAAAAAGTTCGAGAAAAATCAAAAATTGGTTAAAAAAAAGGAATTCTTCTCATTCCTTTTACATTCTCTTTTTCTCTCTCTTTCTTTCTTACAGAAATCCAAATGGATTTTTATGCGCAATCAAATCATTTACTGCAAAAGGTAAGTAAAATTGAATTTCAATTTTTCAAAAGTAAAATTTTACATTTAAGTTTATTGTAATTTTGTATCCAAATTGAACTTGAAATAAAATAAATAAAATCTAATTTTACAATAATGTAAAAAGAATTTATATTTTAACTCTCATTTTTAATGAAAGAGAAATGTGCAATTTCATTTGTAATAAAATATGCACTCAGATTAAAATTTTCTACAAGAAAAAAAAGTGACAAACGAAAAAGTTGTTTCAATTTGACAAAAAATTTGACTGCCAGTGAATTTGAATGATTTGTTTTTTCATAAAAATCCTCTTTCATTTCTATGAAACTTTCACTACAAAACGTTAGAACAATTATCCTAGCATTTGTATACGGTCATAATTAACGACAGTCAGGTGATTTCTAGTTTTATACAATTTTAGGGGGTTTGGCTTTTGAATAATCAGTACATTATGTCTGAAAAAAGAAAAAGAAAATTTTTAATTTCATTTAAAATAGAAAAATTGAAAAGTGAAAAAAAGGTTCTTGCAGGGCTCGAACTAGGTCTGTAAATTCCGTAAAAGTCCGTAATTTTGTTTAAAGTCCATAAAAGTCCGCTTTTTGGAAAAAAAAGTCTGTACAGTCCATAATTTGATTTAAAAAGGTCCGTGAAGTCCGTAATTTGATTCAAAAAGGATCAAAATTTAAATTATCTTTAGAAGTAATTAAATTCTTCTTGGAAATTTAATTATTTTCAAAAGTTTTCCTCAATTCAATTCAATTCAATTTCATAAAATTTTCCAAAAGAATTCAATTATTTAAAAAAAAAATTTAATAAAATTCTACACAAACTTTTAATTATTTTCAAAAAATAATTAAAATTTCACAGGAATTTCATTTTTTACAAATTTTTTTTTATAAATTTCTTCGTAATCATTCAATTATTTTCATAAATAATAAAATTTTTACGGGGATTCAATTATTTTCGTAAATAATAAAATTCTTTTCCAAAATTCAATTCTTTTCGTAAATAATAAAACTCATTGCAGAATTTCAATTATTTTTAATACAATTTTAATCGAATTTCTCAAAAAATGTAATTATTCTTAAAAACTTTATTAAAATTCGTCAAAAGGATTCAATTATGTATTTAAAAATTTGTTGATAAAATTAATTTTTTTGAAATTTTTATTTTCTAATATAATATTCAATTGATTGAAATTTTGTAAAATTGAATTGTAAACAAATTAATTTGAAAATTCTCAAAGAACTTTTTTTAAAAATTATTTAAAAATAATGGATTTATAGAAGAATTTTAGATAAAAACACTAAAAAAATTAAATTTTGGAGAAATAACAAACTATTGCAGAAATTCAATTATTTTCTAATAAAATTCTTTTGATGAATTCAATTATTTTCATAAATAATAAAACTCAACATTTAATTATTCAATAAACTATTTATTTTTGTGTTTAAATAATTGAATTCTAGTAGAATTTTCTAATAAAAATTGATTTTCAGATAAAATTTTAGATAATAATTGAATATTAAAACCAATATAGCGTTAATATTTAAAAATAATTGAATTTTGAATTTAATTTTTTGAAATAGTTTAATTGAATTTTTTTAATATTATTTGAAGTTTTTATTTTCTAATATTTATTTAATTGAAGAATTTACAAATAATTGAAATTTCGTAAAATTGAATATTGTAAACAAATGTAGATTTGAAAATTGTCAAAGAACTTTTTCGAAAATTATTAAAAATAATCGATTTGTAGAAGAATTTTAATTAAAAATTCTTGTAAATAATAATTAAATAATTGTAAATGATTTTATCACTCGGTCATCTTTAATTATTATAAAACATGAAGAAATCGATCACTCCGAGTCGATATCTTCATGTTTTATTGTTATAAAAATTTAATTTATAGTTTTAAGTAAAATGTTCTCTTATTTGATTTGGACTGTTTATATTTTTGTCACTAATTGGTCCGTAATTTTTCATTTTTGTTTCCGTTTCCGTATTTTTAAATACTTTCACTGGTTGGAGCCCTGGTTCTTGTAAAAATTACTTAACAATGAAAATAATTCTAATTACCTAGGGGAAAATCACTCTTGTCCGAAACCTTCCGTTTCTTCGATAGCATAATTCAGTTTCTCTACCATTTGATCGTAACTTTTGTATGGCGGCAGATCCAATCGATTGAAACATGTGTGTGACCTTGGTAGCCAAGTATCTTTGCCAACTTTCTCGATACAAAATCTTTGTGGTCCATTGCTTCCTATAAAGTTTGGAGAAAAATAATTTTAAGGTATTCAAATTTTTTAGAGTTTTTTTTTTCATCTTTTAAATATCGCTCAATATTTTACCCATTAATTCAGCAAAACCTCCAACTGGAACTCGACAAGTACCGGTGACAAACTGTAAAAGTCTCGCTCGTTTTTCACTGTCAGTTGATCGAACAAACTGAAATAAAAAAGAAAGAAAAAAAATTAATTGCTAGTATAAGAATAAAAAAAAATAGATAAAAATATAAAATTACAAACCTGCCAAAACCAAAGAACTTGTTTACTATTTCTCGTGTAATGCCTGTAAATTGTATTTCTTTGCCAGTCTTCAACGTCAATTTCCTGCATTCCACAAAGCATAAGTTCAAGTTCACGTTCATCAAAATATTTAAGCCACTCGAGTGGAACGACAGAATTGAAACCTTCTAAAAATGCTTTTGTTTGCTCTTCAATTCCACGTGTCATTCGCCATTCAGTCATTAAACGTATATATTCCTCTTTATTCTCTTCGACAACACGAATTTTATCACCATTCTCTTTTAATTCATGATGTATAACTTGGCCTAAAATTTCAAAATCGACACTATAATACAATTCGAGTCCGCATTCATCAATATTATTTTCTTTTATCCAAACGAGTGACTTATAAAATTCCGGATCAATTGATTCAATGTCTTTCATTATTAATTTTTTATTCAACATTCGCTTGTAAAATGGCATTGTAAATCCACTGTAGATGAAGCGACCGTGATAAAGAGCCTATGACAAAAGAATAATAATTAATTTGAAATATATTCAGTCGGAGAAAACAGGGCTCGAAACCAGTATTTCAACAATACAGACTTTAAGGACCAAAAATTGAAAAATTTAAAATTACGAATCGATTACTGACAAAAAATATAACTAGTTACTCTAACATCTTCAAAATTATTTTCATCAAATTAGTAGAAACGACTATTTATTGGTAAAATTTGCTAATTCAAAAGCAAAAAGTCAGTCACTAATTCAAATTAGAAAGCATTTTTACTAATTAAAATTTAGAGTTTAATATTCGATTATAATCTAAAATTTTACGTTAAATTCAGTTGTAAATCAATTTTTATTAGAAAATTCTACTAGAATTCAATTATTTAAATAAAAAAAAAATTTATTGAATAATTTAATGTTTCTGAAAATTGAATTCCCATAAAGAATTTTATCAACAAATTTTTAAATAATTGAATTCGTTTGACGAATTTTAATAAAAGTTTTAAGAATAATTACACTTTTCTAGGAATTCCATTAAAATTGCAATAAAAATAATTGAAATTCTGCGATGAGTTTGATTATTTATGAAAATAATTGAAATTCTTAAAAGAATTTTATTTACAAAAATAATAATTGAATCCCTGTAAAAATTTTATTATTCATGAAAATAATTGAATTATTTAGAAGAAATTTATAAAAAAAATTTTGTAAATAATTGAATTCCTGTGAAAAGAATTTTATTTACAAAAATAATTGAATCTCTGTAAAAATTTTATTATTTAAATGAAAATAATTGAGTTATTTAGAAGAAATTTTGTAAAAAGAATTTGCAAAATAATTGAATTCCTGTGAAATTTTTAATTATTTTATGAAAAAAATTAAATGTTTGCGTAGAATTTTATTAAAAATTTTTTTAAATAATTGAATTCTTTTGGAAAATTTGATTAAAGTAGTAGATATTAAAAATCATTGAATTGAGGAAAAATTTTTGAAAATAATTAAATTTCTTCAAAGAATTTTATTACTCTCGAAAATAATTGGAATTTTAATAAGAATTAAAAACAAATTTTTTGAACATAATTGAATTTCTGCCAAGAATTTTATTACTTTTGAAAATAATTGAATTTCTGCAATTTTTTTAAAATTCTCCAAATAATATCGTATAATTTACGAACTTTTCGTTCTTTTTCTATCAAATTACGGACTTTACGGATCTTTTTTTTTTACGGACATTTAAGGGATTTACGAATTACGAACCTAGTTCGAGCCCTGAGAAAAGAAACGAATTCTTAAAAAAAAAGAGAGAGAATATTACCATTGCAATGAATCTGCCGATAAATTTAAAATACTGAAGATGATCAGGATTCACGTATGAGGCTGGATTAATTTGTAAACTGTAATTACTTTTGTTGGCGTATTCAAAAAGGCAATACATTGGATTAAGCACCTCGTGACTCAAAAGGAAGAACCATTCTCTGCAAAAATAAATTTTTTGTTTAATGAATTTTCTACTTTTTAGTTTATATAAACACAGAAGTAGAAGAAATTACCTAGAAACACCACCATAGTCGAGACCCTCTTCACCTTTAAAAATTATGTACAATCTACGTCTCAAGGCAAACGCTTCGGCGTTCATTATTTGATGATATGAATCCTCAAAGAGTGTTTGTCGACTGACACTTATTTTTATATGATTCGGCAAAGCATTTGTTTGACACAAGAAACGAAATTGCGACAGTTTCCAACGGAACGATCTCTCGTAAGCCCTTGGCACACGATAGGCTCCCTTTGGTCTAAAATCATTAAAAATCAACAATAAAAAAAAATACTTTTTTATTTTTATTTCATGTTGCGAGTAAAAATGAAAAAAAATTCTCACCCCTTTGGAGCGCCGGGTCTAGGATCTTGGAATGTAGTTGTTCTTGAATTGTGATCGACAAAATAACGTACACCATCTTCCGTTAAACGAATTTCCCATCCATCTGGCAATTGTGGTTCGTCCATTCCCGTTTCTTGTCCTTGTGTTCGTGGATCTTCCCACTGTGTTGTTCGATTTTTATGATTAACATAATAAACACGACCCTCGGGTTGTTTTCTTCGTTCCCAACCGGCTGGTAATGGTCCCAATGCATCGTCTTCTGAATCAACAGCAGCCAATGGCGTTGTTGAGGGTCCAGCGACGGCAATTGGAGCACCATGATGATGATGATGATGATTCGCCTGGGGATAAAGAAACCTTTGATTTCCCTGTTGAACGACAAATTGACGTTCGCCCTGCCATTGTTGAAAATGTTGTAGCCTCTCTGTATTTGGTCTTTGCCACGTTGTACTTCTTGTATTATGATCCACATAGTAAATTCGTCCTCGTGGATCTCTTCGTACTTCCCAACCCGGTGGCAGTGGTTGTGGTCTCTCCCAGGATGTACTACGAGTATTATGATCCACATAGTATCTGCAGATTTTATTTTTCAAAATTAATTATTTCATTTCGAAATTAATTCTTTCTTTACTTCAATTGATGGAAATTTTTAATATAAATATTATTCAATTCTAAACTAGATAGTAGATTTTCTTGGTTAATTTTTACTGTAATATTCTACGATCTTTTAATCTTCTATCGTGCTTTTTTTTTAACTTAGTCTACCAAGTTCCAATTGATCCAACTTACTTAACTGTCAGATAGTCATAAGAAATAACGTGCGATAAATTTATCAGGCACTTATCGAGAAGTGGATCAAGTGGGGCTTAAATTTTATAATGTAGTCCATAAAAATTCTCAGACTTCGCAATTAATTGAAAAAAAGTAGCAAAAAGTAGCTTTCAAACTAAAAAAAGTAATAACAAAGTAGCTATCGAAAAATTAAACTTGACGACAAAAAAAAATAGTTTTAGACACTTGACAAAACTGAAAAAAATTCCATTCCATATTTTTTATTTTCCTGACTTTTTCCTAATTTTCAGAAAAAGAATATTTACTTCTTTCTTATCCTGCAAATAAATTGAATTTCTGCAACGAATTTTATTATTAAAGGTGAAATTCATTTTCTTTAATTATGAATTTTATTATTCATGAAAGAATATAAATATTTATGAAAATAATTTAATTCTTGCGAAGAATTTTATAAAAAATTACAAATAATTAATTTCTTTCGATTAATTTTATACAAATTCTTAATTTAAATAATTGAATTCCTAAGAAACTTTTTTTATTCATGAAAAGAATTCAATTCTTAAGAAGATTTTTACAAAAAATTCTTTAAAAAATTGAATTCTGTTTGGAAATTTTATGAAAATAGTAAATATTAAAAATCATTGAATTGCCAAAAGTTTTTAAAAATAATTAAATTTTACAAAGAATTCAATTAAAAATTTCTAACAATAATTGAATTCTTGCGAACGATTTTATAAGAATTTTTTAAAATAATTGAATTTTCAAGAAGAAATTTATTACTTTTAAAAATAATTAAATTCTTCTGATAAATATTGTTATTCATGAAAATAATTGAATTTTGCAAAGAATTTTATTAAAATGCCTGAAAATAATTGAATTTTCTGAAATAATTTTATTATTTATCGACATAATTGAATTCTTAGGAAGAATTTTATTAATATCTAAAAGAATAATTGAATTATTTCAAAAAGATTTAATTAAAATTGTATTTAAAATAAGAATTTTATGAAAATATTTGAACAAAATTGAATTCCTGTGAAAAATTCTAATATTTTTGTAAATAATTGAATTCTTCCAAAGAATTAAAAAAAAAAAATTTTTTTAATAATTGATTTTTTCGAGGAATTGATATTAAATTTTTAAGATCAATTACATTTTTTGAACAATTCTTGTAAAATTGTATTAAAAATAATTGAAATCTTGCGATGAATTATATTATTTATAAGAATAATTAAATAGTTGCTAAGAATTTTATTAGTTATGAAAATAATTGAATTCTTGCGAACGATTTTATTAGAACTTTTTAAAATAATTGAATTTCTGAGAAGAATTTCATTAGTTATGAAAATAATTGAATTCTTGCGAACGATTTTATTAAAATTTTTTAAAATAATTGAATTTCTGGGAAAAAATTTGTTATATTTAAAAATAATTGAATTCTTTATAAAAATTTTATAAACATTCTTTTAAATAAATAATTTTTTCGGAATATAATAAATATTATGATAATTTTATTTTAAATAATTGAATTTTCCTATTAATTAATTTAAAATAGTATTAAAAAAAAATTGAAACTCTTTGATGAGTTTTATTATTTATGAAAATCATTAAATTCTTGCTTAGAATTTTATCACAAATTATTGTAAATAATTGAATTTCCATGAAAATTGTTATTATTAGTGAAAGTATTTGAACTATTGTGAAGAATTGTATAAAAATATTGTTAAATAATTGATTTTTTGGAAATTTTTTGGAAAATGCTATTCTAAATTAATTAAATTCCTGTGGAAATCTTTACTATTTATGAAAATAATTGAATTTTGGATGAATTTTATCAACTTTTTTTTAAATAATTGAATTCTTTTGGGAAATTTTATGAAAATACTAAATATTGAAAATCATTGAATTGCGAAAAGTTTTTGAAAATAATTAAATTTTACAAAGAAATCTATTAAAATTTTTGAAAATAATTAAATATCTGTGTGGTATTTTATTAAATTTTTTTTTAAAATAATTGAATTCCTAAAAAGCATTTTATTATTTATGAAAATAATTGAATTTTGCAAAGAATTTTATTAAAATGCCTCAAAATAATTGAATTTTCGGGAATAATTTTGTTATCTTTTGAAGAATTATTTATGTAAATAATTGAATTTCTTTGAAAATTGTAATTGTTAGTGAAAGTATTTGAACTATTGTGAAGGATTGTATAAAAATTTTGTTAAATAATTGATTTTTTCAAAATTTTTTTGATAATGCTATTCTAAATTAATTAAATTCCTGTGGAAATTTTACTATTTATGAAAATAATTGAATTTTGGATGAATATTATCAATTTTTTTTTAAATAATTGAATTCTTTTGCGAAATTTGATGAAAATACTAGATATTGAAAATAATTGAATTTCGAATATTTTTTGAAAATAATTGAATCCTTTTAAAGAATTTGATTATAATTTTTGAGAATATTTTTTTTATTTCTGGTATTAGTGAATTTAAAGTAGTGGAAATTCTCAAAAGAAAGCAGAAATAGTAGGTTTTAGTGGATGAAATCTACTGTATTTAATAGTAGACTGGTAAAAATTAAAAAAAAAACGCTCAGGTATTTGTAATTTGAATAAACTGTTCTTCCTGGTAAAAGCGTTGATGCCCCAAAAAGATATAATTTTTAACGACGCGTTTGTAACCCAAGTGTTAACATCCTTTCTAACGTTATTCCCTATAGAATCTCGTTAGTTATTTTATCATTGCTATTTTCTTTTAAAAATTTTTTTCAAAATAAACTTCACCTTTTCCTTAAAAAAAAATTAATAATAAAATATTTTCCAAATTGAATAAAATGCACAAAAATACTGACCGTCTACCGTAAACGTCGTAACGCATTTCCCAACCGTTTGGCAATGGTTCCTCGGTCGAGGCAGCGGCCTGTTGTTGATTTCCATTTTCCAATTCATTCGATAAATTCCCAACTGACGATGAATCACCACTATTAACAGCTGTCGTTTGATTTGCCGGAACAGCAACTTGTGATGTTTGTGATTGTGCCGATGCCGATGGCACAACAACAACAACATTATTCGCCCCCGTTGTCGACGATGATGATGACGATGAATTATGATTACTCGTTGTTCCATTTGTAACCACGGGACTATTACCACCGGCTAATTGATTATTTGAATTAATTGCCGTTTGAGAAGAAAAATTAAACGAAGGCGATGCATCCTCCGTCCCTTGAAGTCTCAATCGTGCTCGAACTCCACCATTTAATATACTTCGATTATTCGTCCCGTCACTGTTCGAAGCACCTGTTGACAAATTTTATTTTACTCTCTCTTTCTCTCTCTGATTATAATTTTATGTAAAATTTGGTAAAATAAAATTATATATTAATAAAATTTCAGAGTTGGAAAAAAAATTTAATTTTGATTTTTCCCTGATTTCCAGACTTTTTCTTGACTGATTTTAACTTTTTCCCTGACCCTAAAGAATATTTTGATTCACTCAAAAAATGATTTGATACTAAAAATAAAATGTTCTATTACAATTATTTACGAATTTCCTTAAATTGTAAAATTATTCAAAAACACCAATAACTTCATTTTTAAATAAATATATTCAATCATTATTATTTTTTTCATGGAAATTAAGATTTTCAAAATTACTAATTCAAACCTTTTGAAATTCAATAACCTATATAATAATTAAAGTTGACCGAGTGATACAATCATTATTTTTTAATAAAATATAAGAATATTTTTACTCTAATTTCTTCAAAATTATTTTCATCATTTCAATTCAGTTATTTTCTAAAAAAAAAATAAAATTCTAATAAATTCTAATAAAATTCTTCTTTAAAACAATTTTTTAAAATAATTTTTGGAAAAATTCTTCTTTTGAGAATTTTTAAATCCATTTGTTTACAATTCAATTTAACGTGAAATTTCGCTTATTCGGAAATTCTTTAATTAAATAAAAATTAGCTCCATTGGATTTTTGTAATTAAAAGTATGAAAAATTCAGATTTTCAAAAGATTTTAATTTGAAACTTTGACAAAATTCAATTATGTATTTCTAAATATTGCAATTATTAGTAACTTCTCCAAAATTCAATTATTATCTAAAACTTTAACTAGGAAATTAATTTTTTAAATCAAATTTTTATTAGAAAATTCTACGAGAATTCAATTATTTAAATAGAAACATAGATAATTTATTGAATAATTGAATCTTTCTTAAAATTGAAATCTTTTACATTATTTTATCAACAAATTTTTAAATAATTGAATACTTTTGATGAATTTTAATAAATCATTTTTTAAGATTTTTTAAGAATAATTACATTTTTTGTGGAATTCGATTAAAATTGTATTAAAAATAATTAAAATTCTGCAATGAGTTTTATTATTTATGAAAGTAATTGAATCCTTTCAAAGAATTTTATTACATATTTATGAAAATAATTAAATTTTTGCGTAGAATTTTATTAAAATTTTGGAAAATAATTGAATTGTGGAGAACAATTTAATTATTTATAAAAATAATTAAAATTTTGAGGAAAATTAAAAAAATCTTTTAAACATAATTGAATTTCTGCGAAGAATTTTATTACTTTTGAAAATAATTGAATTGTCTTTTTTTAGAATTTTATGGAAATTTATGAAAATAATTGAATTCTTGTGAAGAATTTTTTTTAAAAATAATATTCAAAATAATTTACTAAATCTGAAGAATTTTGCTATTTATGGAAATAATTGAATTCTTTTGATGAATTTTAATAACATTTTTAAGAATAATTACATTTTTCGAGGAATTCGATTAAAATTCTATTAAAAATAATTGAAATTCCGCAATGAGTTTTACTATTTATGAAAATGATTGAATATATTGTGAAGAAATTTTTAAAAATAAAGTTATAATTACAGTGACTGACTTGCTTTGATTATTTTCGAAAAATTTAAATAACATTCTTTAGAAGAATTTAATTATTTTTAATAGAATGTAAAGAAATTTCAATTATTTCAAAAATTTTCAATTATTTATTTATTAAAATTCAATTATCTTGAAACAATAGAATTGAAAAATTTCAAAAATCTTATTTTTCAGAATTTTCAGAAAAAAACTTTGCTAAAATTCAATTTTATCAAAAAAATTTAAGTGTGTATCTTTTTTTAAATTAAGTAATAAAAATTTTAATTATTTATCTTCGCATCAAGAAACATGAATACATTAGAATGTGACTCTTTCTAAAATTCAATAATTTATCAATAATTATTAAATTAAAATACTTTGAAAATTCGATTTGTTAAAAAGTTTTTAATGAAATTCTTTAACAAAATTATTTATTTTCAGTTGAATTTCCAATTTCTATTAATTCGATAATTTCTTTTAAATTTATTTACTATATTTGAATCAGTGACTGATTTTTTACTATCAAATTAATTATTTTTAACAAATTCAAATTTAGAGAACAGTATATAAATATCTATAAAAATTGAAATAAAAAGCGATTTTTAAAATAAATTAAAATAATTAAACTTTTTTTAATTTCGTGAAAAATTCCCGGTTTGTCATAAAATTTCTGGCTTATTCCCCATTTTTCCTGGTCAAATTAAATTCCCGGTTAATAGACACCCTGAAGTTTAAATGAACCTATAAAACTGTTTATGTTTTAATTTGTTTGTTTGTTTTTTACGAACCATGAGATACGGCTGGATTTACACTGCCATTAATAACGGAACATTGATATTGTCTCATATCACCAGGTGGTGTGACATTTTGCATGTCAATTTTGAATCCATCGAACAAAGTGACCAATTCGCCAACTTTGGACAAATGAGATTCATGTTTACTACTCTCGGCAATTAAGTCGAGTGTTAATTCGAGATTTTCAAGTTTTCCATTATAATGAGATAAAATTTGATAAAGACTTAATCTTTTTTCACCGATAAGTGTGTCTTTACGGAATGTACTGTGATCTAGTAAACGAAAATGCAATTGCGAATGTGGTGTAACGAGCACTGTAAACTCCTCGTTCCACTTTGGTTGATATGTAGATTTTGAGACCTCAGTTTTACGAGGACTTTTCTCGTCCACTGAAAATTCGATGTACGGATTTGGTTTCAAGAACGATGAACTCCTCAATATTGCTGTCTCAACTGAAAAAAATTTTTTTTATTAATTATTTAAACATACATATGAATATTATGCACGAAAAATGAAAGTACATTTTATAAATAAAAAAAAGTAGCAAATAAAAGTACAATTTTTAAAAATTCTTATATTTTTTTTTTTTTTTGGAAATTAGAATACTTACTTGTAACACTCAACTGGTGAAATCCAGATGACACAGCTTCCTCTTCAGCACAATTATTAGACATTGTTGGCTTTTGTATGATAATGCGCGCGCGCACAAAAATTATCCACGATAATTTGTTTATTCATTCATGACATCTTTGCAAAATTTGTCCGTCTCTGCACAATCTATAATTAAAATTAAGTAATTTTTCAATTTTATACAAAACATTGTGTATTTTTCTATTATTTCATCATTTACATTTAAATTACAAATTTATTATAAATTCTAACGCATTATCATATTAAATATGAAATTTTATAAACATTGTTTTAATTTTTTCGAAATATAATAAATATTATGATAATTATATTTTAAAAATATAAATAAAAAAATAAATAAAATAGGCCTTTTCATTATCTTACAAATGAATATTTAATACGGTCAAACAAACAAAAATCACTATATTTTAAATAATTGAATTTTTGTGGAAAACGCTATTTGTGAAAATAATTGAATTGCGAAAAGTTTTTAAAAATAATTAAATTTTACAAAGAAATTCAATTAAAAATTTTTAACAATAATTGAATTCTTGCGAACGATTTTATCAGAATTTTTTAACCTTCGGAGAACACACCTCTTTTTTAGGTCATTTTTCAATGCTCAACCAATTTTGAACTGTTCATCTGCTTAACCTAAGAATTTTTTGAAAATATAGTTTAAACTCTGTAAAATAAGTCTGTGTACTTTAAAATCCTTATAAAAAATATTAAACAATAGATAAAAAGCTTTTCGCAAAAAATCGTGAGGTCAAAATGACCCCATGTGTTCTCCGAGGGTTAAAATAATTGAATTTTCAAGAAGAAATTTATTACTTTTAAAAATAATTGAATTCTTCTGATAAATATTGTTATTTCTGAAAATAATTGAATTTTACAAAGAATTTTATTAAAATGCCTGAAAATAATTGAATTTTCTGAAATAATTTGATTATTTATCGACATAATTGAATTTTTGGGAAGAATTTTACTAAAATCTAAAGGAATAACTGAATTATTTCAAAAAAATTTAATTAAAATTGTATTTAAAATAACAATTTTATTAAAATCTTTGAAAAAAATTTAATTCCTGTGAAAAATTCTAATATTTTTGTAAATAATTGAAATCTTCCATAAAAATTTAAAAAAAAACATATTTTTTAAATAATTGATTTTTTCGAATAATTGATATTAAATTTAAAAGCATAATTACATTTTTTGAGCTATTCTTGTAAAATTATATTAAAAATAATTGAAATATTCTTCGATGAGTTTTATTATTTATAAAAATAATTGAATTCTTGCTTAGAATTTTATCAAACATTTTTTTTTAAATAATTGAATTTCCATGAAAAATGTTATTATTAGTGAAAGTATTTGAATTATTGTGAAGATTTGTATAAAAATTTTGTTAAATAATTAATTTTTTCGAAATTTTTTTTTTAAAGAATTGGATTTCTGGCAAAGGATTTTACTATTTATAAAAATAATTAAATTGTTTTGAAGAAATTATTAAAATTTTAGAAAATAATTGAATTGTTTTTAGAGAATTTTAAAAATAATTTAATTCCTGCAAAGAATTTTAGTATAATTATAAAAATAATTGAATTTTATAGAAATATTTAAAAATATTTAAATTCTTCCGAGGAATTCAATTAAAATTGTTTTGAAAATAATCGAATTCCTGCAAAAATTGTTACTATTTATAAAAATAATTGAAACATTACGAAGAATTTTACTGTTTATAATAATAATTGAATTGTTTCGAAGGAATTATTAAGATTTAAAAAAAAAATTGAATTTATTGGAAATATATTAAATTTTTTTTTTAAATTGATTTCTTCCCAGTAATTTAATTAAAATTGTTTTTAAAATAAATAAATTCCTACAAAGAATTTTACTATTTATAAAAATAATTGAATTGTTTAAAAAGATTTATTAAAATTTTAGAAAACAATTGAATTCTTTCGTGGAATTTTATTAAAAATAATTGAATTCATCAGAAGAATTTTATTATTTTTTGAAAATAATTGAATTCTTGCGAAGAATTTTATTAAAATTTTTGAAAATATAAACAATAATAATTAATTTTTTACTTAATAAGTGAATTTTGTAACTTTTGATTATAAAATTATTTTTAATTTACACTTGAAAATAAAAAATTTTGTAATTTGCGTAACAATAATAAGTTGAATTAGTTGAATTGCTATAGTTTATTATAAATTCTAATGTATTATCATGTAATGAATTATTTAAGTAAATTAAAATAAACTTTTTAAATTTTTTTCTTCTGTTCTTTAACTAAAAAAATATTAATTGTAAAAGAATTTGATAAAAATTTTCCTTTACTTACTTTCTTTGCTTTTTTAATATATATTCTACAATATACAAAAATAAATTATCAATATTTCTATCTTTGACTTTAAAATGATAGAAATCAGAGGAAAAAAAAAGGAAATCAATTTTCTTGTGTAAAATATAATTTTGCATTTGTCTTAGAAATAAATGAAACTTTATTCTTCACGTCTTTTTAACAATTATTAATTATTTCAATATTATACTGAAATTTATAATTAGATTACATTGAGGGGAAATTTTTGCCAATAATAACAAATGATGCAGATTACATTATCGTACTATCAGAAAATAAGAGAGACATAAATAACTATGTTTATTTAAATATTTTATCGATCAGTGAAATATAATATATATTTTACGTAAGAAAAATTTTACATTTACTATTCTATTATAAACTTCATAGAATTATAATTTATAATGAAAATCTAATTTATAATTCTGTTTGAAATTTCCATTCAATTGTTTTCAAAAGTTAATGTATAATTTAAAAAAAAATTGTTTTGATTTGCAACAGAAAAAAAGGCAGGAATTATATTTAAAAATTGTTTTCATTTTAGTCATACGAATAATAATAATAATAATGATATGAAATAAATAGATAAGAGTTATTAACGACGTGAATAATAAGGAATCAAGTTCTTTAGTAAATACCCATAAAATTGACATAATCGAAACGAAGAGAAATTTGCAGAATTCTCCTAAATTGTCAAATTAATTGTAAAGAAAAACAAGAATTATGTTAAATGACATGCATTGTAAGGAAAGAAAAAAAAGAATTCAATTGAAAAACAAACCTATTTACAGATCGACAGATAATTTAATTGCTTCTTGATTTTGCAGCATTCTTCGTACTATTTTATTCCTTGGCACAATTGTGAAAATTATTAATTTAATTTTTAGAAATAAGATCTGTAGAAAACACTGACGATTTTGTTATCACCACTTGATTTTTCGTCACTATCAGTTAGCCACCATCTTGGCAAACTCACATACGTCAAACTTTGAGCGTGAAATGAAAGTGCGTCAGACCAAGGCTTTTAAATAAAATAACGACACACGATAATTGTTATATTTTATTATTCAGAAAATCACTTCATTGTTATTTTTTTAAGTTTTATAAGAAAGAAGAAACTTCATCACTTTATATATATATTTTTCTTTAAAAAAAATGAATAATTCGACTTTTTTTTAGCTGAAGTTGATTACTGAAAGAAAACGTTTTTTTAATGAATTTTCCTATGGCGGCGATTTATTATCACATGACCTGAGAAAAGAGCCAATCACGAGCGACTATTATCATAAATGTATGAAATACAAGAAAGTTCCGCTTCATTGAAAATAGGTCTTAATATTTGAGGTATGTTTCAGCACCCTGGTTTTTTAAAAAATCTTGAAAATATAATTTGGTGTGATCGCACCCTTAGTGCCATTTTATCGAAATTAATTTCCCAACTCTGGTCTTATAGGTTAGAATCCAATTGCATTTTATAAATGTTGTTGTAATTTATTTAACACCGTGTTATTTAATTAAACAGAAAAAAATGGAAATTGGACGTGAAACTGTTTTAAAACTATATCGTAATTTACTCAAGGAAAGTAAAAACTGGAATTCTTACAATTACAGGTATTTTTTTAAACAAATTTTTAAAAATATTTTTTCACCTTTTTCACCCTATAAACACAACCTATAAATTAGAAAGAATTTATATAAAACAATTATTTATAAATCAAACTTGACTTATTATAAATATAACTTAGTAATATTCTAATTAATATGTAGGTATAGAATCTAAAATGAAAATTTTTCAATATCTAAATTAGTATTTTTTTAATAAGTGAAATAGCAACAAAATTATATTATAGGATGTACGCATTGCGAAAAATTCGCCATGAATTTCAAGAAAATAAAACAATTACGGATACAGAAAAGCTGAATGATTGCTTTAATCATGGACTGAAATCACTGGAAATAATTAAGCGACAAGTTGCAATTGGAAATTTGTATTTAACGCGACCTTTGGTTATAGAAACTCAACATCATCATGAAGTGAATGAAATAGAATTGAAATAGTTAATAAAAAAAGAGAAATTGTTTACATTTTAATTAAATTATCCAGATAAAAAAAAGTTACACTGAAAAATGTTTTTTGAAAACTGATTTTCCTATTTTCGCGCTCTTTTTATATTATTGATGATAGATTTATAAATCAAAAATTTGTATATAGCGTTTTCTGTTTGTAAATAAATTTCCAGAAATAATTATGTTGTAAGATTTGAATTTCCCGCTTTACTACTTTGGGGTTCTTCTATTTGTCGTGTATACGTCCCTGACTTTTTGACAGCTGACATAACCTTAAAAATGTCAGATATAACATCGAACGCATCGAACGAAAGTCACGAAAATGAATACATTTGTGAAAATAGTTTAAATTGTAATTAAAAATAAGATATTATGTAACAATTTACCTTAAACGATAAGATATGTTATTCGAAAATTGTTCTCAAGTGTCTTAAAAATTATAAAATGTCATTGATCTTAAAACTTTTGATTTCTTCATAGTTGACGTGGAAAGCAATAAAATGCTGATAATTAAAAATTAAGTGAATTAATTGTTTCAAATAGATAAAAAATAATAAAACAATGTCGACAAGAAATCTTACCGATGCTTTTGTTCTTATGAGAAATAATGCATTACAAACGAAACATATTTATGCTGAGCAGGTATAATATAAAAAAATTTTCAATTTTTATAAAGTATTAAATTGTAAATAGAAATTTAATTAAATTTTAAATATTTGTGATTTCATTATTCTTTTTTAGAATTTGTCAGATAGAATGGCCTTGGTGGAAATGGGAAGTCCCGATAGTTTTGAAATGAATGGCACAAATTTGGGAAATAGTGCACCACCACTTTGGATAGATGCTTTAGAGGAAACGCAATATATATTGAATCGTCTTCGAATAAAAATTGATGCACTTCTCGATTTGCATTCAAAACAATTAACAAGACCTACATTGGACGACACACCCCAGGTATAAACAGTGCTGGACTTTAAAAGTCCTTAAAAAACTTATCAAGAGATTATCTCCGGATCTCTAACTTTCGTTCTTGATTAATGAAAACATTTTTGACAATTCTATTATCTCAGATTTCTTAAAACCAACAAAAAATGAAACAATATTCCATACACGGAATATTCAGGCAAATAAATTGCTTTATTTGTTTAAAGCAAAATTGTTACCGAGTCTTAATATTCAATGAAGAGCTCTATAATGGGATATTATATGAATTATGTAGGTGAGAAAAAATCATTCTTTCCGAGTCAAATCAATCAAAAGTAAATGACTTCGACGATAACAATCGTCCTCATCAAAAAGTAAAATTTATTTAGAAAAAATCATCCTTACTCTCAGAAGATTGCACTAATATACAACCTTACTGATAGAGCGATAAAACTTTCAAACAACTGTTCTCATGGGAAAATTATAAAATTCATCAAATAGCTACTTATTGACAACTGTCACCCCAGGCTCCTTATTGACAAACATATAAAAAAACGCATTTGCAAAATAAATTCAAATATTCCAGTCAGAAAAAATAATAATGATTATTACACATTGGTACCAAAAATATGTTCACCATACATAAAAGGCTTCTATGAAAGAACGAAGTATAACCTAAGAAGATATAACATTCACTCTCTTCCCCCAGGTAATAAATTTATTCAAAAAGGTAAAGATAAAACAAACAAAAGCGAAATTGTAAACTCTGTCTATAAAATTAATTGCAAAATCTGCCCCATCTCATACGTAAGTGAATCAAAACATGTTTAAAAAACGTGTATACGAGCATAAAAACTCTAGAGATAATGCACTTGCATTACACAGCGCCGAACATGGACATGTTTTCGATTTTGACGGAATCTCTATACTAGATAGAGGAAAAGTACGAGGAAGAAGAATGATATCGTACGAATTTTGTTCAGAATTCCTAACGATTACACAACTCTTACGTATATATGGCTAATTTAATCATTATATAAATATTATAAACAAAATTAGTGATATTTAATTTCGGTAAACTATTTATAAATGTTGTCAATAGTCTAAATAATTAATATTATAGTTTGCATTTGTATATTGTTGCATAGGTCGACCGCTAGGTAAAGCTATAAAATTTTTTTTAAAAAATAACCATATATTGGCCCATTAAAGAAGTAAAAAAAATTTTACATCAGATTTGGATTCCTTGGTTCCAAATTAGATAAAAATAATATCTTTCGATATCTATGTAAAAAATTTTACATCTCTGTCCGATATGGGTTAACAAGAAATTTGACTCGAAAAGAATGATTTTTTCTCACCTATATAATTTTCGACCGAGTGATAATTCTACTTCATCTGCACGGAAAAAATTTAGGGACTCCAGAAGCGCAAAATCTTGTACAGATTTTGTACTGCTGTCTTTGTTCAACTGAAGTCCTAACTTTGGAGCTCTGGTGTCCACTGAGGTGCGTCTGCTATACTTCTGGGGACACCAGAGCTCCCCATTTAGGATATCGCTTGTCCAAGAATAGATGGATAAGCTCTGAGTGCTTTTGTAGTCCCCAAATTTTTTCCGTGTGGTCAATAAGTATAGATTCCTCGTTCTGAAGGATTCTAACTTTAATAAAATTGCAATAGGAATTTTTATTTCAATAAATGAAAATTTCAAATAAAAGCATAGACCCGATAAGTATTTGAAAGTCACGTAATAGTAGTATTGCTTCTAATTGTTTTAACAACCGTGTGTTGTTTATCACCTTAATAATGAAATTTTTTATATTTTTTAACCCGATGTTAGTTCATTTTGATTTGAACATTTACATTAAATTGTATATTGACAATATAAATAGGAAGAGAGGCAAATAGACCAATTAACGAGAGAAATAGGCCGAGCTTTTTCTACGGGCTACAGACAAGTGCAAACCATAAAAAATGCATCTCAACATGAAACAAGACAAGCAGAGCGACGACTTGCAACAAGCGCCGTAATGGCTTTATCCTCTGCCCTTCAAGATATGGCAATTCGTTACCGAACTGCTCAAAATCATTATTTACAACGTAAGACTAATTTTAATTTTAAGTAGCCAATAAAATTTATTTAACTTATTGTAGGTAAATTATATTAAATATGAAAAACTATAGAATTAAATGAAGATGTTAAAATATCAATATTAGAATTCACGATTTTTAGAGGTGAATTCCAGAGAAGAGAGGAATAGAAAATTTTTTGAAGATGAACAAACACAAGTATTAAATGGATCAACGGATTTGTGGCTCTCGGAATCGTTTCAGGGCGATACAAATTCGAGTTCTTGGAATGAGGGCCAACAGAAGCAAGAGTCAGTTTTACTAAATTTTGACGAGGCCGAAGAAAATATAAGACAGGCCTTGGAAAGAGAACAAGAAGTTGGTCACATTGTTCATAGTATTTCTGAGTTAAATCATATATTCAAGGTGAGTTCATTCATATATACTCTTTTTAAAAAAAAATTAAGATATTTTGCCTTAAAATAGGTTCTTGAATTAATATTACTTTCTTCATACTATAACATACTGTTTTTGATCATTAGGATCTTGCAAATATGGTTCAGGACCAGGGTACTGTCTTGGATCGAATTGATTATAATATCGAGCAGACTCAAGTTCAGGTATACGAAGGTTATCAACAGCTTAAAAAAGCTGATTCTTACCAAAGAACAAATCGAAAGATGTATTGTATTTTAGTACTCGCTGGAGCAATTATTATTCTTAGTTTTCTCCTTGTTGTATTCAAAACTTAGTGAATTTTTTATACAACTAGTGTAGGCTAAACATCCAAAGTTATATAAATTATTACAAGAACAAATATTACAATAGAGAGAATGTAGATTAAGAGAACGAATTTTTTTTATAATATGAATGTTTTTCTCCTTGTTATGAATTTTTATTAACGTTCATTGTCATATATGCCATAATAAATTAAAAAATGTTTTTAATCAACTTTAGAGAAGTATTAAGAACATTTCATTTTGGGTCAGACTTAACATTAATTTGCTTTTCTAAAAAATGTGTTTAAATATTATTTAAACATTTCTTCAACTACTATAATATTCATCAGTATTTATTATAAAATATGCGTCAATGGGAAATTTAGATTTGTTCACAAACAGTGGTCCAATAATCAAGAACAAATCTTCTGTTTGTAATATATTGTGGTTGTGTATACGTTATAAGTGTAAATATGTGCTTTCTTTATAAATAATTATTGTACATGTTATTTATCTATTATTAGCTGTGAAATGAAAAAATAAATTATTGTTTATTATTAAAATACAATAGTTTTTGAAATTTTATTTATTTTATATCTTAGATAACCCAAAAAATAACATAAAGAATATATTGTAGTATTCATAAGAAAAACTTCAAATTATTAAAACAATTCCCACAAGTCCATACTATAAATTTGAGAAATTAAATTTATTCGCATAAATATTAAAATATCATTTTTAACCCATTAACGCCTAAATGCACTGAATTTTTAGTCTGATTTCAAACTTAAATATTTTTTAATAAACATACTAAAATTTTCTCTTCAGAATAAATTTTTTTTATGCATTAGAGTGTCCTCTATCCGAATATGATGGTAAAAAATTGTTTAACAATATTTTTTGCATATAATTAGGGATCGTCCATATATTACGTAACACTTTTTGGGGGGAGGGGGGGGGGTCAAGCTATTTGTTACGATAAGCCAAAAAAAATTGAGCTAATGTATGTAACAGTGTGTTACATGGGGGGAAGGGGTCAAAATTTTCAAAAATTAGCGTTACGTAATGTATGAACGGCTGGCCCATTAAAATTCGCTGATTACGAATCTGATATTAGTTTTTGAAAATTTAAAATGTCGGATTCAATATGGCGGATAAAATTTTTAAAAGTCGGTAGGATTCATTTGAAAATGCTAACTCGGTGGTTTTCGGGGTATCTGATAACGAATCTGATAATAATTTTCCAAAATTCAAAATGGTGGATCCAATATATGTCAAGCACATTAGTCCAGATTGCCCTTTGGGATGATGACTTTTTAGTCGGCCGAATCGTACTCATCTTGACTTAAATTTCTTTATATAATGAATGGCATAGTTATATATTTCGATTCTTTAAATTTACATAATATAAATATTGAATCTAAAAAACTTAAATATTGCAATTGCATCCGTTTTCTTTCTTTGAAAATTTTTTTAATAGACAGACAAAAAATGTTTAGTATAAATATAAATTTCTTTCTTTACATTAAAATATGTAATAATAATTTATTTACAACAACTATTATTGAGCGTGAACAAATACGTTTTTCCTTACAGGTTGAACAGGTCAACTTTTACCTTATACGGTAAATAAAAGGTCATTTATTTGTAAGTATAATTTATTTTATAAGAAAATGAATGAAACAAAGTAATATGATTTCATGATTAATGTTAAAATAAAAAATTGTCATTCATCAGTAAAACGTTTTCTAATGAATAGTGATGTGACATTTTTTTGTCATTACAAAAAAAAATTTCATATGTTTAACAACGATTTTATTTTTTAATTTGACAAACACTCTTACATTTGCTGATAAGAAGGAGGGTAAAAAAATACTCTTTTAAATTATAAAAGATTTGATACGCCTGATAATATAATTGACATAGGTCAAAAAGTGACAGATTTTATTTATAAATAATAAGAATAAAAATAAATTGTTGTGTTACTTTTTATTTTAATGAATTCATTTTTGGTGCTATAAAAGACTCCTTCGGAATAAAAATAATTTAGTTCCTTTTTGATAAGCTCTTTATGCATGAAGAAAATAATATTTGAAAAGATGATTTTTAAAAATTTTAAATAAAATATTAGTACGAAGTACTATTAAAGGTATAATATTTAAAAAAGTATAATTAAGTTACAATTTACTTTAAATACTTTTGATTCTTTTATCTTGATACTCCCACGAAATCATATTACATTATTATATACTGCTATTAATGTTAATCATTTGTATAAACTTTTAGTTACCCATATAGGGTCCAGTAGGACTGCGGGAACAAAATTTGTAAATAAATATATAAATAGCCATTGTATCTTTATTTGACGTATAAAATATTAAAGTTTTTTAAATATTTATTATTTCACAAAACTATACATTTTTTTGTACACTAAATTGTTCTTTGTTAAATAACCTTTTAAATTTTAATGTCACTTTTTATTTCTAGCTAAAAATGTTGTTCTCAACAAATTGTATTATTCTTTGTTTAATCATTATTGCAATATTCAAAATTATTGCCTACTACAATGATAATAGAACATATTACAAGAAAGCTTCTACTCTTCCTGGACCTAAAACTTTTCCAATCTTAGGCAATGTAAATCTATTTCTTTCTCAACGGATAGGAAGTGAGTATTATATTTTTAATATATATATATTTTTTTAAATATTGTTGGAAATATTTTTTATCTACTTTTATAATATATTGTTTAAAAACCTTTTTTTATATTCACTGATTTAAAACAGAAATTAAATAAACCTTTTTCTCAAGTACATTCTTTAAATTTACAATAGTCAATATCAATTTTTTAAATCATTATCATTAAGTCTATGATAAACGACGCAAACATTTTTATTATAAAAACTATTAAGAGATTATTAAAGGAAATAGGTGCTGTTATCTTTGTTGGAAATCAAGGTACAAAAGTGATTAATTTAGCATAATGCCTAACTAAAACGTCAAATTGTAACCGAAGAAAAATTTTATTAAAAAAAATTTTTATTAAAAAAATTTAGTTAGTAGTTTACTTGGCAGTAAATGGTTATTATATAGTTTTTAACTTAAACTTTAAGTGTCTAGAAATACTTTTATATCAGAGAATGTATTTGAATATCTATATAATACCATGGAATTATTTCTTTATATATTTTTGTAGATATGATATCAGTAATGGGCCAACTGTCATACTCGTATCCATCAATATGTAGACTGTGGTTAGGAAACAAATTAATAGTCAATATTTACGATCCAGAACTTCTTAAAGTAAGAATTTGAAATACAAATTAATATTACCTATTAATATTGTGATCATATTTTATGTTATTTATAATAATTAAAATTTTTTCAAAGATTTTCCTCTATGAAAGTAACGCTTTAGAAAAATCAAGAATCTATAAAGTGTTTGAACCATTGTTAGGCAAAAGTTTATTTACGGCATCGGGTAAGTTTAATTTTATATATATAGTTATAAAGCATAAAAATTGAACATTTTTATTAATTTTCATAGACAAACAACTAACATTTTATAAATACAAAATTTAAACTGCAAATTTAAATAAAATTTTTTTTAAAATTTTAATATGAAGGCGTATTATAAAATCTTATCAAAGTCTACACAGCAAAAAGTAATTCTTATTTTAAGAACAATCTGAAATTAAAGAAGCATGCTTTGCTCTTTAAATTCCGGAAAAAATATGATTTAAAATTAAACAAAGTTTCATTTTTAAAAAATATATATATTAAAATTATTTTAGTTCCTTCGTGGCATGCTCACAGAAAAATAATACTGCCAGCATTTTCAACTAAAAGATTGCACCAGTATATCGAAATTATTAACAAAAACTTAGTAAACTTTATGGATCTTTTATCAAGTAAAGAAAATTGTGAAGAATTCGATATAACTAAGATTTATAAGATTAATTTACTACGTTCTGTTTTAGGTAAGAATAGGAGTTTCTATAAACAAATTATTAATATTAATAAATTCATATTAATAATAATCGAAGACTTTACTGTCTATATACTTAGACATTGAAAAATTTTACGGTAGATGAATTAATAATAATAAAGATAATTTTTCGTCTTTTTTAGAAATATTCATGGATAATCAATTAAATATGTGTGATGATGAAATAACGAAATTCGCTGAATTAACATCAAGGTTCGTGAAATTTTTATTTAAAACTAATTTCGCATATAAACTTAATAGCAAATATAGGTTAAAATTAGTCATAATTACAATAATAGGTAACAATGCAATCAAATAATTTTTTTTCTAGATCGATAAACCTTATGAAGAAAAGAATTTATAATATTTTCTTATTACCAGATTTTCTTTTTAACCTTACACAATTATCGAGAGAAACATATACAAATGCTGCATCAGTAAAAGATATTCTAAATACGGTAATTTAATATATTTTAACCAACAACGATTTTTAACTATTAAATCCTCTGTAAAAAAAATTCGATCGAATTTAAAAAATAAAAATTCGACATCAATTCTGAGCTGATTTTTCTTAGATTGGATTTCATATTTTTAAATGGCTTACTTTCCAAACATATAAATTAATAACAAAATTTACACGGAATTCATGTAGAATTTTTTATAAAATACGATAGAATTAGTTTCACCCGGAGTTGAACTAAAAATATATATTTTTTGTTTTAGATCATTCAAAGGCGAAGAACATTTCTGAAAACTACGGATGACAAAGGTACATGATCATTTTTTTTCATTCTGCTATTGTCCTTAAAGTATGAGCTATTACCGACATTTTAGTCTCTCTTTGATTGTGATGTTGACATTCTTTTGCACCTCGCAGAAATTCTTCTGCTTTGTCTTTGATGCATTCTGACTCTTCATCTTGCTGCTTTGTGGCAGGATAAATCCTATAAACAGTTTTCATTTAGAATTATATAACTTGGAGTCGTTCTTTTTGGAATAATTGTGTCACCACTCATTAATATTCACAGTAAAAAGTAAATCTTATTTTAAGGTCTATCTGAAATTAAACAAGTCTTAAATGTAATGCCAGTCTTCTATATTCAGTATACAACTGATAATTTTTAACATGATTATCTTAAATTCAACACATTCTTTGCTGATAATCAGCATGCTTTGCTCTTCAAATTCATCAAAAAATGTTATTTGAAATTAAACAAAGATTGTCTTAAAAATGTTGCATCTTAAATCAAGGTTTACAAATATTCGCGTAGGGCAAGAATATCGGCAGAGTTCTGTTATTTGAGTTTGGTTCTGTCGACTGTTGTATTGAAGTATATATAAAGACAATCTCATCAGAGTGCACATTTTGGTCGCGTTCCTGATCATGGGATAAATTCTAGAATAGTTCTGAAAAGTATAATAAATCGACAAAATTCATTAGAAGCAAGCAGAAATGAAAAGATACAACTATTAAGAGTTGCAAATATATCGCGGAATTAAGACGTCAAACGATTTTCATGTTAAATAAAAACAATATCATTATACACTGCTTAATCCATTCCAGTAATGGACATTTTTAATGACATTTTTTTATCTTGTTAACAGATGAAAATTGTAATAAAACACTTCTGGATACGTTAATAGAACAATGTGATCATACAAACGCAATCACCGATGAAGAGGTGTTACAGGAAATCACTACAATAATTTTTGGGGTGAAGAAGAAAAATTAATTTGTTTCTTTGCTTTGCTGACTTCCTTAAAATTATTCCTAAACTTAAATTTAATTTTTCAGTCCATTGATACTACTATAGCTACTTTCTCATTTCTTATCCTAGTACTTGTAACACATCCTGAAATACAGGTAATGAAAATGTTTCAAGCTAAACTTAGAAATATTCTCTTGAAGAAGCAATTGAAATTTAAAATATTTTGAATTGTTATTTAATACTCATAACAATTTGTATGTTTTTTTAAATTACATCTATAGACAAGGGTACACGAAGAACTTTATAGGATTTTTGGACATACGGATCCTAATGATTATCCAGCTAATGATAGCGATCTAATTAAAATGGAATATTTATCGAGAGTCATCAAAGAGACATTACGATACTTTCCGACCGTTCCATATTTTTTACGAAATGTTACAAATGATCTTCGTATTAGTTCGTTTCTCTTTTTCTAAAAATTTAAACAAACTTTATTTTTATCATTTTAAAATTGTTATTTCTATGTTTAAATATTAATATCATTTTTAGAAAAATACACTATACCAAAAGGGACAGATGTATTTATCTCAATTGCGCAACTACATAAAAATAAAAAATTTTGGCCTAAACCAAAAAACTTTGATCCTGATAGATTTCTCCCTAATGAAATCGCAAAACGACCTTCATGCTGCTATTTACCTTTTAGTATGGGTTCAAGAAGTTGTATAGGTAAATAAAACAATTTCCAAATAAAACTTAATATATAATGTATAATAATAGTACAATTAACATATAAAAAATGTTTAATTATAATTTCTTCTCTATTTCAAAGGTTTCAGATTTGCCGAAATGTTATTGAAGATTGTTATTTCCTCAATTCTTCGAAAATATGTTTTGTCATGTGATAAAACTATACCGTTACAACATGTAAAATTGGATTACAGGATTTTCGCACATCAAAGGGAACCAATTAAAATAAAAATAAAAAAGATAGAAACCAATTAGTTAAAAGTGATTTTCTAAAGTGGATATGGTTAAGGTACTAGTCACGTAAAATGGTTTTCGTCAGATTTTTTTCAAATTTTGCATACTTATTCCTGAAGTATTTATCTACAGAATGAGACTAATTTAATTAATTTCGACCGCTCCAAAGCTTCAACAAATGAATTCAAAGTTCATAAATTTTACAAAGAGGGAGCACCCAATGTATATGTATTGAATTTGTTTAATAATTATTTATATGATAACTAATCGTTAGATTTTGAAACAAAACTGCAAACCTTTGGCTAGATTTGTACTCGTATTCCTTGTAACTAATATTAAAATTGTTAATCGAATTGTATCTTTTATCATTGTTATGTGTGGCATGAAAATAAAAGATATATTATTATCAACATGGTATAAGACTGCTTGTATTGATTGGGCGAAAATTATCATATTTACATCCTGCGGCATAAATTTGAATTACGTCTTTTCTTAAATGTATGAACATTTTAAGGACTTTCCACTGAAATACTTGCAATCTTTCACTAAATCATTTCTGAAATATTCAGAAAATATTATGTATACTATATGGATCAGTTATTATTTCTAGTTTTCTTGTTAAACGAATAATGAAACATATATTATTGTTAATTTCTCTCCGAAGAACATTTTGATTTGTTCCTACTTGATTTCTATATATTTATATATAAAAATGATATATAAAATTTAGTTTTATAATTTAAACAAGTTGTTCATTTCATGACCATTTAGCTTCCTCAATATATAAAAATTGCGGTTTTGCAAACTTTTGAAAAACTATGTACAAAAGGGTTGGTCCAGAAGATTTGTTATTTGAAAAGGGGGGGGGGGGGTTCTTTAAAAAAAAGACAACTCCGGTTGAATTTGAAAAGGGGAGGTCCTTTGAAAAAAAAGACAACTCCGGTTGTTAGTTATTTAGTACTTTACTAAATTATATTAGTTCCACATTAAATCTGACATTTTGACTTTTCATATTCGTCCCGACATTCTAATTTTGGAAATCTGACTTCAGCTTTGTAATGAGAAATTAAAGAACATTAAAAACCCCTAGACATCAAAACCCCGCTAGACATCCGCCATTTTGAATTTTGAAAATCTGACTTCAGATTCATAATCAGCGACCAAATAAGCGATATTAACAAATTTGTTTTTTGTCCTACCTGCACGAAAAGTATGTCATTTCGGGCACTTAAGGCGGGCGCAAAGTAACACATTACGCCCGGGAGTGGAGGAAGCGCAAAATACTTTTCCGCCCGCTTGTTAATTATTTGATTTTCTTCATTAAAATGCGACATTTTCGACTTTCTTTTTATGTTGACTATAAAACTGCAAACATTTTCAACTTGTTTTATTTTGTCTATAAAAGTTTGCAATTTTTTTTTCTTTAAAATAATAATGAGATATTTGGTTTTGTTTCCATTTCGTTTATCAAAATTGTCAATTTTAAAAGTTCCTGTTTCAGTTTTGTTCAATTATTAATTACTACGTTCTAAATAAATACTATGTTTCCAGAATACATTGTTTTTTATTTCTATTTTAAAACTTCTATCATTAAAGACTTCATTCGATATAATATTTATATAGAGCTTAATTTTTAACTAATATGAGAGTTTAATCGTGCGTGCCCTCAATGCCATATTTTCCATGCAGTTAGGACAAAAAATTATGTTCGCATCATGGGCGCAAAGGTGATTACGACTTTGGCGAAATTTCGGGACCTCGGGGACACTTTCGCTCCCTCGGCTTCGCCTCGGGCGCGAAATTGTGTCCCCTCGGTCCCTTCATTTCGCCATCGTCGCAATCACCTATTTTGCGCCCTTGTTACGAAAATAACTATTATATCTCGGTTGCTGGTTGAAGAAACTTTAAAATAAAACATCAGTCTTGCAACAATTTAAATAGTTTATTGATCGTAACAATATAATTTCCAAGGTATCTGATTTATTGTTTCAATATCATATATTCCAAATATTCACAAAGTCACTCCTCTTATCACAGTCTATGTTCTATTCTAAAAGCATTATTAAAAAGCCTGAAAATGAAAAAAGTTTATACGCAATAAAAAATTATATTTTAGTAACTTATAATTTTTTTAAAATAAAAGTAGATTACTTTAATGGCAAAATCCACTGAAAACTATGAAAAAACAAAAGTTCTCGTTAGTAAAAATGTTCATAAAAAATGAAAAGTTATTTTTACAAAAAAAATATATTGTTTTCAGTTTTAGCAGTAAATAAATTTGATCGTTTCAATATATAAATTCCTACTGGTAAAAAGTGTTTGTACTTTTAGTTAAAATGAGACGTATAATAAAAAATTCATTTTTTTTTTATTTAAAATATTAGTCTACGCAAATTTAGGTTCAGCGTAATTTCAGTCTTTTTCATTTTGAGGCAATTGGAATATTTGTAATTGGAACAATTTTAGGTATACATAAAGACAAATTTTATAATTTGATTTTAAAAAAGAATTTTGTTTTTGAAACTATAGAAATGAATCATTGTGAATTTTAAAAATTTTCCAATTGTCATTCTGACATCTAGCATTCATCAATCGTGAATTTTATTGTAATAAAAAAATCTTTTTTTTATATTAAAAAACATACGAAATTTATAAAGAAATAATTTACCAATTGAAAATTGCAATTTTCATGATTCATTTCAATTATAAATATAGAATTACTTTGCATAGCAAAAATTTCAAACACACTTTTTTATCTTAAGTTAATTCTTGCGTAATAATGTGGTATTGTCGCAAAAATTAACAATGTAGAAAAATAAAATTAAGAGTATTTACAAAATTCTTAATCCGATATGACTTTATCGGTTATATTTTTTTTTACAATTATGTTCAATCGGCGGAGAAAATTCACCAATTCTATTTTGTTTTCAAATTAATTCTTCGATATAAAATACTTTGATCTACAAATTAGTGATTCTCTTTTGAAATTCTATAAGGTTTTAAATAAAATAATAAGTTAAGGTTAATGAGTAATGATAGTCCTTTGCCAAATGAAAAAATTAATAGCTACAATTATAAATGACAGATATATATATATGTATAAACTTTTAGCAAAGATTCTGATTTGTGAAGCGCACTGATTTTTTTTTCAATAAAAAGGAAAAAAAACGTGTGTGTAAAAAATAAATACATTAGTAATTTTATTTACACGAGGAGTGTATGTGCACTAAAATAGCAAAAGCACCGCCTAAGATAAAACGTACAAAATTGTCCCCAACAAGGGGACCAAGAGCGTAAAGGCCTTTTCTTGGAGCCCGATCAACTTCGTAAGTAAAATCATTGGTTTCAATAGGATTCCACTTGCTGTCGATCGGAAGACCTCGAAATTTTCCTAAGCCAACACCATTATTTTCAAGATAAGATAAATCCGGTTTAGCTCCTGTAAAGAAATAATAATTTAAAATTAATTAGAATTAATTTGTATTATTATCATTTGGAGCCATAACCAAAACATCATCGTTTAATTTAGAAGAACATAATCTTTAAACGGTATATGGTACCCTGTATTAAGTCTTCTTTCTTAGTTGGTTTTTTTAAATGAATGTTCTCTCACAAATTTTAGTAGGCTCATTGACTTACCCTCATCGCAAATTAGATTCGTATGAAATTTTGTTGACTTAAAGATTAAAAGATTATACTTGCCAATAAGAATAGCAGCATGCGAAACCCGATAGGAAACTTGTTCACCACCGGGACTACAAAGAGTGACTTTTCTCTCTTTGGATTGGCAATCATCTTTGGAAGTTTGGTTCACGTCTATAAGAGTGAATCCAGGTAGAGCTTTGTAAAGGGGATAATTCGTTCCTCCATCAACCATCATCTCATAAACTTTGTGATATTCTGGATAAATGGAAATAGGAAGCCATTTAAGCCTGTCGTATGTTTGTTTCTCATTATTCCAATCTTTGGATGAATCGCGAAAGGCGTGAAGTACTGGAATTCCGCGAAAGCGTGCTGCCATTATAGCATCAGCTGCACTTAGACCTGCCCCAACTACTAAAATTGGATCCACGGAATGTTTGCTTTTCTTTTGAAATTCACCCATTATCGAGCAGGAATCTGTATAATGAATTATTTTATTTGTACTGCATTCAAGCTATATTTTTAGACCTCCTTAACTAAGTAATACCAATTTTTAGTTTGTTTTACCTTGTGAGTTGACGATTTGATCGAGTCTTGATTCGAGAACATTAAGATCGTGTGTGACCCAGTCATTATGAGTTTTTTCACCAGGAATCCCCAGGCGATTTGACGAGTCAGTTGTTCCAGTAGCTAAAATTACTTTTTTACATTTGTACTTAAAAGTCCGTCCAGTTTGGTTTTCAAAACCGTACACTAACCAGTTATATCCCTTTTCATTATCTTTCTCGTCATCATTTGACCTTACTGATGTTATCGTAGTTCCACTGTAATTACATTAATATTACAATACAATGTCTTCATATAAATCACCTATTGGAGTCTTGACAAAGTCTTTTATACAAACCAACGAAAATATTTTTCTAGGCCCTGTCTGGTAACGTAATCCCTATAATAAGCAGCCACGGTGCCAATTGAAACTCTTTTTGCAGGTTTACAGGCTTTCTCCAAAATCGAACAGGTACAGTTGTTTTGATTTGTTAAATTTGTTCGTTGCTTTTCTGCTGCCACCAACATTTGCCAATGCCTTAAATCTAATCCCGGTAACGACATCCAACGACTGAGACTAATTGTCAACACATTTGGATCTAAGGACTAAAAAGAAAATTATTCTTACTGTAGAAGAATTTAAACTGGAACAAAAATTCAAAAAGTTTTTAATAACCCACATGCCATGCTCCTCCTGGAGGTCCTTTGCCTAAAACAACATGATCAACGATTTTGTGTTCGGGACACATTTTCGGTGACTTCCAAGTAAGGAGGGATGGAAAATCCATACCTGCATCTGTACAAGGATGTTGCAATTGGTCCATGAGCCTTGCAAGGGGTCTACTGCCTCTACCTTCTAAACCCAGAGAAAGATTTTTTAAATTCTCTGGATTATTTTCTACAAGATTTTTCTCCTGTTTTCTGAAGTCAAGGTCATTATCCTCCAAATCACTGTTATCTAATCTACAAGCGGTTTGTGTTCCTACATTGTATTGCAATCGTGCAGTCAGCATGTCATCTCCAGGATGTGGATTTCCATTGTAATAGGGCCAATTTCCAGCAAGCATGTACGACAAACAAATGCCACTTGGTCCATTTCCTAAAAATAACATTGCTTATTAAATATAATTGTTAATACCTGCTAAGGGCAAGATTGGAGTATTTTTGTAACTGGGGATTTTCATTAAGAGATGTTTAAACAATGAGATTATCAAAGGTCGAATTCTAAATTCATTGTAAATAGGAAACTGGTAGAAGTTGAGGAGGAAGAACGTCGAACATCATAAATGTCAGTATTCAACAACCGCGACCAAGTGAACTAGTTGTGTACTGTCATCGAGTTTGTTCTTCGACTCCAGTCCAGAAAATCTCTTGAAGTATCTGCTTAGAGTCTCGTCCTAGTCAAATTCATTCAAGGAGATATAATTTCTACTGCGAGGTACATTTATGTTTTTTCTGAGGACTGCATTACCTCGACATTAACGTCAAATCAATAATTCGGTCACTCCTAGGCTGAGGGGTGTTTTATCTAATTTACATCGACACCTGAACTCCGGACCTTTCACTTCGGCTGGCCCGAAAACAATTTGAGGAAAATCTACTGCATCTGTTTCCGCTAGGAGGTATAACGCTTGTTGGGTCTATGACTCTAAGAATAATTTTGAAAGATAAGTAACTAATACTTTTAAATTTTGTCTCCATTTAAATTCTCGATTAATTCCACAAAGTTCTAATTTAGATTCAGTGTCCCTGAAGACATCTGAATCTACTCTTTATCACTGATTCTAATTGTAAAGGATTCAAATAAAAACTTTAATAATTTAATCTTAATTTAACAGTTACTCTTTCTTAGAACCTGTCCTTCAATATCAGAGTCTTCCGCTCTGTGAATAAATCAGGTTTGAATCACTGATGCCGGACAATTTAAAAATATATAATTTGGGATATGTTTAGTTTCGTTCTGAGACATAACAGTACAAATCCGTTGTGGAAGATCCACAGAAGACGCTATCATTAAATTGAGACATCATATATAACTAACTCAAAATTAAATTAAATCGGGGTAATTAGGGAAGTAAAATGTGATTAGTATGGACGTAACACCATCTTAGATCCGTCAGTAACCCATATTTTGTCTCCAAGTGGAAAACCCTTCTTCCCGTAAGTTCTGAAAGGTACAAAGATCTTATAACGTGGCACTAAGTGAACCATTAAGTGCTGCCATTTATACGTATAGTTAGGTCACCTGCCGCCTAGGAAAAGTTAGGTATATGATTATTTAACCATTCTCTGCTATCAGAATTCAGACATATCCCAATAAAAATTACTCCCTTAATGATCACTAGAGCTAGGGTCAGCCTCTGATTTAGTAAACTATTTCAAAAATAAATTCTATTTTATAAATAACAATTTTCATGAAAAATTGCAAATGTCACATTACAAATTGTGGCAATAGAAAATGATAAAGACACTAAAGAATGATTAATGGATTTTCTCATTTAAAAATTGTCTTTTATTTTGATTTGAATATATTTCTTTAACAATTGAAATGACCTTCAATTCACATCTTTATTAACGAACAGTTTGCATAATTATTACCAGGGCTTGATTATTACGCGGCAACTGATACCATGAAGTAAAGCAATTTTATCTCTCATCGTAAATTGAAATGAGAAAAAGTCAAGTAATATTAATCAATAATTCTAAATACGGAGAAATACAATAATTATTAGTTGTAAATGTATAAGAAAGAACAAATTTTCTTGACATTATCGCTTTTAACTTGGAAACAAAAAACAAGGTCTCTATAATCATTTGAAATATCAACAATTTATTTTTCTATGAAACAATAAACTTTATGTATATATATATTCTTTACCATTATTTATTGACATTACTTAAAATTATATTTTAAATTTTCTAAATTATTGAATTTTATTTTAAAATATACAATAATTCGTAAAGTTTTAAAAAGTATACTATAAAAATGAAATGGAAAAATATAAAAACTACAATAGGAGGATAAAAATTTGTTAACTTAAAATTGATAAATAGAAAAATGGGTCAGTTTTTTAAGCAGTCAGTTTAATTTTTAAATGGAGAAAAAAAACCGGTTATTTTATTATTAAATAAGATTTATATCTTTGATAATAAGTATTATTATAAATAATGACATTACGTACCAATAACTACCACATCTTTGTATACATCATCCAAATTGCTATTCTGTTGCATCCTTAAAAAGATTATTTGTAGTTGGTAACGAGGCACGTTTGAAATTTCTAATTTACGTAGTAAGTCTCCGGCTAAAATCATTAAAAACTTTTTATTACCTTTTGTCTTCTAAAAGAGAAATAAATTATAAATAAGTATTTTTGCAAAGTTTGGAAATTTTTTGAAAAAATGTGCAAAAAACATTTTTAATAATTTAACAAAAATGAATTGCTTAGTGTTGATGACTTGACAATTTTTTCAGTGGTCATTTAATTTTTTCCATTTGCAATCAAATTTAAATAAATTTACATCTCAAACATTATACATTTATCTTTGTCAATTTTTTTTTACTTTTATATTTTTTACAGTACATTTAACTAAAATTTTACAATTTTTTGTAATTTTTCTTTCAAGAATGATAACTACTAAAAAATGAAATATAAATGTTTCTCCTAAACTTATAAAACGGAAATAATGAAACAAGTTTCTACGTTTTAATTTATTTTTAGTAAATTAAATATATAAATAATAACGGACGACATAAGACAAAATTTTGTGATATCAAATGATTAAACAATAGAAGAAATAATTATTTTCAAATCTTAATAGTGAGTTGATTGTAGGCCATAAAAAGGTGATGTAGATATTGCAAAACTTCTAGTGCGATTTATATTTGCTCCCAATACACAATGAAATCGATGTAATTGTATTCAAAGAAAAAAAAATGTTTAAACAATAAATTCACTTTATCGTAGATTCCTAATGACAAAGAACTTTTTATGTTAACATTCTTTTTTATTGATTTTGATCTAAAATTAGAAAATTTTATTTATAAAAATTTATACAAAATATTTTACTTTATAAAATTACTTTAATGATGGAAAGAATATTTTTTCAAATGAAGCAGAATGATATTATGATATAGTTAAAAAACCAAAAAGGCTCTGTGCTTATTCAAGGTCATTAATGGGTCACTAAGGTCATGGTTCGATATATCGACCTTACAATGTGAACAAGGCCATTTTTATTACTCACTCCCCCACTCTTGCGTTTAAAATATAATACACACGCTTTTTTAAAAAATGAAAATAAATTTTCATTTAAAGAAAAAAATTACAAACTTCAAATGACATTGATCGTTCAAGTTCATCATTTGAAAGCTAAATTTGATTTTTAAATCACTTCATTGAAGTCCAGAGAATTCAGAACAACAAACGAATTAAAATTTAAATATTCAAATGAATAATATAAATTAACTATTAAGAAAATGTTAAATAATAAAGCGCATAAAAAAGTAGAAATATAGTTAAATAAATAATTTATTTAAAAAATAAACAAAATTACAATTGATACTTCCTTTTATATAAAAAGTTTTTTGTAAAACTTTTTCTATGTAAAGAATTCGAAAATTATATTTGTTAAATGATAAAATTAAGAAGTTAAAAAGTCACGGTGATTAACTATTTTTAATTCCCACTTCAAATTATATTTAATCAGTGAACCGCTTTTGAGACTTATCCATTGATTGTACTTAAATTAAATATCTCAAGTGGAAATTAAGGAGGCAATAGATATTCTATTGCGGGGCTAAAGTAAATAATAAATATTTTGTTGTATTTCTAGTTGATAATATCTATCCTAAATAATAAATGAGTAGATATGCAAATTAGTTAAAGAAAGAAATTTTTACTATTTACTTTCAATATAGAAAAATAGTTAAATCTGGAAAAAAATCTTAGTCTTTAGATTTAGGGCAGTATGAAGTAAAAATTAATTAAATTAAATTTGCAATTATTTTTTTTCTTACAATGTAGACCTCTACTTTGCCTGACGGGTCATTTATGCTAACTGCTGTAAGCCAAGATCACTGTCCCCATCAGCTGATTCTCAATGTCCATAATCTTCTGTCTATTTGAAGTGCATTATGGGAATCATAAAGCAATGAACGCAAATTTTACCACAATGTCAGAGAATTTTATGGAAATAAATGCCAAACTGGATGACACGCTTTCTAGACTCACAAATATGGTAGGTAGTGTAGACAATTTGACAGGACATATTATTGATTCTAAGTGGTAGACGATACTTGTCTACTCGGAAGAGCACCTAAATCTAAGTACTGCGCCAAGTACCATTGATTACTGGATGTCTTCATTTATGCGGCTTGATGATTTGACTATCTTCTTTTTGCTCATTAGTAGATATAGATTGGAGGTATTGTTGTCTTCCATAGTCACTTGGTTGCTGCTTTAACCTTAGTATAGTAGTTTATGGTTATCTCCTTGGATTGTAGTATCGATATAGCTTTTCAGTAGAATTAACGAGTTCAGTAATAATGCTGATAAATATATCATTATTTTCATCTTCATCTGAGTTGTAGGGTATGGGTTCTAATTTCAAATCAAACTTGGAATGCATTATTTCATATGGAATATTGAGTTTAGTGCGCCTTCAGTGAGCTTAACCCTCTGCTGATGCACTAGGCGTCCAGAATGACGATTTTTAACGATGATGGTCGTTAGCATCAGCAGAGAGTTAAACCTTGCTTGATATCTAGTTATCTTTATGCAGTGTTATCCACTAGAGCTGCTTCGTTTTTCTTGGGGATCAGTCTTGACTTAACTCTGTGCTTGGGGTAGGATTCATAACTAATGACTAGTTGCTTCACATTGCCTCTACAACGTATTCTTTGTATCTTTTAGTTGGACGAGTAGAAGTATTCTTGCGAAGAGTTGGCTTTGATGTTCATCTTCTGAGTAATTTCACTTGAAAATATCAAAATCTTTTTAAACATTTCTAGTTCCTTGCAGATAATGTTGTAATATCAGAAATAATTTTTCTTGTCCGTTTCCTGTATTAACATACTTATAGTTTTAGATTCCACAATCAGTTTTCTCCTTAGAGGCTGAGTATGACTCTTGACTCTTGTTGTTTGTAATACTAGAACATAGGTCTTTATTGTGTAATGCGTTGCTAAGTATCTTGGAAGTTACTGGTTGTCTTGACTAGTTGTAATTCCTACTGATCTTCATTGGTGCAATCTGTAGTACTGTCATAGGCTTTAACACTGGCGTCGATTATTACAGATGAGTGTCTTGCACGAGTGATAATAATCAAGGATTCCTAGCGTTAGCTATAGGAACTTCTCTTCCTAGCTGGGGAAGGACTTTAGCTTGGACCAAGAATAAATTAACCCAGACCTAATTATCGATTAGTAGATCTACTAGACGTTCATGGCGTATGAGTAAACGTCACGAACTAACAACATTTTGATAGATGTGTCACGAATTTTTAAATCGCCGTCAAACCGGAAACAAAGTATATATATGCATTTGAGTCTACAAGAAGTATATACAAGGATTTTCAATTAGCATTAACCAGCAGATTGGGTTCTATTAGATCCTATTTTAACTGCAGTCACATTAAAATAAATACTTATTGCAATCTAAGTTAAAAGATAATAAATACTTATGATGACAATTGGTGATAATTGCATAGGACGTTTGCAATATCGTTCATGACTTAAAATAAATAATTCCCCTAACAATTATATGTTGATTCCTTGGCTTCAGTAATTGGTTATTTTATTAAATTTAAGGAATATTAATATAAATTTTTAGAAATGTTTGTTAGATATGTAGAGTATGAAAATTCTTTATATACATTCTTCTATGACAAAAAAATTAAGTGCAATCGTGATATGTACTTTTCGTTCTAGCAATTTTTTTTTCTCCTAAGTATGAAATTTTTGCATCTATAATAATTGAGTATAATTTGCGCAGTGGAGAATAAAACTGTAAGTGACTGGAGTGCACATTATATGTTTGTGGGAAAATATAGTAATTAGAAATAATAACATGACTGATGTCATGAACAAACCAGAATGAAATTTCGCTTTCGCAAAATCACTATATACTGAATTACACTACATGACAAGCATAAATCTAATATCCTCGCATATTATATACGTACACTGCATACTATGCTAACTGCATTTACAATATAATATTCATACAGTGAGAGGAGGTAATGAAAAATTTTAATTTTATCAATAAAAAGGTTTTTTCCCCTTAAATCTTTAATTATTTAAAATAAATCCTACGCCTCTAATTTAGATTTAAATTTTCAAAATTAATTTTATTCAAATAACTGTATTACTTGAATTTAATTTTTAAAAAAATATGCTAATTAACTTGTGCATTTATGCAAAAAACAGTGAATTTACGCAGTGATCTGAATTCTCTAATGAAAACTGGGGCTAACGTGCTGCGAAAGCAAAGTTGTAGAATAAACTATATAAACGATCGATCGACAGTCTCGTATACACGACACAATATATTTATTTTAAACTTCCCGAGTCTTCTTTTATCTGATTCTAAATTCCCGGGGTGCATAAGTTATAGATAATTAATCGACTACTTAATAATTTTCCGGATATAAGACTAATAACCTATGTGACTCACACATCAAATCAATAAATTTTTAAAGCCAAATGTCAAATATTGGAAAATGTGGGATAGAATTGTGTTATACATACAATTTTTGATAGTAAATTTAGAATAGTTTTTCTTTTATAAAAGTTTTTACAAACGAACCCCGATGCAATAACAAACTTCATTATAGGTATGTATAACAAAAGTTTTTCCGCACATTTTATAGGAATAATATAATTAAATTTTCCTTAAAATAGAGAATAGTTTCTAACATAAAAATAATAAGAGAAAGAAATATACTAAAATAAAAGTGGAATTAATTTCTTGCAATTATTCAAAACTATTTTCTTTTATTATCAGAAAATTCTTTGCAGACAATACAGTATAACTACTACCGAGAATTGTAAACGTTAATTATTTTATAAACTGTATGGTTTCTATCTTCTATTAATTCTAAGCAATATTAAAGAATGATTTTTTTTCAAAATATTTTTAAACACAAAAAATATTTATATAAAAAAATTGTTTTTTGATACTTATAAAATGTAGGTACGTACAAATATTTATAATAAAAATTTATATTTCCACTAGAAATATATTCTTTTTATCTTTATAAGAATAGATATAGGGTATGGAAAATTTTTTATCTATACATAGTGATTTATCATTTGTTATCTATATATATACAAATATATATGCAAAATATGCTATAGAAAATTTTTTCCTTCCTGTTGGTGCGATATGAAAATAAAATTTTTCGAAAATGAAAATTCATTTTTTGACGAGTATAATTTTGATCTGATTTTTGTAAAATTTTTATAAAAGTAAGAAAAAAAATTGTTCGCAATTTTTAAAAATGACTTTAATTAATAAACTTTTCAATGAGTATATTTTGAGGGTAATTTAAAGCTGGAGAAGCAACCCCCCACCATGCGTTACTTTGCTTGCCTTTCACTCCCCCCTCTCCTTTTTTACCGCACAAGCCAAGTGACGCGCATGGTGGGGGGCCGCTTCTCCTAGTCTCGCTAGCGACTCATTCATAGACACGTTTTGTAAGTAAATATTATATTATTTTATGAGTAAAATAAATATAATTTATTAATCAGAAACTAATGAATTATACGCGAAATTAAATTATTAATTAAAATAATAAAAATACAACCTTTCCTCTATTATGAGAAAGCAAAAATAATACAAAAATGAATGTAAAATAAAATAAAAGGTGAATATAAAATAGGTGATATAAAAAAAATAATGAATTTTATTAATAATTAATTAATTCAATTAAAATATTAAATGAAGAAAAAAATTTTTTTTTTCTTCAAGTGTTAAAAAGTGGCACCTAAAATAATTCTAAGGAAGAAAATTTTCCGATTATTTCTTTTTGTAAAAGTATTTTCAAACTTATAACAGTCTGTCAGTGTGTAATTAAATAATTCTATATACTTTTCGAAAGGAGGAAACATTTTTCAGTTTTTATGATTAAAAATGACTTAAATAGGATTTTCGAACATTTAGAAAGATAACATGTTTTTAAATGATTTATGTAACATTTGCCATGTTAACATCAGTGTCTTTTTATGTCCTTATGTTGAACATAACATAATAAGAATACAATGAAATCTATTGTATTTTTATGTTATGTTCAACATAAGGACATACAAAGAACCTATTATGGATAGGGTGATATGGAAGAGTTCTACTGAATTTTAATTTATTAATGTGAAATATAAAAAATGAGTCTGTGATTTTAAAAGTTGTGAAATTAATTTTTTATACGAGCAAGGGTATCGAAATTTTAAGAAAATATTAATTATTTAAATTAATGAATTTAAAAGTAAATTATTATAATAAATTAAATAAAAATATAGTCATAAGAATATTAATTAAGTTTGAGTAGAAGAGTAAATAAAGATTTAAAAATTAAGCAACTGCGTGAATCATAAATTCAGAACTAATAATAATTTCGAATTTATCATAATTATTTAAATTTCGAATACTGCAATAATTTTAATTATATTGCAATTTTGATTATTGTAATTTTAGTTACTCCAAGTTTGATTATTCTAATTTTAACTGTTGCAATTTCGATTTTTGACATTTTTAAATAGGAAACATGCAATAAAAATTCGTAAGATGACAATTATTCATTAACTTAAAAAATCGAATAGCAATTGCAAAATAGAAAATCTGGAAAGATTATGTAATATATAAAAATAATTTCTAGAAATTTCTAAGAAAGCTCCATAGGAAAAATTTATGCTGGAAATTTATATAATTTTGCGCATTTAAGCCCTTTAAGTACATCATGTAACAAAAATATATTAAAATTTTTAAATGTTTCCAATAAAATATAAAAATATAAGGTATAGAAATTTTTTTTCTTATACTCTACTGAAAAAATTGTATGCATCTTAAATAGTCAATTTATGTGAAGATTTAATGCAAAATTAAAGGTAAGAAAAAGCCATACGGCACTGTGGCAGACGTACATACCCAAAAGGTTAGCATTCAGGTGAGCTAATCGAAAAGGGATTTTCTTTCTCTCTCTCTTTCTATATTGAACTGTTTTATTTATTGATGACAGTAAAAGAATCAAAGATGAAACAATTTCTTAAAATTATTAATTCCCTTTATTTTTAATGCATTAAATTTTAATCACGTTTTTCAGAAATGAATCTATAACAATTCACTGTGAATTTTTCTCTTTTATAAAAGCAAACTTAACTCCAAAAATTTCATGTAGAGTCCGCTCGCTATGACGGTTGCCGGCGTACTGCACGTACTAACACAATTCGATACAAGCGTGTTCATACACCCTTATCTCTCTATATACTCTGTATACATTACAATTCCTAAAAATGACTATTTTTATCGTTCATTCAGCATATTCTTAGATTGTACGTCAGCAATCGCGACTTATATATATATGTATCAGATTTACTACATTTTATATGTACACTAAAAAAATACGCAATTTTATGTAACACATTACATTTGACAAGATATCTGATAAATTTGAATATCAAAACATTCAAATTTATAAACATAAAAAATTATATATTTTTGATATTTATAAATTTGAATAGTTTATCACTTATTAATTTGAACATAAAATGTCATTTCCCAGAAGTTGGACTTTAAAAAACATTTATAAAATTTTAACTGATATATACATTAGAGATATATGTGGAAAAATCATAAAAAATGTTTTCCTTTAGAAAACCAAATCGTAATATTTTCGTAGATGACGAATTTTTAATACACAGTAACAATTAAGATAAGGTAAGATTTTTAATTTATTTTGTAAATAACATCCTTTTTTTTCTTTATACAATCTTCCTCAATTTTTTTGATATCTTACGTGGTGAATATATTTTTGTCTTAAAAGTAGTGCGGAAAGATTTTTCAATTTTATGAAATTATGTTGTAACAAAAAAATGTTTTTCTGTAGATCAATATGTCACATATTGATTGTAAAAGTGTGAATTTAAATAAATTTAAAATAAAAATTTACTTTTTCATTTTTATGAAGAAGCCCATAAGTGTCACATATAATATTCCTGTAATGTTTCTGTAATATTACATGTAATATTATATCTAGTAATTAATATATCCAACACAGCAGCGAAAGTTTCTTGACAGTTGAAATTAACTTTACTGTAACATTCAGAATTTTTAATTGCGTTTAGTTCCTGTTTAGTATCCCTGACTAAACTGACAGTCGTTCCTACTATAGTGTAGTAGATGCGACTGTTAAATTTGTCCGTCGAAAATTAACAAGACTGTTTAGTTATCAGAACTGAACCGTGAACCGATAGTCGCCTTCACTATTCTCTTCTCTCCGTGTATATAATTATATCAGGAATAATACATTAATGTTTAGATAAGTTTAAATTATTTTTTCTAATTTATGTAAATTTTAGTATATTTTTTTGTAACATTACTGTAACATTACTTAAATATTACTGTTATATTATTTCAGCATTTACTACTGCAATACTACTAGAACATTACAACAATAAAAGAAAATTAAATTAAAAATATTAATTATAACACCATAACATAACATGATAAAATTATATTACTGTAATATTATAATATTAATGTTTCATTATTGTAACATTGCCTGTAACGTTAAAGTAACATTATTATGTAATATTACTGTAATAATATTTTGTAACATTACCTTAGGGCCAATATTTTAATATATTAGATTAAGGTTAATATAATATTAGATTGCATATTCCCAAATAGCACATAGCATTTGAGTTCAATGTTGTGTCAATATTTCATAACAATATTGCAGGGCAATGTTAAGGCAACATTTCCTGGAAATGTTATAATATATAAAAATATAATAATGATAATATTAAAGTAATACTACTGTAAGATTACACTAACATTACGTGCAACTTGCAAAAAAATAGAATTAAAGAATATAAATAAAAAATATAAACATAATACGAATAAAATCTATTTACCTGCGAAGAATAAAATATTTTGGAAATACTTGTCATTTTTGGGAAACTTGTGTAGGAGTTTCCGGCATTCTTCAACTATTTCAAGGTCGAACATCTGACCAACCTGCTTGTCAGAACAGGTAAAATAGTTTACTTTAGATTCTTTAGAATTTTTGAAAGGCTACTCTAATGGAAGTCGCAGGTATTTTAATTCTGTGGATTGGGTCCTGGCCTAACTTCAACAGATGTTATAAGGTTGTCTATATTGTTCAAATTGCCTCCAAATCACTGTTTGGCTTTTTATGAGATTCTCCCCCCCCCTCTTATATTAATATAACAATTGGTGATCTCAGATAACTAAAAAGCCTGCTAAAAAGTGAAAGGCATTTATGATATTTATCCAAAAGTAAAAAAATTTGACATTGAAGTTTTTACAAATGAAAAGCAAATTTATAGCTTATAAATAAATAAGTAAATAAATATAATAATAAATAAATAATAAATGAATATAATAAAAAAATTTAAGAGCTACCATAAGTGTTAGATATTACAGAATGATTTATTAAATCATTATGAAAACTTAGAGATAGAAATTCATTAAATGAAAATAAAATAATGTTTATATGTACATTATTTTCTTATAAAAAAAATAATTCAGTGTACGAGATGGCCGAGTGGTTACATTAATGAATTTGCAATAAGAACAGTGGTGTTCGATACTTCATGGTTACGAATTTTTTCCCATCATAATTTCCATTGTACGTACTATTTACATATTTACATATGTTAATTTATGCAAAATAATCAATAGAATTAGTGAATTAATAGATCTGAAAATTGAAAAATCACAATTTTGGTAATGGTAAAATTTGAAATCGAAGGACAGAAAATTTTTTCTTAAGAGTATATCTCAATGGCCAGACGATTTTTATACAGATCTTCAAAGGAAAAAAGTGAAAAATTATATTTTTAATAGTATAGTTTAAATACTTTATATTATATATTAAAAAACATAATTATATAAAAAAAAATTTAGTTTTTTTTCAAATTGAAAAAATTATTAAAAAAATAATACAACTTTTACGCTATTTATTTACTGTATGTCCTATATCTACAGCCCTGAATGCAATCTCGGCAAACTGAAAAAGGGATCGGTGTGCGGTGTGGATCCCATGGTGTGTACTTCGCGCGGTCCCCTGAGGGGCCTTTGGTGGTGGGGCTCCACACAATAACTCTCTCGCATACTTTCAAGGATTCTCTTTTAAAAATCCCAGCAGCCAATGCTGAAAATTCTAACCGGCATAAGGGGCCAATCGGGGCCCACGTTGGAAATCGCGAGCCGGTTCTCGAGCATATCGTTTTTGTCCTCACGTTTAGTTGCTCTTGCTCACTCGATCCTTACTGAATATCGTATGGTTTTATGTATACACATGTATTTATATATTGACCAAACAAAATTTTCTTAAAATTTGCTCGCTATTCGTTATTACTTCCTAAAAATGCCGGTAGTGCAATAAATTCATCTGTTATTAATCTAATCGCGAAATTCTTATCATTTTATTACTATTTACAATGTTTGTTATCAAAGAAATTTTTCTTTACCTTCTTTTATCAGAGTGACTCAATTATATCACAAAAAATATATAAGACGCTATCAGTATCTTATGAAAAATTGACGCCATGACACGGATGCATTTATTGAGTTTTTAAAGTCATTCTCGAGAAATCCAATATTTGATTGGAATACAAAAAAAAATTTTAAATAGTATTAATTAAATACCCCTTTTCATTTCATTAACCGTATATGAAGAAGGAAAATTTTGCAGTTTAATGCTTTTTAATTGATGCGCGATAAAAGTTTTTATTGAGTCATCAAAAAATTGTGATGTTTTAAAAATTATTCTAGTGATTTTGACGATTCACCGCATTGGGAAAATAATAACAGTGATGACATAAATAATGAGGTGATTGCTTGGATTTTTTTGTCAACTACAGTAGTGCTTCTTTCATATTTTAAATATTCTTCAAAATCAAAATACATTTCAGTTAAACTTTAAAAATGCAATATTTGAATTTAGTGACAAAACTTTTAATATTTAAATTAAAATTATAAAAATGGTTATTAACAACTGTAATAGTAATTAATGTAGTAATTAATTATAAAATTATAGTAATTAACAATAGTTAGTACTAGTAGTTACTAATATCAATTACAATTAATAATAGTTTTTATTTTATTTTCAAATAGTTCGCAATGTTTCGTTTCTAAAAGCATATTTGACAAATGTTCAGCGGGTATATATGCTTAATCTGTGTAAAATCATATAGACTTCCGGTATTTTAAAATTAAGTTGTTCCAAAAATAAATCTCCCTTCAAAAAGTCTATTCATCGTTTGATACCAGTTTATGAAATAATGGCACAAAATAATAATGAAGAAAAAATACAAATTCTTCTTTTTTTTTGTATATCTTTTAATGTGGTCACACACGTGGTCTTAAGATATTATTTCTCTTTTTTTGAAACTTAATCTGAGGTCGATATACATATAGAAACCGCATATTTGTTTTCTCCCACCGAATTCTTATATTGAAACGCAAATACATAACTTTAATAATTTTACAGTGAATTTTATCACGAATTTTAGTCACCAAATTAATTTATTTCAATTATTCTAATTATTAATTAAATAACTTGTATAATCAAAATGTAATTAACAGTTGACGAAATAAATTTTCACATAAAATAGGGATTAATTAGAAAAATATAAAGTTGAAAATTAATGTTACATTTTGTCGAAAATTCGAAAGCATCGACGTTTTAGTAATACTCGGCATAAAGCTTTTCGTTTAATATATTTGCAGAAAAAGGATATATTGTGGAAAACCCTCTTGAAAGTATGAAGAGTGGAAAGGGCCATTAGGATTAGTTGAAAATACAGTGTTTTCTGCAGCGGAATGTGCTTCGAAGTACATGGATCGATGAACTCTCTTGGGATCGCGTTGAATGACCCGGATTGACGTAGGAAGGACAGTTTTATCAAAAATAGAAAGTTGATGAACCAGCACCAAAGACAAGGTGCGAATCCATGACCCAGGTGCAAGAAGAGAGGACCTCGAAAAAATTAGCAAAAAAAGCGCCAAATCTAGACGTCGATGAAAAAAATACAGTTAGCAGAACTTAATCTAGAGAGATAGGTATTCTAAGCGAAAGAGAAATTGTCACCAAACAAGAAATTCAGAAAGGGAAAAATCATGAAAGCTTGAATGAAGAAGAATTTCCAAAGAAGGTAGAAACATTAAAAGGAAAAAAAAGCAGAAGATCAAGTTGTGAGAGATCGACTGGCGTTATGTAAATTCATCCGCCTGCATCTCTTCTCAGTGTGAAGGGCCGGAAAGGAAAGATCTTACCGACTGACCCAGAATTATTCCAACGTTGACCCCAAGTGTGCGGTGGTTTTTCTGAAATGGGACACGGCACAGCCCGAAGCTAAATTAGCCGTGATGTCCAATAAGAGTAAAAGCCAGCCGCAACAGCATCAGCAACACGTGATCAAGCCAGTTGATCAGGTGCCACCGCGTTATCAACCGCCTCCACAACCAAGTTCCGGAATTCTCAAAAATCACCTGCAGCACTTTGTCCCAAGCGCTGCAGTTTCCGCTCCCTCAAGTTCTACTGTTAATCTCAATCATCAGCAACAACAACATCAACAACTACTACATAGAACCAACCTACCCAAAGATGTGCCGAATAAATTCATCCCAAAGGTAGAGCATCAACAACAAACCGGAAACAAGCTACCACAAGGTCAATTTCTTCCATCGAAGATCCTTGGACAAGGTCAATTGTTGTCTACAAATAGTCAGTATCCCGTGAATCCACCTACTACTAGGCAAAGAATCAGCGACGAGGAGTTCCTTAGACTGGGACCCCTGGAGATGCTCAAGTTCGTTAGGAAATCTGAAGGTGACATTACGCGAGTTGCCGCTGAACAAAATCGTCAAATACAAACACTGGTGAGATTCCCTCTAATGATAATACAACTTCCCTTTCCGTAAGCCGTGGGATCTCTCAAAGCTGGGAAGTTATAAATATACAATCTGTATGAGGTTCAAGAAACTTTTAATTAGCCTTTACTTTACCTTACATGCTTCCAAGAAGCCAATTGGGTTTTTCTAAGAATCTTTTTGAACTTAAATTAAAATAATTAATGTTCTGGGAATTTAAAACTTTTTCAATTCGATACGACTAAAATAATTACAGTACGTCTAATCAAGAATTTTCAATTTCGTTGCCTTTTTTGTATTGTACTTTATTCTTATGTATTTATTTCTATCAATAAATACAGTTAGAAATGATTGAATAACGTACAATTTTTTCTATTTTCAGCTCGCTGAACTTCGAACACTTAAGGAAGCGAACCAAAGACTGAGTGACGATAATCAAGAACTTCGGGACCTTTGCTGTTTTTTGGATGATGATCGACAGAAGGGTCGAAAATTGGCACGCGAATGGCAAAGATTTGGACGCTATACGGCCAGTGTTATGCGTCAAGAGGTTTCTGCTTATCAGAATAAATTGAGACAATTGGACAATAAACAACAGGAGTTGATCAAGGATAATTTGGAATTAAAGGAACTTTGTTTGTATCTCGACGAAGAAAGGGGAGGAGGTCAAAGAGATGATGGTGACGGATCAAGTTCTAGTACGAATGCCGAAGAAACAGCATTGCCACGAACGAGACATACGTCTGTTTTTAATGGTATAATTGAGTAATTTTCTAACACATAATAACCTAACGTGTCTACCATAGAAAAACTTCATAGTTAATTACACATTAACTACTTATTTTTTGGAAACTAATAATCCTAATTAAGAAAAAAATTTAATGAGACTTATAATAACCCTACCGAGATAGACTAGATAATTATCTACTAATCACTAAAAAAAATGCAATGTAATCGAAGTGATTTAATCTGTTGTGATAAAAAGAAAATTTTTTATCATACCTTATTAATGTCCAAAACTCTAGTTTGTATAAGTTTTAACCACGAACTTGAAAATATTAAGATTTGGTTTTCTAAAACTCCATTTTATCCCGGAGAGGGATTTTTTTTCTGCTGCATCGATAACAAAAAAGAATTTAAATGTTATTTGTGTTGCCTTCTTTGGAAAATTACAGACCTAATTTTATTCAGAGATTTTAATAGCAGATTAAAAAGATATTTATTTATTAATCTAAGTTGCTTACAAAAGAAAATCTTTGCTTTACCTTTGTTGTTGCGAAAAACTCTTTATAGAAGTTTTAACCACGAACTTGAAAATATTACGATTTGGTTTTCCAACACTCCATTTTATCCTGGAGAGGATTTTTTTCTTCTGCTACATCTGTAACAGAAAAGAATATTAATAATTCTGCTTTGCCTTCTTTGGAAAATTTTTCAGAACTAAGAAAATCTTTGCTTTACCTTTGTTGTTGCGAAAAACTCTTTATAGAAGTTTTAAACACGAACTTGAAAATATTACGATTTGGTTTTCCAACACTCCATTTTATCCTGGAGAGGGATTTTTCTTCTGCTGCATCTGTAACAAAAAAGAATATTAATAATTCTGCTTTGCCTTCTTTGGAAAATTTTTCAGAACTAAGAAAATCTTTGCTTTACCTTTGTTGTTGCGAAAAACTCTTTATAGAAGTTTTAAACACGAACTTGAAAATATTACGATTTGGTTTTCCAACACTCCATTTTATCCTGGAGAGGGATTTTTCTTCTGCTGCATCTGTAACAAAAAAGAATATTAATATTTCTGCATTGCTATCTTTAGAAAAGTACGAAACAAGTTTTTTAAGATATTCCAATGACAAATTAAAAATTTATTTATTTATCTAATCTGCTTACATAAGAAGTGAATGTTTATCTTATCTTTGTTGATGCCCAAAACTATTATTTGTAGAAGTTTTATCTACAAACTTAAAAAAATTACGAATTTTTTCAATCACTTCCACTTTACCCTGGAGAGGGGTTTCCTTTGTTTTGACAACTTTGGAAAATTACGAAACATTTTTTTTTTAAATATTTCAATGACAGATTAAAAAATTATTTATTAATCTATTTTGCTTACATAGAAAAAATATTCTTACCTTATCTTCGGTGGCGCCCAAAAATCTTGTTAGTAGAAATTTTATTCGCGAACTTGAAATGATTACGATTTGGTTCTCCGACACTTCATTTTACCCTGAAGAGGGATTGTCTTCTGCTGCATCTGTAACAAAAAAATGTTAATGATATTTCTCTTCTGCCATCTTTGGAAAATTACAAAATTAGTTATTTTTTGAGAGATTTTAGATAGATTAAAAATTCTATTACTTTTACTCTTACGAATTGTACTCGACAATTAGAAATCATTTGGAAAACTGGGCAGTATAAGACAAATAAAAGTTATGATTTCTTTTTTTAGATCAAACAATGCAGTATTTAAGAAGTTTGGAGCAACGAGTAAAACAATTGGAAGAAGATAAAAGTATTCTTCAAGCTCGAGCCCAAGGATGGGAGGTTGGTCCAGGTGAAGTTTGGGAGAATTCAAATAGTCCAGGTGGGAATCCCTACTTGGGCAGCCGGCCGGAAGCTGTAGTTCGTGCTCTTCAGGTTCTTGAAGTGAGAGAGCAACTTGAAAGAGAAGAGGGACACGATGGAGAAAAGGCATTAGTTCGTGAAATGTGTAATGTATGTAAATTACATGAATAAGAAGGACGATTTTGATTTTTTGGCTTATAGGATAATTAACACTTATTAACCTTTTTTGCAGGTTGTTTGGCGAAAATTGGAGGAAGGTCCTCAAACGAGGCACTAGCAAAAATCCCAGGCTCTAAACAAAAATGAGAGCCATCGGAATTTATAGACATAATTTAGAAATTTTCCCTCCCAAATGCCGTTTATTGCCTGTCAAATAAGGACAGTTACTCTTGCCGTTTTATAGTATTATAAACCTGAATTAATATTTTTTAAGTAAATGAAAGTTTTATTTAAGTCTTTTTATAAAAGAAATTATTGAGAGATTTTTATACGTTTTTACTACGTAAAAACAATATTAACGTTTCCTTAGGAAGATAAAATATTTTTTTTATATGTATAAAGCTTTTTAAGCATTGTTGTTAAATGTAAAAACCGATCGTTATAAAACTATATATTTTTTATTAAATATTGTTTAATTTTTTCAAACTTTCTTCAAAATATTTTTTCCCCACGCATTAAATATTTCTAATAAGAAAAAATTTATTTCAAATTTCTATTTTTGTTTAAAAAGGGGAAATAACAAATTTTTGCTTTTTGGATGTTTAATTTGGCTGGTTAAAGAAGATCTTTTTTAAGATTTTTGATGAAAAGATCGAGTATGTTTTTTGGGAGATAATCCAAGGAAAGGACGAGAAATGAAAATGTGTATTCATTCAAGACTTTCGTGATTTTACTCATGACCTGGGCTTGTTTATTAATTATTCTCAATGTTTACACTGTGAGTCTTTATAAACATCTATCAAAGTTTTTTTCTCTCACCCTCTAAATTTCAACTGTCGTCCCTCTTCATTCTTTGTCCTCGATTGGTGCATTTCTGTCCTTATCTATATGAACCCTTTTTTCAACCCTCTTTCTCGCTCGTTTTTTTAGGAATGTGAAGACGCATATTGAATACGCAACACTACATATATAGAAGAGAGATGTCTATTTTTAAAAGCTCAAAAGATTTTCTCCTTTCAATGCTCTAGTCGAAATTGCCCCAGATATTTTTTTGCAACTTTCAATGAATCTTGACGAACTTTCTTTGATTACTCGATTAAGTAATTTACTTTTTTTATTTAAACAACTTTTTCACTAAAATCTCCCTTCAATGAATGACTATTTTTAAATGTTTAACGTCTTCTATCGTTTTTAATTTCAAGTTAATGCATTTTTCTAACCTCGAAATAGTAAATTCATAATAATGAAACTTGGGATTTTAGAAATAACAATAATAGTTTTAAGAATTAATAGACACAAACATTTTAATTATATTACTTTAAAGATATACCTGTAATAAGAAGGAAATACGTGTTTTATTATAAATATTATTTTATTCTTAATAATAAAAGTCTTGAACGTCTTGAATATTCACAAAAAGATACAGTGATTTACAGGGTCAGGTAGTTGCGATATGTGATATGCACGGTTGGGAAATTCGTCAAATTATGAAGAAAAACACAGAACCACTGGAGGGGGAGTTTTTTTGGTGCAACTTTGCAGCAAGATTGCAGCAAGCTTGCTGTGCAAACTTTCCACAAACTTGCTGTGCAAACTTGCTGCAAGCTTGCAGTGCAAGTTTGCAGCAGTCCAGACATTTCAAGCTTGCTGCAAACTTGCAGAAAGCTTGCACTGAAATTATCTGGGAAGTTTTAACCACGAACTTAAAAATATTACGATTTGGTTTTCTAAAACTCCATTTTATCCTGGAGAGGGATTTTCTTCTGCTGCATCTGTAATAAAAAAGAATAATATTTTGAGGCTAACAGAAATGTTTGCTTTCGTCTAGTAAATTTACAATAACTTATTAAAATTTGATTTCAGTTTTTTTTCTACGTGCATGCGCAGAATTTTCAAATTCGTCTATTGAGCATTCTCCCAAATGAAACTTCCCGCCTACTTTGAATATTAAAAATAACATTTAATGAAAATTTGTAAAAGAAAATTATAATTTCTGAAGTTTCTCTTCATCTTTGAAATATAGAATAAAATAAAATTTGAGTTTTTAAAAGAAGATTAATTCTATCTTTAAATCTCATTAGAAAGAAATTTATTTTAAAAAGTTTAATTAATAATTTCTTAATTTGAAAAGTCGGGACATGATGACGGCACGTGTTGGTCCATAATTACAGTCATAAGCTCTGCGAGAATCTTAAAGATATAATCTCAAAGTGAAAAGGTCGTATGTGTTCGGTGAAAGTGGAAATTTAAGTCACTCACGTTAGAAGCTTGCGCGAGTTCGGACTGAAAAGCGGAAACCCTGGCTCGTAGTGGGGACAGAATCCGCAAGTTTCATGTATTAGAGAGATGCAATCCGTCGGGGATGTGCATCTGCGGAAATATCGCGGAAGACAATGCCAGATTTATTCTTCTTGCTTTTGTTCTTGCCGTTTATATGCTCGCTGGAGCTGCCTTGTTCCAAACATTAGAAGCTGATCTTGAAATTCGTCAGGTATTACGAATTTCTTTAAAAATAATAATCTTTTCATCAAAATTACATCAGTGTGTTAAATTAATAAAAGTGTTTTTCTTATAAGTATAAAATTACTATTTAAATTATTTCCTATTTTAATTGAAACAATCGTTTTATTTAAACTTTCGTTCTAAATTATAAACGATTATTTTAATTTCAAAATTTAAAACTGTTTTGCTTTTTAAGCCATAAAATTACTTTAAGAAATGTAAAAAACATTGAATTAACTTTCAGATTAAAAGCTTTTTGATTAGGTCCAAATTAATATTTTTTTAAAAAAGTTCTTTTTAAATACATATAAACATAAATGTTTAATAAAATTAATTTGTCAGGCCTCTGAATTTTGGAGAATATATAACGCCTTTAAAAAATATCACTTGAGAAATAGTCCTCATGCAATTCAACGTTTACATGAGTTGCTTTATGCTTATGGAAATGCATCGGCAATTGGTATCATCAATAAAAGACGACGTTGGGATTTTTCTGGTAGTTTTCACTTCGTTGGAACCATTGTTTCCACAATAGGTAAGAATATTTCTTTACTTTATTAAAATTTTTAATTGAAAATTTCTTTTTGATCATTTGGATGCAATAACTATTTTTACGTTACTTTTTGGAATAATCCAAAAATGGTGAATCCCATATTTCGAGGAATGTACACCAACTTGTCTTTACATATTTTATTATAATTGTTATTCATTAATTAAAATAAATTCACAATGTTAGAAAGCAATAAAAATTAAAATCCGTAAAATTCTCTGTTAATAACGCGATATATGGTTGTATGTCAAAATTTTGATTTTTCTATTATAATTTATTAAAATATTTTTTGGTTCTTTTTCGTGGAAAAAATTTAGAGTTAAAAAAGAACCTGATTAACCATTTTTATTTTTATTAACATGTTTATGAAAAATTGAAATACTTGTAGTAAGTTCAAGGGGGTTATAAACCCCTATAAATGAAAGAATGCTATTTTAAACGAGGGTGAGAATGCTAATATCTCTTCAGCGACCTAGTCCCGCTCGGCATGCGAAATAACATTTTCACAATGATTTTCACATCTTGAAATAGTACAATCGTAGAGACGACCTAATTTTACATAACTTTTTTTTTACATCAGTCCAATTCTAGAAATACTCATTTTAATTCTTTAAACCTTGAATTTAAAATATTCTTTGAAAGCAATCAAAAAAATTATAATTGAAATTTTCTTTTAAATTAGAAAGTAACTGTCCTGTAATAAGTCTAAAGAAATATTAATATTGAAATCAAAGTAAAAAATGTTGAAATTAAAAAAACAAATTTTTAAATAATTTTTATATCTGTAGGTTATGGAAGTACTGCTCCTCAAACCACTGCTGGAAGAGCTGCAGTAGTTCTTTATGGATTTTTTGGATGTTCAGGTAATTTAAATGAACTTCTAATTCATCTGACCAGAAATGACGCAAGCAAAATCGACATTTTCAGTTGCCACATTTTTTTTGTCATCTTCCCTCTTTTTTTTTGTTTTGTAAACGTAAATTACTTTTTCTGTTCTAAATATAAATATAGTTTTCTTGAAAAAAAATTGTTCTTCTATTTTTTAAATTCATTTTTGTACAAATTAAAATAATATAATATCTAGAATAAAAGAAAATTTTGTTAAAAATATTGAACTTACGCTTTACAATTCATACAAAATTTAAAATATAGTAAAATATAGATGCAAACAAATAATAAAAGAATCATAGGATTAAATAAACGATAAAATTTTAAAAATAATTAATATCATGTTAGAGTAGATTATTTTAAATTTTGACAACAATGCTTACAATGAGTGGACTGCAGGAATTGTTGGAATATTAAGAAATATATTTTACGCGAGATAAATCCATTATTAAGTTGATAACCTTATATATACAAGGCAGCATATAAGATATGTTATAATAGCGAAAGAAAAGATAATGAGAATTACCATAAGAATTGTTATGTAATGATAAGGTTCAAAGTTTGACAATAATAATATTTATTTTAAAATTCAAGCGTGTTTCTATTGCATTAGTATTTGTTTCATATTTTTATAGACCCTAATACCGAGATACACTAGATACTTATCTAGTAATCATTAAAAAATGCAATATAATCGAAGTGATTTAATCTGCTTAGATAAAAAGAAAATTTCCAACATACCTTTGTTGATGCCAAAAATTCTTTATAGGAGTTTTAAACATGAACTTGAAAGTATTACGATTTGGTTTTCCCACACTCCACTTTATCCTGGAGAGGAATTTTGTTCTTTTCTGCATCTATAACAAAAAAGAATTTAAATTATATTTCTATGTTGCCTTCTTTGGAAAATTACAGACCTAATTCTAGACATGAGATAACTGTTAAAACGATAGACAAATAACATTAAATTTGGACAAATGACAACAATGCATAAACGAAGAATGCTTCGAAGATTTTTTTGCGTCCAAAAGACATTTTTAGAATATAAAAAGTTTTTGAGACTCAAAATATATTCTAAAAACGTTTTATAAAATCCATGTCCATTCCCACTGACAAGTATAACGTATATCTATTAAAGAATAAATTTTTGAATGCAGGTGGAATTTTATTCTTTAATCTGTTCCTGGAGCGAATAATTACCTTCTTAGCCTGGATTTTGCGAAGTCTTCATTTGCGACGTTTAAGAAATCGTTTACGACAGACAACTCTTGCCTCAAGACGAAGTATAAGAGGTGGATCAAGTAGAGATGGAAATAAGGGCTCTCTGCCGGATATTCTTGATGACGAGGAAGATGTTGGTTTGGAGCATTGGAAACCAAGTGTTTATTGGGTGATGCTCTATCTTTCATTGGCCTCGTGTGTAATTGCTTGTAGTGCAGCTGCTCTTTATGCTCCATTGGAAGGCTGGACTTACTTCGATGCTATTTACTTCTGCTTTGTCAGTTTTGCAACAATTGGCTTTGGAGATTTTGTCAGCACTCAGCAGACCACTTATCCATATCTCCACCTGTACGTTCAAAACACGAAACTACAGAATGGCACGTAGCGTTCCACTATTAGAGAATTAGAAAACACTCACTTTAAGAAAGTCCTCTGCATCATGATTTTTGTAGTTTGCAATTTTTTTTTTAATCAAAAAGCTTAATATAATAGTCAGCTAGAGTCCTCCCTTCTTTCTTTCTCTCTATAAAGATGCATGCACTGTAAAAACTGGTTTCTTGTATCTCGATATCGATGTCTGTTGTGATTTAGGTTAAGTTGTCAATTCATGGAAAAAGCATTTCACAGAAAAGACGATAAGATTTTGGGGCCAAGAGTAGCGATTTCAATAAAAGGGAATAAAGTACTGGGTTGTGCTTCAAATAATCGAGATCAATTATGGAAAGTAAATTTGTTTACCTTATCATTGATAAAAAATGTAAAGTAATTAACGTTATTTCGGATGACAATGATTTCGATGTAACTAACCTAGAAAGAGAGTTTACATACGAAAAAGCGAATTCGACAAAACTTTGGGTTGACCTAAATAAAACTGAAAAAATTAATTCAGACAGTCAAATTAATTTACTTTTAATTAATAAATCGCTTAATACAACAATTAATAGTGAAAAATCAGATAATTCTGTCGCGGTAAGTAAATAATATGGGAAGTTAGAAAATACGTATTAAGACACTTGTTTTTACAGTGTAAAACGCATAAGCGCGCATGCGTTAAAAAACAAAGACACAAGAGGGGACTTAAGTACACTAGTTGTCTCTCTTTATCAATCTGATGCATCCTATTTTTACAGTACATATGGTCAAAATCGCGAAAAACGAAACTTTTGTAACGTAACAGTCTTTTTAAAACGTTTATAACTTTTAATTGATAAATACAAAAAAATTTATATTCCTATGCAATATTGTTTAAAAAAATATATTTTAAGATGCAAACATAATAATTTATTAATTTCTTGTTATTTAAAAGTTATGGACAAAACAAAAAGACTTTTACGTTACATGCTCCGCGATTTTGACCACATAGTGACGTAGTCTTAGTGAGTGATTTTAGAGTCTAGAAAATTATTTAGAACCACAAATATTTCAATAAACAGGAACATTAAAAACTAAAATTATTGAACTTCGCCTCTAGTAAGTGAATTAATTTAATGTTTGCAGGTACAGAATCGCCAACTTTCTCTTCCTAGTACTAGGATGCTGTTGCATCTATTCTCTATTAAACGTGACGTCGATTGTCATAAAACAGGGACTCAATCTTATAATACAAAAACTTCGTTGCGGATCTCATGGTATGGCTGCTCCACATTTACCAAGAAGAAAATCATCAATAGCGGCAATTTACTATCCGAAAAGAAGATCAACGAAAATTGCCGCAAGAGATTCTATTAGAATTGATGATGAATCAGATAATTCGCGACGAATGTCTGGCGAGTTAATTTCAATGAAAGACTTTCTTTCGGCCAATAAAGTGTCATTAGCAATTATGCAAAAGCAACTTTACGAGACAGCTCAAATGAATAGAGCTGATGATATTCCCGTTGCACCAATACATCAAACAATGTTTAAACCAGGAGCAGTTGGTCCTCTTGCAATTGCTAGTGAAAAATTTGAAGATCATTCCACTGGCCGGTAGCTAATTTGTTGAACAATCACTAGAATGAAGCAATAGAAAACAATTATTGTAAAATAACGCATAATAATTTATGCGCTAAAACGCTTTGTAATAGATGTAAATTTAATGGCTGACAAAAAAAAAATTGTAGCTTGCCAATATTTTTTTAAATGAACTCTAGTCGGAAAAAAAACGACTTTCTAGAATAAGATGTGAATTTTTGCCGTAGCCAACAATTTTTATAAATTAGCGTAGTAAAATTTGATCTCAAAAAAAAGTTTTGATTTATATTTTCTATTCTTTAAAATTACTTTTTTTTACTTTCTTTGATTTAGAAAGTATTTTTATTCTAAAACCAAATTCACCAGTTTTCTTAAAAAAAAAAAAAAATAGGGGAAATTATTGATGATAATAAATAATTTCTTTAATTCACATCGTAAAGTAATTTTATTCCATACGATTGTTACAATATTTTCGTTCGTTTGCTTGTCACGGAAATGGCAAACGTTCCTGCACATGAGAGACGTGTATAATAACGGGTACATTACTACGTGTAAAATAAAATTCTTATTTCGGCGAATTCGCACATGAATGTTTATTTAAACATTACTTTCTCTTTAAAATTGACCCATTTATTTATTTTCTTTCCTTCATTCAACATTTCCTTATCATTTTGAATCGTTTCTATTTGAAATTCACTTTTTCTACGTTTTTTTTTTTTGAGTAAACTTCCAAATGGACAGAAGCATTGCTACAAACTGACATCGAAATGTAGGCAGGAATTCACAAGTTTTCATTTTTATTTTTCAAAGCTGAAATCTAACAAACCATTTTGAAACATGCGTCGATATTATTTTTGTTTAAAATCACAGGAGAAAAAACGACGCGATGCTCAAAATGTTCTAATCAATTTTAGTGAAATTTCACGAGATTCTTTTTCTTTTCGTTATTTTTTTCTATTTATTTATTTCTTTTCTTTGAATGAAATTAAAGAATTCGTGCACATCTTTTTAAGAGAGTAGGAGAAAGTTTCACTTTTGATAATTTTTTTTTTTTTTCTTTGAACTACACCCAAGTTCGGCTTTTTGTGGATATTTTTTTTTCCTTGAACCTATAGGGAGAAGGGGATGAAAGAGACGACACCCTGATTCAAGGGTGAGCGACGACGTTTCGCGTCGACGCCAACAAACTGCGTACCAAATTCCCGTGGGACGGAAAGCTTGCGCTGATTTCTCCGTCACGATTGTATAACCATTTTGATGAACAAATTTCAATAACGGTTATCGGCAGCAGCGTAAAGCACAACCGTCATTTTTTTTATTTATTTCGTGCTGTGCACAAAGCCAAGAGATTCATATCTCGAGAAATTGATAATAAAAACCCACATTTTGCTTAGGGGGGACTCGAGAGTCTCTTCAGCGTATATCGCGCATACGAACAAATTGCTGTCCAATCGAGTCGAATTCATCGTTCATTAAATTAACATTATTAGCCATTACAAAGTTAATATTACTCAAAACCAATTCGTCATTTTGATTGTGTATCGGACGATTTCGATGTCTTGGAACCTGATCCGCTGGCTCCATTAATGACGAATGTTTTTTGCGCTGGTGTTGCAGTAATTTCGCCTAAAATAATGATATCATGTCAAGAAAATTTAAATTAACATTATCAGATTTCGCATTCGATAATTAATTTTCAAAAAGGAGCAAAAAATTATTTTCAAACTAAAAAAAAATAGTTTCAACTAATTTTATGCAAATTCTAATTTAAATAATTGAATTCCTAAGAAATTTTTATTATTCATGAAAAGAATTGAATTGTTACGAAGATTTTACAAAAAACTTTTAAATAATTGTATTTTGTTTGGAAATTTTATGAAAATAGTAGATAATGAAAATCATTAAATTGCGAAAAGTTTTTAAAAATAATTAAATTTTACAAAGAATTCAATTAAAAATTTTTAACAAGAATTGAATTCTTGCGAACGATTTTATTAGAATTTTTTAAAATAATTGAATTTCCAAGAAGAAATTTATTTTTTTTTAAAATAATTGAATTTCCAAGAAGAAATTTATTTTTTTTTTAAATAATTGAATTCTTGTGATGAATATTGTTATTTATGAAAATAATTGAATTTTACAAAAAATTTTATTAGAATGCCTCAAAATAATTGAATTTTTGAGAATAAGTTTGTTATTTATCGAAATAATTGAATTCTTGGGAAAAATTTTATTAAAATCTAAAAGAATAATTGAATTATTTCAAAAAAATTTATTTAAAATTATATTCAAAATATAATTAATTTCTTTCGAACAATTTTATTAAAATATTTGAAAATAATTAAATTCCTGTGAAAAAATGTAATATTTTTGTAAATAATTGAATTCTTCCAAAAAATTTAAAACAAACCTTTCTTTAAATAATTGATTTAAATTTTGCAAAGAATTCGATTAAAATTTTTGACAATAATTGAATGTCTGAGTGGTATTTTATTAAATTTTTTTGGAAAATAATTAAATTCCTAAAAAGCATTTTATTGTTTATGAAAATAATTGAATTCTTGTGATCAATTTTATAAGAATTTTTTTTAATAATTGAATTCTTTTGTGATCAATATTTTTATTTATGAAAATAATTTAATTTTGCAAAGAATTTTATTAAAATGCCTCAATATAATGGGATTTTCGGGAATAATTTTGTTATTTATCTTTAATAATTAAATTCTTTCGAAGAATTATTTATGCAAATAATTCAATTCTTGGGAAGAATTTTATTAAAATTAAAGAATTAATAAAAAAAATTTTTTTAAATAATTGATTTTTTCGAGGAATTGAAATTAAATTTTTAAGAATAATTACATTTTTTGAGCAATTCCTGTGAAATTGTATTAAAAATAATTGAAATCCAGCAATGAATTTTATTATTTATGAAAATAATGGAATAGTTGCAAAGAATTTCATTAAAATTTTCAAAAATAATTGAATTCCTGAGAAGAATTTTATTATTTATGAAAATAATTGAATTATTGCGAAGAATTTTATAAAAAAGTTTTAAACAACTAATTCTTTTTGAAAAAATGTATGCAAATTCTATTTTTAATAATTGGATTCCTGTGAAATTTTCATTATTTTAGAAAATAATTAAATATTCGTGTAAAACTTTGTCAAAATTGTTTTTAAATAATTGAATTCTTTTCGGGAATCTTATTAAAATAATAGATATACAAATTGTTGAATTAAGAAAAATATTTGAAAATAATTGAAATTTTGCAATGAATTTTATTAAAATTTTTAAAAATAATTAAAATTGTATTATTATTGAAAATAAATGAATTTTATTATTTTTGAAAATAATTTAATTCTTGTAATGAATATTGTAATTTATGAAAATAATTGACTTCATCCAAATGATTTTATTATTTATGAAAATAATTAAATCCCTGAAAGGAATTTTAAAATTAATGAAAATAATTGAATAGTTGCTAATAATTTTATTAGAAATTTTCAAAAATAATTGAATTCCTGAGAAGAATTTTATTATTTATGAAAATAATTGAATTATTGCGAAAAATTTTATTAAAATGTTTGAAAAGAATTGAATTTCTGTGAAAAATTTTGTTATATTTTAAATAATTGAATTTTAGTGGAAAACTTCATCTGTAACAATAATTGAATTTTTCGTTTCATTAATTTAAAATAGTATTAAAAATAATTGAAATTCTTCGATGAGTTTTATTATTTATGAAAATAATTGAATTTTGGATGAATTATATCATTTTTTTTTTAAATAATTGAATTCTTTTACGAAATTTGATGAAAATACTAAATATTGAATATAATTGAATGTCGAATATTTTTTGCAAATAATTGAATCGTTTTAAAGAATTTGAGACTTTAATTTTTAAGAAGTTTTTTTATTTCTAGTATTAGCGAATTTAAAGTAGTGGAAATTCTCAAAGAAGCAGAAATAGTAGCTTTTAGTGGATGAAGTCTAAAAAAAAGTACCCAAATAGTAGCATAACGTAAAAAAAGTAGTAAATAATAGGTTTTAGTAGATAAGTGCGAAGCCTGAATTATAGGAATTAAAAATATTAATTAAAATTTTCATGGAAAAATAATTGATTCAATTTCTTAGATTAAATAACAAAAAGTTGCTGATACTCACTTTACTGGCATATTGTTTGTGACACCATTGGCATCCTTGGGGTGTTGTCGTAACACTTCCCACAGTTTGACTAAAAGTAGAATTCGGCAAGCCGGGAATGTCCGTTTCCTTATGACGATTACTCGGTGGCAATGCAGCACCAGGATGATTTTTCATAATGTGTGCTTTTCGTTTGCTGCTACTCTTGTAAACCTAAGAAAAAGAGTTTTTGTTTCTTATCAATAGAACATTAAAACATTAATTTTATCGATTTTATTATAATCAAGACATTAAGAATTAAAATTTTGTAGGTGGAATTTAAAAATAAAACTTCAGATGTAGCGAAAGAATTGATGACATACCTTTTCACAATACTGACAATAATAATCTCTCGTTTGTCTTAAAATTGGTAAATTAAGTTCAGGTACAGATTCTGGCGGAACATCCGGATGTCTTTTTGCCAGATGATTAACGAGCATACCTCGTCTTTTAAAGCCAACCAAACATTGATGACATTTGTATACAAATCGATCATACTCGGTTGGATTGACCTTTGGCACAAATTTTTTAACTTGATTAATTGGCGACGTTGCTTCTTTATTTGATTTTTGGGAATTATGCATTCTCGTCACATGTTCCTTTAGTTTGTCCTTTCTTTTAAATCGTTTTCCACAAATAGCGCATTGAAATTCTCTGAATAAGGGAAAATTATTTTTTTTTACTGAAGAAAATTTAAACACAGTTTAATAAAATTGTAAAATAATCTCACCTGTGATCTGAATGACGTAGTAAATGCATTCGTAATTTATCGACAGTGGGAAAACGTTTCACGCAAAAGGTACATTTATGTTTTCGTTCACAATGATGAGCTCTAATGTGTTTTCGAATAACGGAATATTTTGTAAAATTTCGCTGGCAGTGAGGGCAAGTAAATGTATCGTCCTGATTTCTATGCGACTCAACATGATCTTTAAGCATCAAAATTTGATCGAATAATACTTTACACATTGGACATTCGAACATTTGTTTCTCTTCTAAAAATACAAAAAAAAAAAATTGTTATTTTTTTTATTATAATATTGTAGAATATATAATAATTGAATCTCAAAAACTTACTTCTGTGTGTCTTTAGATGACAGGAGAGAGCCGAATTATTCATAAATCGTTTAAAGCAAATATTGCATGGCAGTGGTTTTTGGTCCTCAGCGCCGTGGACTAAACAATGTTGTTGGAGTCGAACTTTAGTGGCAAAACGTTTATAGCACATTGAGCATTTATAGGTAGCCGAGGTAGTGGCATTTGTAATTTTTTTCATTGGTAATTTTCCATGTTCAGAAACATGTTTAATAAGCTCGTTTTGTTTTTCAAATTTTACCCCGCACTCAGGGCAAACGACAAATTTACATCCATTTTCAAAACTATTCACATTGTGCGATATTTTATGAAGATCAAACAATGATTCTTTATTGAATGTCAAATTACATACTGAACATTTCCATTCGGAATTTTGACCAGAATTTTCCTTTCCCTTCTTCTTGTTGTCAGTCTCACGTAAATTATCATTTTGACAAATTTTTTTATGTCGACAAAGATTATTTGGATATAAGAAATTTTCACCACATTTAGAACATTCGTAATGTGATGTCTTATTATTTGGATGTATTAATAAATGACGTTTTAAACTGTAACTACGGGAAAATACTTTCGAACAATGTGGACAGGAGTAGAGAATTTTCTGATCATTGACGACTTTAAATAGTTTACTGTAAATGAAAATAAATAAAAAATATTATTGCTAATTATAGAAAATTAGTATTTAAGTTATGGTGATATAATGATTCTTACTTGGAAGCGATGTGAAGCTTCCTGCGTTTACTTCTAGCTTTTGTTTCACTACGAGGACTATCGTGGACATTCAAGTGACTTTGTAAGGTTCCTGAAGTTGGGAAGAGACGATTACATTCGAAACAAGGCCATGAATCAGAGCTAGTTTCTAAATAGTGGAAATTAAAAAAAATTAGATAAAACTATAAAATATGAAGATATCGATAACTCCGAGTTCATGTTTTATAATAATTAAAGATTACCGAGTAATAAAATCATTTACAAGAACTTTTAACTAAAATTATTCTTTAAATCGATCATTTTTAATAAATATTAGAAGATAAAAACTTAAAATAATTAATTAAAATTAATTTCAAAATTCAATTATTTTTTAAAATTCAAGCTATATTGCTTTTAATATTCAATTATTATTATCTAAAATCTTAAATGAAATTAATTTTGAAATCAATTTCTTCTGTTTTATGGCATTTAGCTTCATTATTTTTCGGCTCTTCAAAAACACTTTACTTATTTAACAGTCTTCACCCTTTGGTTAAAAATAAAAAATTATTAAAAATTATCAAAAATTCGAAAATCCGAATTTCTTAAAATTCAACATTTTTTCTCCTCTTTTATGGCATTTAGTTTCATTATTTTTGGGCTCCTCAAAAATACTTTACTTATTGAATAGTCTCCACCCTTTAGCAAAAAATCAAAAATTATTAAAAATGATCAAAAATTCAAGAAATGTTTTATTAAAATTTTTTTAAATAATTGAATTTCTGTGAAGAATGTTATTATTTATGAAAATAATTGAATTTTTGTGAAGAAGTTTGTTAAATTATTTTTCAAAAAGAATTGAATTTCTAAAAAGAATTTTTGTATAATTTAAAAAAGCTAATTAATTTTTAGAGGAATTTTAATAAAAAATTTCGAACATGATTCTTTTCTCTAAAATATTAAAAATAATTCTAAAATAGTATTATATACATACCGTTTGTATTTTCTGAATCAGCCTCGAGAATTTTTAAATTTCTCTTCTTGGCGTACTCTGGATTTAGACCGGCTCTCAATTCCTCCTTCGGTAAAATATCCCTTGTGGTGAGAAACATAATACCTTCATTTTGCTGGCAAATCATTAAATTCTGATCTTTATAAGTCAACGCTGGACGAACGAAACGCATCCAATTTGATGTATCTAAAAATCAAAGTGGTATTAAAAAAAAGAACTTTATAAAAAAAAATGTATTTAAATATATTAAAAAGAGGACTCACTCTCATTGGAAACATCGATTTTGAAGAAATCACCGTCTTCATTTTCGAACAATAATGGTAAAACATTAGTAAACGGAGTGCCATCATAGGCACACAAAATACCTTCAATTGGACCAAATTGTGTTCGTTTACGAATAATTTTCTTCGCAAAAACACCAAATTCCTGTTGTGATAAATCGTTTGAATTTAATTTATTAATTGATAAATAAGAACTAGGAAGTGTTGCTATTGCTCGCGAAGGAACTGGTTGATCGGCAATTGTCTGAACATTATGTGACGTACAACCATCTTCATCAGCACAAATTGCATCACACTCTGTACACCCTAAAAAAATAATAACATCGTTTTAATTATAAAAATTTATAACTAAATCAGGGTGTCTACTATTTTTGTTCAAGAAAATTCCCGATTATTTTCCGGCTTTGTCCTAATTTTTCCCGGTTTTTTTTCTCATCAAATTTAAATTTATTTGATTTCGAACATAAAATATTGTGCAAATATTTTTCTTCTTTTTCTAAAATAAAATAATAATTTTGTTAAAAATAATTGTGATTCATAAACAAAAATAATGCAAAATAAATCAATTTTCTATTTCTTAATCACAGTTGTTTAACAATTTTCTAATTTTCCTTAGAAGTAAAGAACAAAAATCTGCATAATTTCAATTTGACAAAACATAATGATTAACATAATATTGTTTAAATTATTGAAATTTTGACAAGAAGTTTATGTCAATTTTTGACAATAATTTAATTCTTGAGAAGAATTTCGCTACCTATTTATGAAGATAATTTAATTATTAACGAGAATTTTATAAAAATTTCGAAAATAATTTATTTTTTGTAAAGTATTTTATTAGTTTTCAAAAAAAAATTGAATTCTTGTGATAAATTTTGATATTTATGAAAATAATTGAATTTTGGAAAAGAATTTTATTAAAATTCCTTTAAATAATATTGATTTTATGGGGAGAATTTTGTTGTTTAGCAAGATAATTGAATTCTTTTGCAGAATTACTCAAAAAATTTTTTGAAAATAATTGATTTCCTGAGACGAATTAAAAGTTATTTATGAAAATAATTGAATCATTGCAACGAATTTTAATATTTTATTGAATAATTGAATGTTTCTTAAATTTGAATTCTTTCGTCAAATTTTAATAAAATTTTGTAAGAATAACTGCATTTTTCGAGGAATTTATTTAAAATTTTGTCGTGAAAATAATTGAATTCCTAAATGAAATTTTATTATCTATGAAAATCATTGGATTCCTGAGAAACTTTTATTTTTGATGAAAAGAATTGAATTCCTATAAAGATTTTACAACAAATTTTTAAATAATTGAGAATTCTGTTTGGAAACTTTATGAAAATAGTAGATATTGAAAATTATTGAATAGCGAAAAGTTTTTGAAAATAATTAAATTTTATAAAGAATTTATAATTAAAATTTTTTTAAATAATTGAATTTCCAAGAAGAAATTTATTATTATTAAAAATAATTGAATTCTTGTAATGAATATTGTTGTTTAAGAAAATAATTGAATTTTGCAAAGAATTTTATAAAAATTTTCAAAAGTAATTAAATTTCTGTGAAGAAAATTTTATTATTCATGAAAATAAATAAATTATTGCAACGAATTTTATTATTTTATTGAATAATTGAATGTTTCTTAAATTTGAATTCTTTCGTCAAATTTTAATAAAATTTTGTAAGAATAACTGAATTTTTTGAGGAATTTATTTAAAATTCTGTAGTGAAAATAATTGAATTCCTAAATGAAATTTTATTATCTATGAAAATAATTGAATTCATAAATGAAATTTTATTATTTATGAAAATAATTGAATGTTTTCGTAGAGTTTAATCAAAAATTTTTTTCAATAATTAAATTTTTTGATAAGTTTTATGAAAATACTGAATATTGGAAATTATTGTAATGCGAAAAACTTTTAGAAATAATTGAAATTTTTGCAATGAACTTTATTCAAATTTTTTTGAAAATAATTGAATTTTTGGCGAAAAATTTTGCTATTTATAAAAATAATTAAATTCTTGACGAAATATTCGTTAAAATTTTTTTAAAATAATTGAATTTCTCGAAGAATTTTATTACTTTTGAAAATAATAATATCTATAAAAATTGAAATAAAAATCGATTTAAAAAAAAAATTAAAATAATAAAACTTTTTTTAAATTTAATTTGGCTATTTCCCGATTAGTAGACACCCTGTAAAATGAAAATTCATTAAAATTTACTTTATAAAACTTACAATAAGTCTTTTTATCATTTATCTGTCGTTTAGAACGACGAACAATTTTTTTTGGCGTCTCCTCATCTTTCGATTCTAAAAGATTGTCAACAATTTTCATTGTATTTTGAACCTTATCAGGTTCAACTGTTGAACACAAATCGATATCCTCGTTTGAATTAAGTGTTTGCATTGGACTTGGAATGTAGGTTTCGTTTATTTCTAAATTTTCCGTTTTAAATGAATTCATAACACTTATTTGATCATCGTGCATGACAAGAAAATCGCGAGTCAATGCAAAATCAGAACCCGTTAACATCAACGGTGGTGCGGATGGTTCTAATTCAGAATTTCCACTTTGCATTAAAATCAATTCATTTCCAGGTACAAGGACTTCTTCACTATTTGATTCAACAAAATCTGTTGTATTCTCATTTTGTGGAATGCTTGGCGAAGTATTTTCATCATTTAATTCGGTGACAAAATTAATATTCGTTCTTGCATTTGTTTCTGATGATGAATTTAATGATGATGATGATGATGATGATGGGGAATTTTGTAGAACAACAACGGAATTTTGAAATGGCGATGGTGGTAATTGAACGGGAGTCGGTGAATATCTTGCGGCTGAACTCATATTTGGATCGTGTGGACTTACACGATGTTCGAATTCAGAGAGTGGTGACGATGCTCTTGGTGAATAGGAAACTGGCTCATACACCGAAAACATACGAGCGTAGTCTCGCGTTTGATCTTCAACATACTCGACCTGTAAAATAAAAAACAAAAATACTATTTTCTTCTGGAAAAATAAAAAATAAAATTTTTAAAAAATTTGTTAGTTAACTTACTGTTAGAAAGAGTAATTTGTTGTTCATCTTCTTGCGCTGTTCACAAAGAGGCGATGGTACATTATTGTCGGATGACCATGTTTCGTCGGATGTTTTTTCAATTGATGCCATCTCCAGATTTTCGCCAGGGGCCCCTTCAGGAGGGGCCCTTGGGTCCATTGTTTTTTTAATTTTCCACAAAATTTATGGAATAACTTTTCATTTCTTTCTGTGAACAAATAAATAATTATTTTTCAAATTCTAAAGCGTTCCGAAGAAACGAACTTAAGAAGCAAATAATTTTATGAATATTTTTGTAGACTTTGCACTCGATAATTAATTTTTAAAAAGTAGCTTTCAAACTAAAAAAAGTAGTGAAAAAGTTGCTATCGAGAAAGATATGAAAAATAATTGAATTTCGAATATTTTTTGAAAATAATTAAATTGTTTTAAAGAACTTGACTATAATTTTTGAGAATAATTTTTTGATTTTTAGTATTAGCGAATTTAAAGTAGTGGAAATTCTAAAGAAAAACAGAAATAGTAGCTTTTAGTGGTTGAAATCTAAAAAAAAGTTAAATTTTATACCTAAATTCAAACTCTCTGTTTAATTATGAAAAATTATAATCTTCTTTTAATTATTTCAAATTTAATGAAGAACTAATTGTCAGTTGTTAATATTGAAATTTAATTCCTTTTGTGTATTTTCATTCAAAAAATTACAAACATAACCTAAGATTTTTTGCATGAGCGATTTTTTTCTCCTATAAAAACAATTTACAGGAAATTAAAACCACTGACAAGTGTTGATTGAAATGTGAAAATGAAAACTCAGAAATATTGAGTTCCGTCACATTTAAACATTTCACTAATATGATCGATTAAAAAAAAATTTATTTCTGTGAATAACGTGTTTTCTATCTGTTTTTATTCAGAATAAGAGAAATTTATTTAGCTTTCGAAACATTGAAGTTAAAAAAAAGTAAACTTATTTATTGCACGAGTATTTGTATGTATTTAAATTTTTAACTATTATTTATGTTTCATGATGTGTATACATAATATATATTTGTAAATAACAAAGTGATTGTATGAAGGAATTTTGTTTTATTATTTATTTCCTTCATGTTAAATTTTTAACAATAAAAAATATAAACACTTTTGAATTTTGTCATGTTCTAATAGAAAACGCAACAATGCCCTCTGAAAATGAACAATGTTTCTAGGTCAATGTTGTCTTGTCCTTGTAAAAAAAAACTGTTGGCATGCAATTTGGTATACGATTAAGTGAATTGAATTAGTGAAGACTGAATAATAAATAATGACGTAAACACTTACATTTACGATATACACAAAATCCTGTCATTGAATAACAAAGACACACAAGACGAAAGAAAAAAAAAGGAACGAAGATCAGAAAAAAAACAATATTACAAATTTAATTCTTTAGAGGGAGATTGTCTTTTTTATAAGAAACAACACTAACAAGTAGAAAGTCAATAATAAACAACGTTTTAGTTTGCATTTCACTTGAATGATTACTGTTTATCAAGTAATTATAGACAAGTATGTATTGATAAATAAAATACGTTTCTCGTCAGCTGCTGAAAACTGCTGATAAACTAAGAACGACATGTGCGACATCAATACTTGACGTTAAGGTTTCGAACTAGGTCGTTAGAAACGGAAAATTGGCGCAATTTTTTTTTCATCAATAATTTTTTTATTTAGAAAAAAAATTTTATTTAAAAATATTCTTTTTATGTGATTTGTAAAAAATTTTTATTACTTTTAAATCCTAATTGTTTACTTTTTGAATTGCAGTGATTATTTTTGTTAAAAATGCCAATTTTCTTGTGTGCTAGTCAGAATATCATTTTACAGGGGTGCGTGCGCCTGAACTGTATCTACCATACAAACATTAGTGTAGATTTATAAAAATAGTATTTTATTAAATTACTAGTAAATGTTATAAAACACGTACTTTATTACTATTAATTATTTGTAAATATAAAGTTTGAACAAAATTTATACTTTTTTAAATTTATTATCTTTTTCCGCATTTAAATTATAATTTTATAATTTATCATTCAAATTATACATATAAATTTTTATTCATCAATATCTTTATAGATAAATTATTAAAAATTAATTACAATTTTTTATTTATTTTCTGATTAATATATAAATGTCAGGACAATATTAATATTTATACCGAATTCTAAATTGTTGAAAATTATTTTTTTATGCGATGAAAAAAAAAATGAAGTTTCGTACAAAAGCAAACAATGTTAAAAAAATATATCATGAGACACTTAAAAAATATGAAATATTTTCATTATTATACGAATAACTTATTATTAATATTTTCTATTACTCTTAACTATGTAAAAGTAATTCTGATAATAATATAATTTACAAATAATTCTAATATTAAATTTCTTTTTCATTTAGTTAAAAGAATATTCTTCATTCACTTAGAAAACTCTCCTGGCTTTTTTCCAATAAAAAAAAAAAAAATGCCACTATTTCTATCAGAACAAAAATTTTTTCAACCCTAGTATTTAGAATTTAATTTAAATTTTCATTCGTTGTATTAATCTTGTCAGTTCCTGTGATTGATTTTTTACTGGGATTACATCGATTACGTTGACTTTGTAATTTGAAACGTTGACAAACTGGAGATGTGTCATCACCGGCACTTGATAAATTTTCAAAATCAAAATTTGAAAAATGTTCCTCGATAAGTTCTTCCAATTTTTTCGATAGTAAATCAATTTTTGACGAAAATTCACTATCGTTCTGCGAAAAATAATTATTAAAAATATTTGATTTATAGAAGAATTTTAATTAAAAAAACACTAAAAAAATTGAATTTTAATTATCTTTATAAATAACAAAATTCTTCACCGAAATTTAATTATTTAAAAAAATTTTAATAAAATTCTTGACATTATTTTCAAAAATTTTCCTCTGTTCAATGATTTTTAATATCTACTGTTTTAATAAAATTTTCCAAAAAAATTCAATTATTTTAATAAATAATAAAAAATTTTACAGGGTTTCAATTATTCTCAGAAATAATAAAATTCTTTTTAGGAATTCAATTATTATTTTCTTAAATAATAAAATTAATCGCAGAATTTCAATTATTTTCCAAAATTTTCCTCAATTTTCAATTTTTTGCCAATCCTCAATTTTCCTCAATTCAAATTTAATTATTTTCATAAATAATAAAAATTTCACAGGAATTCAATTATTTTTAAAAAAAATAAATTTCTTCTTGGAAATTCAATTATTATTTTAAAAAATTCTAATAAAATCGTTCGCAAGAATTCAATAATTGTCAAAAATTTTTTAATTAAATTCTTTATAAAATTTAATTATTTTTAAAAACTTTTTGCAATTCAAAAATTTTCAATATCTACTATTTTTACCAAATTTCCAAATAGAAATCAATTATTTAAAAATTTTTTATAAAATCTTCGTGAGAATTCAATTATTTTCATATGAATAAGAAAAATTTCTCAAAAATTCAATTATTTTTAATACAATTTTACAGGAATTGCTTGAAAAATGAAATTTTTCTTAAAAATTTAATTTCAATTTATCGAAAAAATCAATTATTTAAAAAAATGTTTGTTTTAAGTTCTTTGAAAGAATTCAATTATTTAAAAAATTATTATTATATTATATAAAGATAATTGTTGGAATTTTTTACAGGAATTCAATTGTTTTCCAATATTTTAATAAAATTGTTCGAAAGAAATCAAGTATTTTAAATACAATTTTAATTAAATTTTTTTGAAATAATTCAATTATTCTTTTAAATTTTAATAAAATTCTTCCCAAGAATTCAATTATTTTCATAAATAATAAAATGCTTTTTAGGAATTCAATTATTTTCGAAAATTTTCCTCAATTTTTAATTTTTTGCCAATTCTCAATATTCCTCAATTCACATTTAATTATTTTCATAAATAATAAAATAAAATAAAAATTTTTTTTTTTAAATTCAATTATTCTTAAAAATTATATTAAAATTCATCAAAAGAATTTAATTACTTAAAAATTCGATAACAAAATCTCTATGAGAATTTAATTTAAAGAAATATTTAATTATTCAATAAATTTATTTTTGTATTGAAATAATTAAATATTAAAATAATTGTAAATAAATAAATAAAAGTATTATAGCATGAAATTTGTTCAAATAAATTCAATTTTATAAAAATTTTTTAACAAAATATTTATGAGATTTCAATTTTAAGAAACATTCAATTATTCAATAAATTATTTATTTTTGTACTTAAATAATTGAATTCACGTAGAATTTTCGAATAAAAATTTATTTAAAAATGAATTTTAGTTAAAATTTTAGATTATAATTGAATATTAAAAGCACTATAGCGTGAATTTTTAGAAATAATTGAATTTTGTAAAGGTTTCATATTAAAATTTTTGAAAATCTGAATTTTTCATACTTTTAACTAACAATTCTGTAGAATTAATTTTTCAGGGAAAAGATTAATTGCATTTTTTTAAAAATTATTTGATGTTTTTTATTTTTTAATATATATTTAATTGAAGAATTTGCGAATAATCGAAATTAAAAATTTAATTTTGGTAAAATTAAATTGTAAACAAATGGATTTTAAAATTTTCAAACAACTTTTTCAATAAAAAAAAAATTGATTTAAAGAAGAATTTTAATTAAAAATTCTAGAAAATAATAATTAAATTGAAATAATGAAAATAATTTTAAAGATGTTAAATTTAATTTTTGTGTCAATTACTTATTATGATACCTAAGTATATAAAGTGTTTCAAATAAATTCGATAGATTTTCAAAAAATTTGTCTTTCTAATCCGCCATTTTGAATTTTGAATTATTCTAAAAATTCGCCATTTCTAAATTTTGAAAAATGAAGTAAAGTAAAAAAGTGTACTTTTTAAATTCTAAAAATAAACTCAATTAAAAGAGAAACTTTTTTTTTAAAATTTCGAACCTTATAATAAATTCTGGAATTGTGACCGATTTTTCGAAAATCCTTGATTGCATGCTCGACTTTGAGGTAAACTCGATTCTTCAATTTTTGCTCGATTGTTTCCAGAAAAATTGGAATTTTTACAATTTTACTGTAATTCTCAATCTGTAAATAAAATAATAGTCATTATCTCCTTTGTTTCAATTTAAAAAAAAAAACTTATATTTGTACGTTACCATTCTTTGTTGTGACTCTTTTCCACCAATAGCCGTTGGACATTTGAAAAGACACGCTTCGTCCATTTTCCAAATAGTTTGATAAATTGTTTCCAATTTTCTCATAGCTAATGGACTCAAAGTTTGTTTTTTTCTTGAACTATACCATACGGACCATCCCCTATCCGATTTATGATGTCTACTATCCAAAATCATATTCTCCTTTCTTCTTCCTCTGCCAAAATTTGTTTTTTGAATACTTTTCGTTTCATTGATGAGAAATTTATTTTTTAGATTATCAGCTGCTTCGGTCTCGATATCTTTGGCTAATCTTTTGCCACCAAGTTTACGTGTTCTTTGATTTGGTAACAAAGATTTTTCACCCTCCTTCTTTTTTCCAGATTGAAATGAATCAAATATTAATGATGTGCTTCGATCAGTTCTTGGCATTTTGTAGGTTTTTGTTTGATTTGTTGATCGACGAACTGTTTCTGAATATGTCGCCCTACCTTCTGAATATATTGCCTGATTTTCAGAAGGATTCTCTAGGAACATCATTTTTGTGAATGGTGGAAAAAGATCTTTTTGATTTGATTGTTTTTCAAGATCGTCGTCTTCGTGAATTGATGAATTTAGAGAATCGGTACTTGAACGATTGTTCTCGTCTCGAGTTTTATTGGCATTGTTTAGTGTTCGAATTAACCATGAATCGGTTTTTACGTTTGTTTTACTAGTTTTTGTAGTTTTATGGTCTGTCAGTCGTTTTAGACTTCGGGTTGTTTTTGGCGATGGTTCGGAATCGTCTTCAGATGCCTCGTAACTTGATGCGTTGTTACTTTTCTCATCTCGTTTCTTCGAACGACGGATTTGATTTCTAATTACTTGATTATTCTGATTTCTTATCATTTGATCTTTAAGCAGTTCCTTTATCTGTTTATTATTCTCAATTATTTTCTCGTTCATTATTTGAGAGAGTTCATTCTTTGAGATTTGACTGCGGTCCTCTTTTATCCGATTCCATTTGTTCAATTCATCTTCTCGAGGTTCTTTTTTAATTGTTACATTTTCCAGGGTTTGTTCTAAATTGGTGATTTGATTTCGATCTCTAATTTCACTCTTGACATCCGAATTTTCGTTTTTTACTTCCCCTACAGCCTCTTCTACGTTTATGTTTTTCATTGTTACATAATTCTTCAGATCCTGATGCTCAAAGGCAAAGTCCTGAGTTTTTCTCAAAAAATCCTGTTTGTAAGGTATGTAGTCGAGTTGCTGATTGATTTCCTCATTTTTACCGAATCTTTTGTAATTTTTAGGTAGTGGATTCTTCTCGAACTGATTCGGTAATTTATCTTGATGTACATCTCTATCTCTATTCATCGTTTTTGGCCCTCGACTTCTGTCCGTTTGTTTCATTTCGTTCAGATGATGACAAATCTGATAATCTTTGAACATTACATTTTTCTTTATTGTTTGTTCCTCGTTCAGAATTTCCTCACTGCAAAACCATTTTCTACTTTTGAACTCGTTTTTCGATGCATCTTCCCTTAGCAACAGTTTCTCGAAGTTTCTACTAAGTGTCTGATTACTACCGTACATCTGACATTCAGGAACCTCCCTTTCTTGATTTTGCTCCAGTATCATATTTTGTTGCTCAAAATTCAATGTTTCGTTAACATTCAAAGCCTCGAGTAGAACTTCAGCCGAAGCACAAGCAGCCTTCCATGTGACGTCATTTGTTCCTTGCTGACATTTGTTCCCCACTTGATCCAATTTGCAGTTTTCATTTTTTGGAATTGAGAATACTTTGTTTGATGTACGATGTCCGTAGCGAGAACTATCTGATTTTCGATTAGAGCGTTTTTGGTGTCTCTTTTTCGGGACATTGTAACTTCCTGGTTTCATGTAGATACGAACGTCCTCAGAACTGTCACACTCATCGCGTTGTTGTACATTGTGATTGTTGATTAGATTCATTGCATTCCATGGGGCACTTTGTATACTCTGCATATTTTGAAGGGATAATAATTGACGATTTGTGTCCAATTGAAGTTGTCTGGTGAGATCCATTTTGTCTCTAGCTGATTGTCCCTCTTGACTGGAGTTTCTAGAGAAATTGATTTTACTCTCGCATTTGGAATTTCGCATACTAGCGAACCAGGCGGATAAATTTGCGGTCATTTCCTCTTTTTTTGATGCCGAACTGCTCGGTTCGATTTGACTCAAAAGGGTCATTTTGTTGATTGGAATTGATTCGAAATCAATTTGTTCGTTTGCGGTCGGGGTTTTTTTTGTCTCACATTGTGTGTTAGTTGAAAATTTCAGAATTTGGTTACGATTTCGATTCGCATTTTTCTCTTCTAAAATTTTGCTCTTGAGATGAAAAAATTCGGCATTTAGGGACGTATCATTATTGTGAAAATCGAGTTTCTTTGATGTTGAACCTGAATTACCCGACGAATTACTCTCTGTGATGGTCCATTTGCTTTTTGGTTTTGTCCCCTTTTTTTGATCGACAGCATATTGAAAGTTTTGCGATGGTGAAATTACTGCCGATCCAGGTGCAAGATTGAATTTAATTGGTGGTTCCAAAAGATCGCTGGTGGTGTAAATTGAAACATCACCAGGAAACGTACCCGGTGTTCCAGATGTTTCAATTTCCTCTTTCTCGGATTTCTCCTCGAGTAGAAGAAATGTATTGATGACATTTTGTAAAAGTTCATGTGTCGCTCCCTCCCAACATTGAAAACTCTTTATTAGATTCCGATCGTATTTGTCATTGAGACTGGGAGTGTGTTGTTTATTTAGATAATTATCGAGAATCAACCAACCGTTGCTGATCCTTAGGAGGGAATTAATTAGATCTTGAATGAGAACTTGATCACCGGCGAAAATTGAGAAACAGGTGGATGATTTTGTGATGGCAGTTCTTGTGGCTATTGATAAATTCATTAGCCAATCGAGTTTTGTGGTTCGATGACATTTACCTGAATTGAGTAAATTCTCGGCTTGATTACATCCCCAAATGGTGGTTTTACGTATTAGTTCAGGATACTTGGCGATATCTTCGTCTTGTGTTTGAATGGCAATCGAAGTTCCTGTTAGTTCAATAGTGTTAGTGGAGAGATTTTTGCTGAAACCAATGTCTCCAGCTCCGGTCAATAGTGATTCATTCTTTTTGTTGTCGAAGTTTTCCAAATCATTTGAGGATGTGTTACAGAGTGCGGATACCATTTTTTCTGCTTCGATTGTAAAATCGAAACTTGTTGATGAATCGTCAGACATGTGTTCATCTTGGGTCTTTGTGGATGAATTGGCTTTGTTTTGTACTTCGGCACAAAATTGTCTGTAGTCTGATGATGGATTGGTTTCTTCGTAATCGTTCCTTCGACTAATAAACTTTGCTGAGTGATTTGGTTTAGTTTTGGTATATTTCACTGAAAGTTCCATTGCTCGATTATCTTTCAGTGGATTGAAAATGGAATTTTGTGGAGGATTTGGAAACATTTGATTTGTGAGTGGATAGGGAGTTAATTGAGTGGGAAGTTGAAGATTTGTGTTAGCAGTTACAGTTTGTAGGGTTGAGCTGAGATTATAATAGGGATTGTACTGGTGGGTTTGCTGTTGGGTGATGAACTGTCGATCTTGAACGAGACAAAGAGCTTGAACATCAGGGGGCTTGTAGTAAGGTTGAGAAATAACAATTCCTGAATTATTCTGTTCAGTGGAATATGGTCCATGACAAATGTTTGATGCGGCAAAAAGATACGGTGACGGAGATGATGGAAGATGAGAATTTATTTGCTGTTGCTCAAAAGGAAACGATGGTTTTGTGGAGTAAAAAATTTGTCGTTGATTCCTCAAACTCACTCCCTGGGTTCCCTGGGTTCCCTGGATCTTAGTTTTCGTTTGCCATTCGCCACCTGCGTTCGATACCAAAATAAATTCATCTTGAAGCTAAAAATTTATTCCTTTAAATATTTATGGACATAAAAAAAATTTTTTTACCTTGATGTGTCATAAGTGCTGCATTCGGAGTACTTCTTTGAGCAGAATAAATACAAGAAGGATGCAAAACAGTAAATGGTTGCAATGTAACTGGTCCATAGAAGGATTGAGGCTGTTGTTGATGATGATGCTGCTGTTGCTGTTGCAGCAAACTTGAAGTTGTCGAACTTGTCGTACGAGTTTGAAAGCACGATGGACTCAGACGATTGCAAGATGGTTGCATGGTCCAAATAATTATTTCCGTTTCTAAAAATTTGTTTCCCAAAAATGCATATATAAATTTGCCAATAATTTTAATTCTTTAAAAGAAAATATTTTTCTTGGTTCATGTGAACCAAGGTTCATTTTCACCAATAAATTTTTATATAAAGACTAAAATTAATTTAAATAAAGTAAAAATAATTAAAAATTTTTTTTAAATAATTCAACATTTGAAGGTTAACTGTTAAAATACTTCATAAATACAAATACAAAAAAATACCGAAATAAAAATAATTATCTATTCAAAATAAAATTTACAGTTAATACTCACCTGGGTGCAGTTTTGCAGAATATTTCAAATTAATAAGAAAAATATATTAAACACTTATACTAACTGACATTTTTTCTTCAATGTTTATAAATCTCGTTAATAAAAAAAAAAATTACTGAAAATCTATAACATCACATTTAATGATGAAAACGAAAAAAATAGCACTACTGAAATATAATTTTAAAAAATACAAATTATAAATCTTGTATAATTGAATTTGCTTGACAGTTCATTTTTCATTTCTCGAATTTTGTCAAGAAATAATAATTCTAAAAAATCATTTTAACTAAATTTTTTTTTCTAACTTTCACTATTATGCTTTTCTTAAAATTTTTCAAAAGCGACATTCACGACACACAATATTGAACAAATCAATGAATTAATCTTTGTTTTCGTTGGGAAAAAATTAAATAGAAAACTTTAGTGAATATAACCGAACAAAAAAAGAAAAATATATGTCAGTTGTCTGAAGGCAGTTATAGAAAAACAAAAGTCTTCATCTGCGCATTGTTTATAAAAAAAAAAAAAAAAAATTGACTACAGAAAATTGTTATTTACAGGTTTTTTTTCAAATTCAACAGAAATAAAATGAAATAATAATAATAATAATAACAATATGTAATAATAAAACTAATAAAACTAATAATAAATAATTTATTAATATTATTTATTATCATTTATTTGGAACAGATATTAAAAACAAGTGAGCGCATTAATTTATCGAAAATTTATTTTGACCCAAATAAGTCTACAAAAAAATATACAAGTAATCGTTAAACAATTTAATAATCAATTTGGACTTGGTGTAATATTAAATATATAATTTAATACTTAATAACTAAATATATAATTTTATACTTAATTTTTAATTAAACTAAGAACAATAATTTAATTTTAAATTAAACAAAGACAAATTAAATTTATCTTTTTATTTTTGAAATGTCCAATTAACGCAGCAGTTATTGAAACAATAGAGATTAATATGTAAAATTAAAAACAATATATATCTGTAATTCAAAATTTTACATAATCGAGTTGTAAAATCATTTACAGAAAATATTCTATCTCCTGGAATTTTATTAATATTTTATTTTTTAATAAATTAAATAAAGTTTTTTTTCACGCTATATTTGAATTTTCTTTTGTCTTCATAATATACAGATTTTCTTTTTGTTTAAATACTTTTTTGTTTAATATAAGTATTGTCGAAGAAAGAAGAAATTTTTTTTTTGTTAGCACAAAAAGAAAAGAAAGTATAAATATAATTTTTTTTATCTAAGCACTAATAGTTTAATTTTTTTAAAATGAACACAGTGTGCCTTTACGTCGACACTTCATCACGCTATTTATGATTAAAAACTGTAAGCTTCTGCGATTCCTTTTTTTTTTTGAAATTATTTTCAATTTTACAATTCTATCAACCTAGTTTGTTTATTTAATGTAATTATTATTTATCATCAATTGGGTTAGGTTGACGTGTACCTTAACAGGTCTAAATTTATACAGCTATTCTTAACAATTGGACAAAGAGATCTCTAAATTGACTATATATAATCAATTATATAACTGGAATACTTTGTCAAGTCTCTGCTTTACTAATTTTTTTTTTTATTACAAACAAAAAAGTGGAAGAAAAAGAAGAACAGTCATTCATTTTCGCTTTTGCAATTTTACGTGGGGATTTTTTTTAACAAATTTTCATTTCTAAAATTACTAAAAAAAACAAATTGGATATTAATTTTTGTTTTAAATTTCTAATAGATCTTGATTTTTTTGTAAAATGTTTTTTAGTGCAGAAGAATTGTGCCTGGGGTATTTTCGACATTTTCAAAATCCCCGTTTTTATGCCGAATAAAAAAAAAAAAAAACCGAAAGGTTTGGAAATAAAAAAAAAATAACAATTTAAAATTAAGTAATAAAATTCTAATTTCACTAAATTGAAAATTAATTCTTTCATATAGTGTAGAACTCGACACAATTATAAAGTTTGTGCAAAAGAATTTTTTTTTTTGTCATCAATTTCTGAATTCTTCAGAGCAAAAAAAAAAAAATATTTCAGTTTCTGTAATTTGTCACGTTTCGATTAAAACTGAATTTCATTCTGAAATTCTTTTGAGCAAACTTGTAATGCGCTTGATTATTTTTTGTGCCGATACATATAAATTAATGCAAATATTTCCACTTTTTTTCTACATATTTTGAAAAATTTCCCATTAGCACCAAAATTAAACTGAGAATAAAAAATTGTAAATTCGAATTATAATTATTTACTGATGATAATAAATTATAAATAAAATAATAAATAAAAATTAAATAATTTATCGTAAAGTATAATAATTAACTTATGTTTACGATTTTTATATTAGACCTCCCCAACAAAAACGAAACATTGACCGCGTCACTAGCGAATAACAAAAAAAAAATGCGTATGTAGGAACTGCTTTTTGTTTTTTTTTTTAAAGCAGTGCCAAAAATTAATTCTTAAGGCACTAGTGCTTAAAAAACTACATATAATACTCATTTTTTTTTTTTTTTTTTTTTTTTTTTTTTTTTGACGGAGGTAATAATTTCTGTTTTACCGAATTTTGATTATTAATTTTCTTCTGTTAGGGGGAGGGGGGGAGGAAAAATTGTGTATTTCGTTCTAATGGCAAAAAATTCAACGTCTTTTTGCCTCAATTATGCGAATTTTTAACGATTTTAATTTTTATCATAGTAAATATCGGTGAATTCTCAAAAAAAAAAAATTATTGAGACCGAATTTATTTGAAGAAAACGGATCGTCAAAATATTCGCTGTGATCTTCATTAAATTGAAGATTATTATTTTAGTGGACAATATTCAAATTGTGTGATATTTAATTTCGAGCAAATGCATAAATCATGCTTCCTAATAAACATGAGAGGAGAAGAGATTGTGAGACTGGAATTGCACCTGGTGTGGCAGCATTGCAAAAATCTTCAAGACAAGAGCAGACTTCTTGTCGTCCGCCAAAACCACCTCTTTGATAGCAATTGCCCTTGTAATTCGACTCGTCCCAACCGCAACCACGAATTACCCTCTTATTTGGTGGCACTGAAAAAGAAAAAAAAAAAAGATTATCCATCCATGATGAAAAAGTTTGGAAAAAGATCCTCTATATAGCCCAGATCAATAAAGTGCCCATTATTGCCCTAGGGCAATAATGGTCACTTTATTGATCAGCTGGGCAATAAAGTACTCATTATTACCCTAGGGAAATAATGGGCAGCGTCCCTCAAAGGAAGCTTTTGTTAGTACTATTGGATAGGAGCTAGAAAAAAATTAATATAAAGGGCTTAGGGCCCAACAGGCGACAAATAAATTTCTGATTGGTATTCACCAACCAAGAAAATCCTAAATTATAGTTAGTTAAATAATTTTACAATTAGACCATAACTACGAGGCTGAACTTCTAGAAAAAAATTATCTTTTATACTCACAGCCATTGACACTGAATTCGATTGTTTGAACAATCTTTCTGCACATAGTGTATTTAGCACCGTCTCTTTTTGATGAACAATCCACTTTCAATTCTTCAGGAGGTTCGTCTTCTGCACATCTGCTGTCATTATTACTGTTACAGTCGAAACATCTGACAGCCGTTACTCCTGAAATCAAAATTATTTACTCTAATTATTCCATAAATAACAAAAATTTAATTTCGGAAAAATTAATAATACATTCTTTTAAATTATAAAAAAAAAAAAAAAAAAAAAAAACTTTTAAACAAAGTTGTGTTATTTGCCTTGATCCACCCGTCTAATGGGTTAAATAACTTATTATCAAATACTAAATGACTTCAAAATTCTTAATTTTTTTTTTCAAAATTCTTAAATTCTTAATTCGAGGGACTTCGGAGTCGCTTAATCCAAATCTCTAGTCAGAATTTAAAAATACAAAATGGCGACCATAAAAATTTACATTCAACTAATTTTGATGAAAATTCTTACTCCGGGGTATTTGAGGTTGCTGAATCCGAATCTGTAGTAAAAATTTTAAAATTCAAAATGGCGGTTTCAAAATGGCGACAAAAATAATTTTTGTGGAAATCCTTACTCGAAGGCTTATGGGGTCGCTGAATCCGAAACTGTAGTCAAAATTGAAAAAGGGCGACCAAAAAATTTTAAATTCAACGAATCTGACAAAAATAGAAGTTTTTCGGTTATATCATTTTAATTTTTAAAAAAAATTTTAACTTTAGGTTTGAATTTAGCAGTCAGAAGAATATTTAATTATTAATTATTACTCTTATAAGAATAAGAGGAATAAAATTTATTTGTCGATATTTCTAAATATTGACATATATTTAGAATAAATTATGAATTTTAATCATTATCAAGTTTGTTTTCTCTTTTCGCGATTAATTATATATAATGTATGTAGAATTATTTCATAGCAGAAAAAAAATATTATCACTAAAATTTTTAATAAATTTGTCAATATTAAATATACATATTTTATATTAATTGTTGATGTTTCGAATAAAATCATTCGACACAATATTTTCTTACTTTTGCTTCGTGATTTTGCGCATATTGACCTACGAACTTTTGTCTCTCTTATTTATCAAGAAATGAAAAATTTCAAGTTCATATACTAGTAAACGCATAAAATTTGCGATTATAAATGTGGGTTAACTTTTTTAATATTTATTTTATATAATTTATTAAAAATTTTGTAATATTTGTTGTAAATTTGTTATTATTATTGTTTATTATATAATAATTTTAGTTAAAATTATTATTATTTTATAAATTTATTATTTATTTTTATTAATTATTTATAACTAATATTTTATTATGTTTATTTTTTATTTTATTATGTTTATTTTATATTTTTCTATTATATATCTATTATTACCTATAAATATTATAAAATTATTTGCTTTTTTATTTATTCAAATTAAAATCTCTTACTTTTTGAGGAAAAAACATTTTTAAATAATTTGAATTAAATATTTATAAATTGTTACTATTTTGCAATTTTCTTAATGATATGATCAACAAAGAGCAATGCACCGCACCCAACGGGCGAGTGTTACCTCTCTAAAAAATCAATGAAGCTGTCTGGCCTAGAAAGATTTAAAAGACATATATTCAAAGTTTGTGAATAAATTTGTCTCCGAAATTTTAAAAAAAGTATTGGCTTTTTATTGTTTGGTATTTATTTTAAAAATTGTTTTGATTTTTAAATAAAAAATTATTTAAAATTACTGCAAAACTTCGATTTTGAGGTTAATCTTTTCCCTAATTTTAATAAACTTCTTATAGCTAACAATAAAAATAGATATTAAATTACATAAGAATAAGATAACAATAAAATATTAAATTAGATATACGAATGATAATTTTCATTTTTTCTAAAAAATTATTTAGAACAGTAAATATTTTTCATTGAAAGTTTATTTTAAATTTAAATATAGGATATAAAAAATATTGTAAATAATAGAAAATGATTATTTCGATTAATTAAAAAAATAGGTCATAATAATTCGAACAGTGAAGAAAATTAATAAAATTAATATATATTTAGATTTTGACATTTTTTTCCTATAAAACTTGGAATATTTTATCGCTATAGTTTAATAAACATTATTGAAAAATATAATTCTCTTCCCCTACTCAAAGTTTTGTGACCCTGAGATAAGTTTGATCGTTCGGAGTGAGTCATCAAATGTACCCTCGTAACTCCCATAACCTATTTTATCTGTCGGATTAAATTATTTTTTGATTCAAGATATATGGATTAATAACATTTAGAAAACTTGTGATATTTTTATTTGCAACCATTTATAATAATTAGAAAAAAAAATTCCAAATTAAATTAAGAAATTTTTTTTTATGAATCTCAAAAGTAGCAGTTATACTAATATAAATTTAGCAACATTGAAAAAATAATGTAAAATGAAAAAATTACTAGACAATATAATATGTAATGTTAAGAAATATTAATAAAATTATTTTTTAAAAATATTAATAAAATTGTTTTTTTAAAAATGTTAATGAAAATGTTTTTTAAAAGTGTTAATGAAAATGTTTTTTTAAAAATGTTAATGAAAACATTTTTAAAAATGTTAATGAAAATGGTTTTTTAGACCATTTATATTAGTAAAAGTGTTTTTTAAAAATATTAATAAAATTGGTCTTTAAAAATGTTAATGAAAATATTTTTTAAAAATGTTAATGAAAATGTTTTTTAAAAATGTAAATGATAATATGTTTTAAAAATGTAAATGAAATTATTTTTTAAAAATGTTAATGAAAATGTTTTTTTAGAAACATTAATAACATTGCTTTTTTAAATTATTCATCAAATTCTTTTTTAAAAATATTAGTAAAAGTGTTTTTTTAAAATAATTAATAAACTTATTTTTATAAGGATAAATAAATATTTGAAAATTAATGAAGATTAATTTCTTTGGCTCGTATAACAAAATGGTTAAAGCTGAAAAAAAGGTTGACTGTATATATAGGGGAAAAAATCAATAAAACGCCCTTTCAGTTCTTACTCTATGGTATTAGTAATCATTCATAGGGAGTAAAAAAGATTTTATATTAGTTGAAAATTTTTTTTCATTATCTTTTAAATTGACCTGTTTAATTGTGTTGATTACGTCAGTTGAGCGCATTTTTATTACTCAAATCTTAACATCGATTTCATTGACGCTTGCGCCAAATCAATTTCACCCCTGATAATTCCATTTTTTTCGCTATTACACTAATGCCTCTAAAAATGAACAAAACTCTCATAAACCAAGGACAAACGTATGAAAATTTCCCTTAATTTTCATTCAATTAAATTCAATATTAAATTCAAGAAAGAAGTTTAAATATTTATTATTTTTATAAATTCAATTTTCCAAAATTTTTTATTTCAAAAAAAAATAAGAAAATGAATTTAAAAAATTAGTTAAGTAAATAATTTTTCCCATCAATTTCTAATAAAGATAATTCAGAGGAAATCTTAAAAATAAAAATTGATGACAAATTAATTGTTAAATTACTTTTTCTATTATTTTCAGTACGGAATTAATTATTGAGGAGAAATTGTAGAGAATAAAATACTTAAAATTTGTAATAATGAAAAAGCAAAAAAAAAAAAAAAATCTCAAAAAAAATAAATTGAGTGAAATTAATAAATTATTTACAGAAAACGATAAATTACATTACTTTTAATAATAAAATAAAATTGATAAATAAATGAAAAATAGTTAAAAATTGCAGAAAACTGCGACAAATGTTTTCTACTCGAAGTTTGAACTCGTCAAAGAAACTCTGGTCCATTTCTTCACCATAGAACTGAATCAGTGCAACCGGAAAGGGACACTTATCAATGAACATCATCAAATAAATAAAATTATTCCATCACACACTTTTCACTGAACAGAAAATATTTTTAAAAACATTTTTCACAATCTTTAATTCTCACTAAATTTTCAAAAATTATTCTCGAGAAAATAAAAAATGAAACTCGAACATTATTTTCCATTTGGTATTTCAATGAGAAAAATCGAGTTTGAAGATCATTTTTTTAAAAATTATTTTCGCAACAAGAATACTGATAATAAAAAAAATGAAAATAAAAGTTTGGAACGTACCGGAATTTTCCAAGATGAGAAAAGCACAGCAGGCAATTGTGAGTAGTCGCAATTGCAATCCCATTTTTGATGAAATTGCACTCTTGCACTTCAAGTGATGATTTAATGGAGAAAAAAGAAAATTCACGAGTAGACAATTGTGATGACTAGAGGATTATCACTTGATTTAATGATTTTAATATTGACAAAAAATTAATTTTTTTAAGGGTTGCTTAAAAGGGCCGACCTCGCGGCCTCAAGAGCTTAGAACGCACTGTTGATCCCTGGTTGGTACGAGGCAGTCGGCACCCCACGCATGAGTCGCGTGCATATAACCATTCCTGATGTACACGAGATCGAAAATCTAGGTGAACACAATTCTAACATTGATGAGACTTGCAATGTCGAAATTATTATTTCATCTTTTTTTTATATTTCGATAAAAATTTAGAAAAAATAATTCACAAACTTTGTCACCTATAAATACAAACGTTTATCGAAGATCATTTTTATTAGTCTCTGTATCTTTCACCAAAAATTTTCAATTTAAAAAACAAAATTTTTAATTTTAATAAAAATTTAATTTTTTATTCAGGTAAATTTATTTTCAATTTCTACATAAGAAGTATTGTTTATCTTAATCGGAGAACAATTATTTAAATCCAAGTGATTTTTTCTGGATGAACCAATAATCATTGTATAACTTTTGTTTATCTTAATCGGAGAACAATTATTTAAATCCAAGTGATTTTTTCTGGATGAACCAATAATCATTGTATAACTTTTGTTAAGACTGATTTTAAGTTTATTTGACATCTCCCAATTGTAAAAGTCTTTAACATCCTTATTAGACAGTGTTAAATTTTTATCCAACTCATCAAGACTAAAGGGTACATAGATCTGCAAATAATCCACATGATACATTTGCTTGGTATGCTGAAGAACACTTCTTAAATCATTTGTAAAAAGTATAAACAGTAAGGGACCCAATACCGAACTCTGTGGGACGCCAGGAATTCAGATTTTTTACCATTCTGTCCATAAACAGACTTTTCTCACTCTCTCGAACACTACTTGAGTCAGACTCAGCCATTCCAGAAATCTACCTTATCACTCAATATTTTCCATTGTCTATATGTGTGTTTATTTGCTCTCCCTGCAATAGGCAATGTTCGAGATTTCTAAGTACATACACAAGTCAATTTATTCTATAAATAAAAACTTTCTTAAACTATAACGCCGCTCATATCCCACATCAACAACTTAACCTATTCGCATCTCACTTATCCTCTCAAAATTCGCCAGTGCCAGGGCTTCCGATTCCAGTTCCCTTTGTCCATACTGAATGACTTCCCATTAACGTCCCACCACTTTTAGTTACTTAAATCCTTAACCTCAATTGGCATCCTCCAATCATTCCTTTTCACGATTTCGTCCTAACCTTTCACTACCATATTTCCAACAAAACTTGCTATCAAACAATCCTTCTTCATTTCTCTTCATTCAACCCATTATTCATTACAATCTCAAACACTTGTCCATTACATTCTTTCAAGCACCATTTTACCCCATCCACCCACACACATTCCCTATCCATTCTTACTTCACTTCCATTCCTTCTTTCGATCCATGCCTTCTCTCCCAGTAACCATCTTATTCTTCTCTCTCTCCAGGTTCTGTCCTCATCTATTCTCTCAACACATCCTTTCAACCTTATAACTTCCTCTTTCTCCTCCTCCTTGGAATCCCATTCGCATCCATACTCTGCCTAATTTGCCATGTGTAGGAAAAGCATTTTCAGCGTATAGAGAGTCGTTTCTTTCTCTTGTTCTTATCATAGGTCTGTCTCGTTTGTTGTCAAGTCTCTTGTATCTTTCTTTCGTATCAGTGTGTGGGGAGCTGTGGTTTTCGTAAAATCATAATTTAAATGATTTTGCGCATGATTAATTGTCAGCGTACGTCACATGGTCAGCGACCCTTTCCTAGTCTCTTTCAGGTGCCGTTCCATGGCGATTGAAGAAGGGTTCTTCCGAAAATTGCGAAGGAAAAAACAAAGAAACGATTTGATAATGAGAAAGCCTACTGGGGACAATCAGATTGTTCGACACTTGCTTACGGGTTTCCAAGAAGTCGTGACGCGGTTTTTGACGAATATCATAATCGAGAATTATTTGAGTTTTATTAATAATTTGTAGAGTTGTTAATTCGTTTTGAGTTTTATTAATAAATATTTGTTTTCGTTAATTATGTGTTTTACTGTGTTTTGCGTTCATTGTGGACCGGATGAGAGTGCCAGAGAGTAGAGAATATTGGTAGCGTCTCAACGGTTAATTTCGAAAAGTTCGGTTTGGTTGTTCATTGTTCAGAGGACTTGACCTTTCCTAAATCGGTACCTATAAACTCTGTAAATTCAGGTACATTGTCTCGTCGTAATGTATTTAGTATGTCATCTTTACTTGTTTGTCTGGTTTTGTCCTTAAAGACACATAATCGTTATGATTTTAGTGCCTACAGGGAATGGATAGTAAAAAGGAGTTTCGATCTATGTATAAAAATTGTAGTAGACCTTGAACTTTCATTTCTCAGTAGTGTGGGGAAAAATAATTACAAATCCTTTTACTCGCTAAAACTTTTGTATAATGCTAATTCTGCATAATGGATTCTGGCCTATATTCACAAAACATGACATAAAATTTGTTTTTTCTGTTCAATAAAAGTGCTGAATGAAACGCAATCATTCCATCGGAGGATCTGGTTTACTTAACGTTTAATGTAGTTTTGAGCATTTCAAAATGTTGTTAAAAAATGGTATTTTGTTTTTAAAATTAATGGAAGTTGTATTTTTCTTTACGGAATTAGGCAACGTTCAAGGATTACTAACAAATTTCAAATGGATCGAAGATGTTATTGAAGACATCAGAAATGACGGTTCGATTTTTCGAACCGTTTTGCTTGTTAATCAAACAAACCAAGAGGAAAATTCTATTGTCAACATTGCTCAGCAGAAAATTGTGCAAAAAATTCCTTGTGACATCGTTGACATTCGTGGCGGTATATTTACCAACAAGATGTACATGCCACAGTACCACAATCATCGGCGAACGACTTTAGTAATCGGCCTGTATCATCTGCGAAAGAATTTGGATAGAAGTCAAGAATTAGAATTCGAATTGCTGCTAAACCAGGTATTGGAAAATTATGAACAATCTAAATGTCTAATGATTTTGTCTCTTGATGGATGTATTTTCAAATTTAAGAGCTTTTTGCACTATGCATGGTCCAAAAAATTTCTTGATTTAACATTCTTGGAGCATGTGATTGACAAAAATGGAATGAATGAGAAATTATATTTTCCATTTGTCAGAAAGAGCAACATTACAATTCACTACTTGAATCCATTCACAAACAGGTTAATAGAGAGAAAGTATTCGAAAAGTATGATTCTGTTTCCTGATAAGTTACGTAATTTACATGGTTACAAACTGGAAGTTGCAGCAATGAACGCACCACCTAATATGTATGTTAAGAAAAAGGCCGACGGAAAAGTAAATAAAGTATGGGGTTTTGAAGGTTTAACAGCAACTGCAGTGGCAAATGCTTTGAATTTTATTCCAGACTTTAAATCATTAAATGTTACCGGCTATGGAGTACCAAATTGCATCAGAAATCGTTCAACTGGATATGCTGGTTATATTTTAAGAAATGAAATACGGTTTGGCTACAATTATGGTCCACACATAATGTGTGGATCAAAAATGATAACTCCTTATTCAAGGACTTCAGGTTATATGCAATTTTATCCAGTTGTTCCAATTCTAAAAAAAGATTCAGCCTATTTCACTGCATCGACAGACAGTCTTAAAGCTATTGGAGTAATCGTTGGTCTCATGCTAATTGTGAAAATTACCTTGTATAAGTTCAAATTTGAGAAATATTATCATGAGCTTTTAAACATATTTGCATTAAGTATTGGAAATGGTCTATTGAAATCTCCCAACAATGATTCACAAAGAATTGTTTTCTGCTTTTTACTTCTTGGCTTTTGGGTGTTTTCTTCTGATATTTATGGAGTATTAACTGATATTCAAATAAAGAAAGATACATTCGTAAAGTTTGATACACTGAAAGATCTTTATGACTCTAATTTAACTCTCATGATGCCTAGAAATTCGCTCTTTATGTTAAAAAGTCTTGAATCAAATAAAGTTTACGATACTCTGCTTAACAGAACGAAAATAAACTCCCTTCAGAAAAATTGTTTGATATATCTTATGGAATACAAGAACGTGTCATGTATTATGCCACTGGAAACTGCTAAAATGTACATTGAACAATTTCGAATCAAGTACAACTTTAGAGGAATGATGATTGGAAAGGAATATTTTCAAAAGTATGGTTCTGGCATTTGCTTTGAACCTCATTCTCCCTATGTAAAAGTATTTGATCGAATTTTGGCAAGGTTGACTGATTCAGGATTAATCGAAAAATGGACAGAAGATTATGCTCCTACTGTTGAAGCAAAGCATATAACATTAGATGATGATGCAGAGGAAGCGTCAACAATATTGCTAATACTGGTGTTGTTTGTTCTGATTGTTGGACTTGGATCTTCTTTGATGCTATTTATCGGAGAATTGTTATTTCACAGAAGAAGTACATTGGTAAGAAAGTTCTAAAATAGAAAATATCTTTTTGCTGATTGTAATGGAAAAAAGAATTGCAACAAAAAGGAACTATTAATAGAAATTCGATAGACCTTGACTTATAGATTTTTCTTGGACGGCTTTCTAAATTCTCTCACTACAATGATATGAAACACATAAACGAAAGTACATTAATAATTACAATTGTAACAAAACCTAGTATTTATTCCAGCCATAAATTTTAAAAGCATTTCCATTTGTCTAACAGACTTTGCATTAATGTAGAAAAACGTTGCATAAGAATTTACAAGCAAAGGTCATTATTTATTTTTCCTTCAAATAGTACGGTTTGGAAAATATGTTGTTTTCTCTAAATGTTGAAACAGCTATTTTACAGTTTTGAACATGTTGGTCTTTAATTTAATTGGAGTAATATTATGCGTTACTGCATTATGTGACGCTCAAACGATAAATTTCCGATGGATTGAGGATGTTGTTGGTCAAATCAAACATGATGGTTCAATATTCAGAATTGTGCTACTCGTCAATCAAACCATCCAAGAAGAAACTTCAGGTCTCAATTACGTTCAGCGAAAAATCGTACAAGAACTTCCTTGCATCATGACTGACATTCAAGCAGATGTTTTTACAAACAA